GCTGCAGTCCAGCGAGGTCCGCAACCATAGCTGCGCTTGGGAGGAGCGGTCAGGCCATGCGGGAGGGAGGAGCGCCGGAAGGGAAGGAGGGGTACAAGGGAGGAAGTGGTTAGGGTGCTTTGGGGGGCTTGATGGGAAGATGATGGTATCGGGCCCACTGCTAACTGCCAACCACCCCGCGGCACTCACCCCCAGCAATCCCAGCTGCTCGCCCGGCGTCGGCCGCATGCTGGGCACATCGCACCGCAGAGCCGCCGCCAGCAGCCCCTGCACCGGCACCTGCCGCTGTGCCGGCTGCTGTGCCGGCTGCTGATGCTGCTGCTGCCTGAGGAAGCGCAGCACGTGCGTGAGGAGGTAGAGCACCGTGCCACGGTACCGCCGCTCGCTGCCGCCCTCCCAGGCCTGCAGCAGCAGCAGCAGCAGCAGGGACCCGTGAGCTGCAAAACACAAAATCGTGACACAATACACGGGGCCGTACCTATACAAGCTACAAACAGGCGGCAGCAACAACGGATGCGGGGTCCAAAGATGTTACAGCCCCTAAGCTTGAACCCGGGGCCAACTGCCCCTGGTATTGCATGCTCGATGCCCCCAAGCACCACGCACACCTTCCGTAGCGGGTTGTAGGGCCCCACGGGGCCCCCAGCGGGCCCCCCTGACGCCACCGCATGTGCCGCCGCCTCCACCGCCGCCCAGCCCGCCATCAGCCCCCGTCGGTGCAGCAACCCGTACAGCGTGCCCAGCAGCGGCACCCCCACGTCGCGACACGACTGCGGAGGAAGAGGGGGAGGAGGCCAGCAGGAGGAGGCCAGCAGCGTTAGCAGGCGAGCAGGCGAGGAGGGAGAGGTTGGCAGGAGGTGGGCGGGGGGCAGTGAACAGCACTTAGCCGCAACAGTGGACCTTTGGCGCCTCACTCCGAGGCGCTGGTGTGCCGGGGTAGCTCTGGGACTGCCGATCCTCAAACTCTTGTTGCCTCATGCGCCCAGCCAGGCCCTGCTGCTAAGCGCTACCATGGTCCCTGGCCCCTCCCTTCCTTCCTTCCCCTTCCCTCCCCACTCCTCACCGTCACCTCCTCCTGCGCCTCCTGCCCCGCCCCGCTCCCCAGCTCCAGCAGCTGATCCGCCGGCCTCGCCGCCTGCCGTACCACCTCCTCCACCGCCGCCCGCAGCCCACTCCCCGCCACCGCCTCCACCGCCTCCTCCTCCGCTCCCCCTCCCACCTCACCCCCCGCCTGCCCCCCGCCTCCCCCTCCAGCCGCCCCCTGCCCCCCTGCCAGCGCTGCTAGGGCCGCATGCAGCAGCAGCAGCATGTCGGGCCGGTGCGGGCTGCGCGGCAGGTGCGGCTGCAGCAGCGCTGCCACCACCTCTCGGGTCAGTAGCAGGCGGGACAGCGGGGCGCCCACCCGCCACACCAGCAGCTGGGGGAGAGGGGAGCGTACGTGGCCGGGGGCCGGCCGGGAGGAGTCAACAAAGGAAAGCGCCAGGTTAGGATGAGCAAGGGCAACGCCGGCTGGTGGTGGTAGGACTTCTGGCACGCAGACCAACCCTTGTCTCGGCCACCCACCCCCCAACCCACCGTCATCGCCTGCACCATGCTCCGCAGCACCTCCCCCTGCCCTGCCCGCACCGCCGCCAGGGCGCCCTCCCACTCCTCGCCGCCGGGGGCAGTGGCGCCGCCGGGGGCAGCTGCGTCCCAACACAGCCCGCCCAACTGGCGGGGGTGGGGAGCGCAGAAGGCAGCCGGGAAGGTAGAGGAGTATCGGTGAGGACGTCAACAAGCGCTGGGTGAGGGCGTCATGGGAGTGTTTCCTTGAAGGAGAGTGTGAATGCATGGGCGGGGGGTTACAAAGGCAGTGGACGTGAGGCTGGCGGACGATATCGCCTGTCACGCATGAGCCAACCAACCAACCACGCCACCTGCACCCTGCTACATCGACACCCTCCCAACTACCTTGCGATCCGGTGAGGCGCCGCACTCAAAGGAGGGCCCCTCCAGCTGCCGTACCACCTCGCCCTGTCGTACCAGCCACCCCACCAGCGTCTGCAGCGCCCGGTCCCGCACCTCCCGCCAGCCGGGCTCCTCCTCCACCCTCCCCCCAGCAGCAGCAGCAGCAGCGCCCGTGCGGCTGCCGCACCCGCTGCGGGCGGCTGCCAGCCGGGCTAGCTGCAGCGCCCCCTCCACCAGGATGGCTCGAGCCTGCGGGTCACATCTGTGGATAGCAAGGGGAGGAAGAGAGTAGGAGGAGAGGGGAGGTTGAGAAGAAGGGTAGGTAGCCGCCGCCTCTGCGCATTTCCCTCATTACCCGCCTCCTCACCCGTCGAAATCCGCAAAGGGGCTGCTCCCAAGCAGGTAGTCCACCGCATCCAGAGCCTCCGCTGCCAAACCCGCCCGGGCCGGACCCCTGCCTCCACCGCCGCCTCCACCGGTGTTGCGCGGAGGCAGCTCGGACACCAGCAGCAGCAGCAGCTCCACCGCTGCCCGCAGCTGGCTGTGGTTGGCCAGAGGGGGCTGAGCCTGCTGGGGGTTCCGGAGCGGCCCCGCGCCGTACTTGGATACCGTGGACCGCGACTCGAGCAGCCTCCGCAACTGCTCAAACACCCGCAGCAGCACCCGCACCCAGGTCTTGTGCCACCCCCCACCGCTGCATGCGCCCGAGGTGAGGTCCCTGGCCCGCCGGCACAGATCGTACCCCATGCGCCGTACACTGTACAGCAGCTCGCTGTACGGCGCACCGTCGGGTGGGGGCTCCTTGGGCTGCGGTACGGCAGCTGGATCCCGGTAGGCTGCTGCTGCTGTTGCTGCTGCTGCGGTGACGGCGTCCTGCCGCATGCCGAGCAGAGGTCGCCCCTTTGCGGCCGCGTCACCTGACATGCTGACGTCATACTGCGGACCCCCGGCCCCGCCTTCATGCACGCCCGGGCGCTCCTCATGCAGCCGAGGTCTGGACGCCTGACGGGCCGCATGATCCGCCGCCTCGCCGGATCCCCCCGTTGCATCCATGTCCGCCTCCCAGCCCTCCGACCGCCCCCTCTTACCCAGCTGTACACCCGCACCCGCACCCGCACCCCCGGCCGGAGCAGGAGCGGTCGGGGCAGCGCGGGGGCCCTCTACCCCGGGTGCCGCGGTGGTAGGGCGGGTGTACCAGGGGGGCAGTGGGCCGCCGTAGGCGTCCCGCTCTGCATCCCCTGGACCCCCGGCAACAAACCATGCCCGCTGCTGCTGCTGCTGGCGACCGAATATGTCCGCGCAGTACCGACCCCTGGGCCGCACGCCCGGCTGCGGGGGCAGGGGCGGCCGCCCCGCCTTCGCCCTGGCCATGGCGGCGGTCAGCGTAGCAGTAGGGGCTCCTGGAGCTCCGGAACCAGCAGCACCTGGAGCAGCGGCTGACCCGTGGGTCGGAGATACATCTGCGCCACCGGTAGTCCTTTGCTGCTGGTGCTGCTGAGGCTGCTGTGGCTGCGCTGGCTTGGGGTTGGGCTGCTCGCCGCCCACCATGATTCCGAATCCCAGGTGCCGTACAGGCGGGGGCTTAGCAGGCTGCTCTGCAGACCTGCTGGAAGAACCCCCGCCGCCACTGCCGCCGCTGTTGCTGTTGTTATCATGGTTGTTGGAGGGGTCCGCAACGCCCCCACCTCCCGCAGCACCCACTGCATCCCCAGGCGCGCTCGCCGCCCCAGGCGACTGCGCCCCCGCTGCCAGCCGCCTCCTGAGGGCCGCCCTGCCCCCGGCATCCGGATGCTGCCAGGACAGCGAAAAGGGCGGCAGCGGCGCCGGCAGCAGCACCCCGCCTCCCATCGCCCCTTCCTCAGCGGCGCTGTCACCAGCTGCCCCACCGGCGGCAACACCACCTCCCTGCACCGCCTCCATGCCCGCGGCAGCCCCCGCAGCGGCCCCCGCAGGCGCGCTTCCGCCCTGCTGGTGGTGGTGCTGGTAGGGGGCGGCGGGCGGCCAGCGTGTTATCCCGGGGGGGCTGGAGCAGCCGGAGCTGCTGGGAGGCACGTCTGCTGGAGTGTCGCTGGCGTCCAGGATGCCTGGCAGGCGGGTGGGGAGGAGGAGGAGGTGTGGGAGCAGGTTTAGGGTTAGGCATGGGGTCGGCGGGCAGGGGGAGCGAGATGTGGCAGGGAGGCCAGCATCGCTGCAGTCGTCACTCCTAACATGGGCTGCCCTAGCAGTAGGGATGGTGACTTGAGCAGCACTGCGTTGCACACCAGGCCAGGCGGCCAGTGCTTCCCAGGGCTAGGGCCGGGGGAGGTCGGAGGTGGGCACCTGGGGTCGTACCTGGCCACACGCCCAGGCAGCACAGCAGCGCCTCCAGGCTGTGCGGCTGCTGGGACATCTCGCTGTGCACCGCCTGGGTTTCATGGTCCGCAGCTGAGGGGGTACGGCGCCTGGGCCGAGGCGCGCCGGCAGGCATTTCGGCTACCCTAGATATTGGCCTTCTCGTGGGCAGCCAGGTTTAGACTTTACTAACCATAAAAAAATTACAAATAGAATAATGTTTTGTATGAGTAAGCGGCTGAATACGGAGTGCGCGATCGAGGCGAAGAGAAGGCCATAGTCGATTTGGCGACAGACGCGACACCTGCTGTGCCAGCCCGGACGTTATTGTGGCTTCTTAAACCACAGCATTTTGCACCACAATTGTTTGTTGCGATGTGGCAGCGAGGACATAGAGCGACTAGGTTTTAGACTGTTCGCGCCAATGAGCGGTGTCGTACAGCGATGACAAACACAAGCCATTCGTCTGTTTTCGCGCATAAGGAGGCGCGAGCTATGTTATTATGCAGTATCGAATGCTCTTACGTAGTTCTTCGCGAGGAATGCTTCCTTGCTTGTCCTTCAGGTTCCATAACGTTATCGTACTATCAGTCGATAATGCGGTAATCATGGAGCAGCCAGTTCGCAAGTTGGTGTGCAGCTGGCCTGCGGCGCGACGACGATGTCCAGCTAAATTAACTTGCCGCTCCCAAGTAACGCTGCACTCACCCCAAGGGTGTTAACGGGGCGACAAGGGTGTCCGCATAATGGATGCTCTGACACCGGTGCACATCGAGTACAACGTAGCGCAGGGGGAAGCGCTGCGCAGCGCCTTCACGGCAGGGCTGCTGTAGCTTGGTAGCCACAAGGGCGTTATTGGTCCACCTCCCAACCAAAAGAACACAACCCAAACAATGCATCTCCTGCCCTCTGCAAAAGAAACTGCATCCAGTACAGTTCGGTTAGTACAAGTTAGGTTCTGGGCACGACCACACAACGAGTTTGCGTAGATACACTGAAGTGCACTTAACCACCCACCTCCATATCCAACCGCGGTCTGTTATAAGGACAACATACACGTTATGCTACTTCGCCACGAGGGTAGGCCCGCACTCCAGACCCGAGGAATCTGGAGGAAAAGCAGGCGATGCAAACCTTGTGACACCAGTACGGGGCATGGAATACAGAATAAAAACTCAGCAACTTATTCCGGGCGCATGCGCAAGCACCTAGCAACCTCAGCCATAATCTACATAGTAAACACCAGCAAGCATGCATTGGAGCAGAATTTGTGATACAAACGGATACAGGAGAAGAATGCGGCACTCGGCAGCCTATGCCGGTATCTAGCCCGCCCCAAACATCATGCATTTCTTTCTACAGGGTCCGACATGCAGCGACTGGCCATACATTCCAACACACAGCTCCGACATGCCAACACAGCTGACGCAAAACACACACGCGCATGTGTCTTAACGCTCCTCAACAAACTCTCGGCGAACTCGGCGAAAAACTGTCTACAGCGTAGAGTGCTTCCGAACAAAACGACGGTGTAGCCATCACACCCAAAACAAAGTGCGTTCGCGCTCAACCTCCATCCACATGTATGCGTACAAACTCCTCAAAAACGCATGCACCCGCCACCCTTCCTCCTCTCCACCTCCGCACCCCCACACCTCAGCACCCCACACGCCTACGGTACCTACGCGCCCGCCCCGCTACTCCGGTTCCTCAGCAGCGACCGCACCGCATTAAACCCGCCGTCCCCCTCCTGCTGCACCTCCTCCTGCTGCAGCATCATGTGCAGCGCATCCGCGTCCAGCGACTCCTTCTTCTCGCGCTTTTCCAGCTGCCGCAGACTCAGCGCGAACTGCGACACGCTCTTGCCCAGCATGTAGTGCCCCGGCGGCAGCTCCCGCCAGCCGCGCCGGTCCGCCTCCCCGCCGGGCAGCTGCTCCAGGCTGTTGGTGTACTGCACGCCGCCCTCCTCGTCAACCTTGAAGTACAGCGGTTCGCTGCCGGAGGGGTCGCGCGCCGCGAAGGCCTGCTTGCGGCTGCTGTCGTACAGAACGAAGGCGTACTGGCCCTGTGGTGGAAAGAGGAGGAGAGAGCGAAGGACAGAGGCAGCGGCAGTGGGAAGGCGGCATAGCGGCGGGCGACGCTAGCGCACGTTGGGATCGTTTGCATGCACGGTAAGTAACGGGTGGGATAAGGCTGCCTAGTGGGGTAATACCACGGCGGCGCCATGCGGGGGGCCCCTCCAGCAGGGGACTCGGGAGCCGCACGCCACGCACGCACCTGCAGTTCCGACAGCATCAGCAGCTCTCTCCCGTTCCCGAAGCGCTTGTAGAGGTCTAAAAGACATGAAGTTGTCAGTGCTCCGGCGCCCGCGTCGGCCGGCACGGCAGCAGCAGCAGCGCCTCTCACGTTTCTTCGCTGAGCCCGCAGATCTGCAGACCGCAGTGTCAGCGGGCGCAGTTCAAATCCCGATTGAGGCGGGAGGAGTACACGGTGCAATATGCAGGAGGATACGGAATTCAGTGCAGTACCACAGTTTGGGCGACCTGGGGAAGGCGTGGCAGCGCACAGCCGTACGAGTTCAGCCACCAGCCGCAGCAAGGTATGGGCCCAGCAACGCATGCGGGCTGCAGCAGGCCGCAGCGGCTGCCCTACCCTGCAAGTTGCTAAGCGTCCCGAAGAAGACGACGATGGCGTCCTTGGAGTTGTGCACGTAGGGTATGACGCGCACTAGCTGCTCGGTGATGGGTTGGATGCCCGGCTGTACGGTAACACCGCCTGCGGAGGAATTGAGGGATTGAGGGGGGTGAGAGAGGCGGAGGAGGAGGCGGGCGTAAGGGTATTCGATCTATGATCCATGATACCGTGTTCACGTGATACCAACATGCAAGAGCTTGGTTAGGGCACATGCCATGGTGTGTGGGCTGTGCTGCAAGGGAGAGAGAAGCGTACCTCCCGGGAACACGAACTTTTGAGCCTGGGTCTGTGCTGCCGCAGAGACGGAGGATTGCGCTGCCTGGGTGCGCCTTGTCGAGGCCTCCGCGTACCTGCGCAAAGGGGGGTTGGGCAACAGCAGGTTAGCACACGACAAAAGGACGACCAGGCTGGACCAGGAGTGGTAAAGCACACGACACACGAGCGTCGTCAACTGCGGTCGATCCTGCAGCCCACTCCCATATCCATATGGAACCATTAGTGACTAATAAAACGGAACCTAGCTGGCGTGTCGCGTTAACCGTGCGCGGGAGTACATTAACGGATGGCAACGTACCGGTCCAAGCGCTCGTTGACGGCCTGCTCTACCGCCGCCCTCGAGCCGAGCAGGCTTCCAAAGATCGATGGATTCCTGTGTATTTGCATGACGGCAGGAACGTTGCCAACCATAGCTAGGTTTCAGCCCAAGCATACGGGCAATATATATTTAAGCGGGGGTGGAATCCTTACTTTGGAACGTAGCAGAGAAAGCTACCGGGGTGCGAAGCCAACATTCACGAGGCTATCGCAGATAGTTGTATGGAGTCAAAGCTCAAATACTAATAAAGGATTACTTGGCGCAGCGAAAACTCACTTCGGGAAATAGAATAAATTTAGCAATCATGAATGAAAGCACCTCGGGCTCTGCGGAATAACTCAGTTGTACGGCTCCGGAGCCCTTGCTTGCAAGCCATGCCTGCAATCACTCCGTTGGAGTTAGCTAGAGCCAAGGCTAAAATTGCCAACGACCTTCATGGTTAGGTAGGGCATCGATGGCTTATCTGTGAGACGCGTCTCCTACCAAAGAAGCATTCTACAGCCCAACCAAAAAGGTCATTATAATTGGACATATGCTTAATTAGGCAGTAATAAGGGATAACGTTTACTTAAGCAAGGAGCTTGGTGCCATGGAGGACAGGTGCTCTAAGTCTACGGTTGTTGTTTGCCTGGTGGCCATGGCTAATAGTAGCAAGTTTTCCTTGACGACAGGAGGACTAAACGTGGCTTGCGCTCTAGGAATGCTGATCGGAGCGAGGTGTGTCTGCCGTCGCCGAGGGTCAATCTGCCAGAACCGAGGCATGCTGTCGCTCGCCACCATGTTGATGACTCTCTAATAACACCCGTTTATCGCTCTCAGGATGAGAAAGGGGCTCGTTTAGGTTCGGGACAGGCCACAGGAGGCGGTGGCATCTTTAAGTCAGCGGCGGTAGCAGTACTTCGCCAGCACCGCAAGTTGATGACAACAGGTGACATCACCAGGTAAGTATGCATTTGCATATCTGTATTGCAGCGACCACTACTAGCGCCGTCCCACGGGCCACAGGCTGGTTTCGAAGTCATGTGCTTACCGACGCCTGCTGCATGCATGGCTGCTGCGTGCTAGAAGCCCACTTCGTGTTCCGTCTCCACTCCAATATTCTCGCGGCCCCTTGCGTGGCCTTGGTCAACACATACGACATACCCTTTCCCGTCCGTCCCTAGGCTGGCTGTCGAGATGGGGCTCCTGAAGTGTCAGGGCAAAACACCGGAGGCTACGATGGCTTCGGCGCTGTACACCGATGTCAAACGCAAGCTGCACAAGTCCCTCTTCACCAGGTACCAAGCACCTCACATGTTCGCTGCACCGCCCGCAGCTGCTGACATGCATCCACCGCGCATGCTTTGACGGGTGGCCCCTCGCTTGTGCCTGTCGCAGGCCCCAGGAGGGATTGTTTGGGCTGCGGGAGTGGCTGGAGGAGGGGTACTATCCGGAGGGCTGGGTGGGGCCGCCAGACGGACTAGGTCTGGCCCCCTTCAAGCGGCGGAACACCGTGGGGGCCCAGCAGGGCAGCGGAGGTGGAGCCTCTTCAGTGGGAAAAGCTAGCCGGCAAGGGGTGAGTATCTGGCTACATCTCTCTGGCACCAAACATCACTACGTTGCCCTCCACGCGTCTAAACCACCCCGGGATGCCGCCTCCTCGGGCCCAGGTGCGCACGGGGCCGGGTCGCTCCTCCAAGTCGCGAGCCGCGCGGTCCTGGCGCAGCGCCGCTAGCGATGCGGAGGACGAGGACTTCCTGGACGATGAGGAGGACCCCATGCTCACCAGCAGGCCGGGAGCGGGGTCCTTCGGAGCGGCTGGCGGTGCGGGGGGCTACCTGGGGGCTGGAGATGAGGAGGAGGGCGACGAGGGCTACGGGGAAGGGGAGGACGGAGAGGATGAGGAGGTGGATGACGGGGAGGATGGGGGCACGGACGGGACGGGGGATGGGTTGGAGGAGCACGGCAGGGAGGAGCGGCGGCTGGCTGGCGGCGAGGGGGGCGCGGCGGTGGAGGGGCAGGCGCAGGCGGGAGGAGCCGCTAAGGAGGCGACGAGCAGCATGGTGAGAGAAGGAGGTTTGGAGGGGCGCCATTGCCGTAGTGCGGGAGGGAGGCTGAGGACACAACAACATGTTTTGGATCTGTTTCTGCGCCCCGACAGTAGTGAGCGGTTTCCGTTGGGACCAGGGCCTACAGTAACACCTTGTTTGACTTGCATGCGGCCCGCAGCATCCTCACGCTGGGCTGGCGTCAGGCCGGCGCGGTGGCAAGGGCCGCGCCGCGGGTGGCGCCGGTGAGGCCATGCTGCCCCAGGACGAGTGCTTGTCGCCGCTGCACATGCTGGGGGAGGCGGCGGCGAGTGAGAGCATGGGCGACCTAGCGGCTGCGGTAGGTCTGCGAAACCGGGGTTGGGGACGTGAGGGGTCGCAGCAGGGGCTTCAGATAGCTGGTGTGCATCCCAGCTACCTTGCTCGACTCAGGCAGGCGGAGGTTACCTGTCTGCGCTGTGGTCTTCGTCCCACGTGCATTGTAAGCGGGAGCCGACTTACTCTCCCTGAATCACGCCCCTCCTAACCCCCAGGCGGAAGAAGCGCACGGCACGCCGCCCGCCAAGCGCAAGCGCCCATCCAGCATTATGGTCCCTGAGCGCGGCGGCGGGCTGGGCGGCGTGGAGGGAATCACGCCGAAGTCGCCCTACGAGGACAGCCTGGCAGCGCTCCATGAAATCGCTACCAGTCCCTCCACGTTTGACCTGACATCGCAGCGAGAGCAGCAGCGGGAACGGGAGGGCGGGGTTGGATCGCGTGAGGGCGGTGGGAAGCTGGGCGGGCGGCAGCGGCCCCGGCTGCAAGTGGACGTGCCGGGCCACGGAGGGGAACTGGGCGGCGGCCCCGGCAGCCGCAGGGAAGGGGGCACGCCAGGGACGACTCAGCTTGCGGATAACCCAATGTTACAGGTGCGGGTTGGACATGGGGAGCATGGGGACAGCTGTTGGGCTCGTTAATAGCAGTACGGCTAGTATCCCACCGGTCAAATCTTCCGGTGGCAATTGACGAGCCCTGGCATACCTAGTAGCTGTGTTTACCTTCCTCCTTATGACGAAGCCGGATGTTCCTCCCTGCGCCCTGCTTCCTGCTCTCCTCGCAGGGCGAGACCACACCTGCCATCCTGCTGCAGGCCTCTCCCGTCACCACAGCCTCGGGGCAGCAGGCCATGGTGCTCCGCCAGGCGCCCGTGCTGGTGACGCTGCCGCCGGCGCTGGCGTCTCCCTCCGCGGCGGGCATGGGGCAGCTGGACACCCCGGCGCTGCTGCATGTGCAGCTGCCGGGCGGGACGCCGTCGGAGCTGGTGCAGACCACACTCATAACGCCTACGGGCCAGCCGCTGTCGCCCTTCCGGCCGCACCCCGGGGGGAGCAGCGGGCCAGCTGGTCGTGGAGGGCTGCTCAGGGTGCGTTGGGTGGTTGGTGTTGTGCATTCGCTTGGACTTGAAGATCAACGCAACCGGCTGCTTGTGCGGCTGAACGTGGTCGTTTGGCATTAGTTGTCTTTTTGTGGCGGTGTACTTGGTTCCCATCAAGTCGTAGACTCGTGTTGCAAAGCAGTTCGTTCCGTGGATGCATACCCTCAGGCAGACGGCGGCTCCGGAGCGACACGGCCCCCGGGTCGCCGGGTGAGCTTCTCCGGGCAGGTGGGGGTCCTGGGTCCGCCCCCGCCCTCCTTGGGGACACCCGTACAGCAGCAGCAGTCCATGCAGCAGCCACCGACCCATGGGTCAGGCGGCGGCGGAGGCCCGGCGTCGGCAAGCCAGGCCTGGCCTCCCAATTTGACGCCGGAGCAGGTGCAGAGCGAGCTCGCGGAGATCACCAGGATGCAGACGGTAGTGGAGCGGTTGGAGTCCAAATTAGGCAACACGCATCCGCAGGTAGGGGCGAGCGATGTAATGATGCTGGAGGGGCTCGTAGCAGGGCTTTTAGGTGCGGCCGTAGCCGCTTGTGCGTGGCGGGGATATGTCCTTCGTGACGGCTTCTCTGTGTACATACCTGCCTGGCACGCTAGAACCGTCGCACGAAGCGAACAAAAAAAACTTACAAATCACAATGGATTACAGATCACGCGTTCCCTGCTTGTGCTGGCAACTGGCGAATTGTGTCTCCAAATTCAATGCGCATAACCTGACGGCCATGCTTGTGCGCAGGTGGGCAAGGCCTGGCTGGCACTGTCGCGCATGTACCAGCACGTCGCGGAGGCGGAGCGCAACAACGGCGGCACCGGCAGCACCAACATGGCCAAAGCGGCTGCGGCCGTGAAGCGGGCCTGGGCGGTGTGTCGTGCCTGCGCTGAGAGCTGTGGCACCTCCTTGCAGTGCGATGACTCCTTCCGCTACCTCACCAATCGCACGAGTGAGGCAGCAGTGGAACCCGCAGCACCCGCGGAGGCCCCCCAGGCGCCCGCTGGGGTGCCGGCAGCTGGGGACATGGATACGGCGCCTGCGGCAGCAGCAGCAGCAGGTAAGGCAGCCAATACGATAGGGCAGGACGGGCAAGGAGGTTCATCAGCAAGTCCAGTACAAGAGGGATCGGGTGGAGGCGCCGTGGGTGCAGCCGGGGAAGGCGGGGCTGGGAGTCAGCAACCGGAGGAGCCGTCCCAAACGGCGGCGGCAGTGCCAGGGGAGGGGAATGGGGTTGGGGTAGGTGTAGAGGAAGAGGGGAAGCAGTCGCCTCCAGTAGATGCTATGGAAGAGTGAAGATGGATAAGGTCTTTATTACCTGCTAGGAGCAGTGTGCATTCTGTGCATGTCAAGCAATGACGTTCATGCTGCCTTGGCCTTGTAAAGGGCTGCCATTTGGCTGCACTCATGGCCAGAGTGCTTCGGGGAATGCTGAAACGTCCATGACTGCATTCTCACATTGGGCTGGCCCAAATGTACCGTATAGGATAGACGGGAGATGATGATGAATCTCCATCGGTAGACGCTCGCATGTGCATTATATTGATTATGATCCATTGTACGACACCGTGGGCAGTACACCGACTTGTGTGGTAGGCATATGTGGGTAGAAGGTCAACATAGTAACGCACAGCGTCTGCGGTCTATGTTTCTAGACGCGGTGTCCGTTAATGTCTGGCAACAGGGCACAGCGGCCAGGTACCGTCCAAAGTCAGGTACCGCTGCTTGCGGAAATGTGACTACTTACGCTGACGTCTTGCTTTTCAATCCGGTTGTGCTTCATCTTGTCACTATGCCGTTTGGGGGTAATGATGCGTGTTGACACTGTTTTACGATGGCTGTTGGTACCACCAATGGTGACATGCTTGCGGGCATGGTGAGAGCAACGGGATACCGGTAGGCTGCTGCGGAGTGGGCGTTGGGTTGTGTTGCTCGGCGTCTCGTTGTCCGCATACGCTGCTTAGTAAGCCATGAGGATTTACATAGGCTTTCATTAATGGCGTCATAACCCCAACAAGCGTCTGGGGTTGAGTACAACATGACGTGGTTATTACCGCAACAAGCGAGCATGCAGCAGTAGTCAGGCTGCATGTGGCCCCCTGTGTTCCAGCGCCCCGCAGCGGCCTCGACCGTCCCTCACCTACCGTATGGCCTGAATACATGCGTGCTGTGAGGCAGGGGGACGACGGTGTTTACAAGGACAATCATGTCTCAGCCGTGTGCACACGAGGTAGCTGTCCTACGAGACCTCTCCCAATCCGAGCTTGTACAGCAAGGGCATCAAGGTAACGCATGAGTCAGTTGACGTCGTTAGGGACAAAACCACATTAACGTTGCGTCCAGTGCGAGAGAAGAATAGTGGAGTCACCAATACGGGCAATACCCAATCGTTCAAGAGTTGCTAGGTACTTGCACGCGGCAAACTGGGTTGTGGCAACGTGGGCCTCATGCATTATATCGGCTGAGAAGAATTGGTAGTGGGATGTACGGAATCACGGGTCCGTTGTAAGTACTAGACACAGACAAACGTCACTGGGGCTATCCACAAGCTTATGTACAAGTAACGGTACGTGTATAAACGGACGCCAATCCCACCTAGCCAAGCCTTTCCAGAGCAAAACAAACAAACGTACGACACAAGGGCCGCCAACCATAGGGACGGCATCGGTAAGATCACACAAACGTGGTTCGCTGGTGGAACCGGCACGTCGCCAACACTCAGGTCTCTGTCCAAGCCCCGGGCTTCCTGGCCCCTATCGTATCCCAGCCCCATTACACCCCCCGCTGGTGGACCCTAGACAGCGCAGCAGACGCCCACGCCTCCAGCTGTTCATCCAGGTACCTGTCCAGCGACGCCTGCAGCGGCCGCAGCCGGGAAGCCAGGCCCGCCAGCGCCTGAGACCGCATGCTGAGCTCCTCCACGTCGGAAGCGGCCACAGACGCCTCTCGCCGCAGCTTCTCAGTCTGCTTCACCCAGCCCTCCACAGCTCGCCCGTACTTCTCAGCAGACGCCGCATCACCCGCAGCTTGCCTGGTAGCCGCCTTGGAGCGAGCCCGCGCGACGCACAGCGCGGCTGCGTCTCCCTGCGCAGTCACGACCGGGAGGAACCGTTAGCGGTTGCTGGCTAGGCAGGGACACAAAGACCTTCCAGCGCCGCCCCTGCATGCCACCACGCCACTAGTCCACTCTGCCCTCGCTGTGCCAATCCCCTGTTGACACACCCACCTGCACTGCCAGCGACTCCTGCTGTCGTGACCGCTGAGACGCCTGTGCCGACAGCGCCGCCGCAGCCTCCTCCATGCACCGCGCAAACGTCCCCAGTCGCGCCTCCAGCTGCTCCTTGGCGCCCTGCACCACCCTAGCCGCCTCCTGGGAGAGGTCCTCGCCACGCCGCGCATGGCCACGTGCCGCCGCCAAGCAAACCCCGGGCGGGTGGCCCGCCCTCAGCAGGCTGTCGAGATCCCCGGTGAGCCCGGATCCGGCTCCATCCCCCCTGCCGACGCTGTCCTGGTCAAGCGCTGAGGCGGCACCCTCATCCCCGAGCATGACGGCTCGCATGGCTTCGCACAGCAGCAGCTCCACGGCCTGCACCAACGCCTGCTGCGCCGCCAGCTCCTGCTCCGCAGCCCTCTGCAGGCGCTCGCTGGCCTGCGCGCACTGGCCGGTCTCCGCTGACAGCCGCTCAGCCAGCTGCTGCACCGACTGGGCCTGACCCGCCAGCTCCACTGCACGCTCGCCGTAGGAGGCCGCCTGCTCCGCTAGGGACTGCGACTTGGCCATGGCGGTCGCGTAGGAGGCAGCATCTTCAGAAGCCCCGTGGTGCGCCTGGAAAGTGGTGTAAACACAGGCAACTTTAAGTGTTAGTCCTCAAAAACAGCTTCCGTAAGAGTACCATGGAAATTGTGGCTCTTGTTACAATGGCTGAGACCCCCCGTCAGCAATGGGTCTGCAGGCCCGCCAGCCTTGACAACCGCGCCGCTTACCCTTAGCTTGCCGCTGCGCCCTGATGCCTTGGCGAACAGCCGCTGGCTCTGCGCCTGCAGCCCCGCCGCCACCGCATTCAGCGCCGCCACGTGCTGCACCAGCTCCCCATGCAGCCGCTCCAGCGCCTGCAGCGCTCCGCAACCAGCCAACGCCGAACCCGGCAGCCGCGGCACCAGGTGCCTCATCAGGCCGCTCATCTCCGCAGCAACCCTGGCAGTAACCGACCCACCGCCCAGCCGAGCCCGACCGCTGCCTGTAGCGGTTGCCGCCGCCAGCAGCTGCAGCCGCTCGCCCATGGCAGTGGCACGCCGGAGCAGGGCCTTATAGCGGGATGCCTCCGCGACCTGGCGTTGCAGGGCAGTCTGCAGGCGGCTCGCCCGCTGGCGCCACTTGGCTGCTGTGGCTGCTGCTGCGTCTGCCTCTGCGGCGCGCCCGCCTGTGCGCGCCTTCACCTCCTCCGCCTGCAACAGCTGCAGCTGCAGCTGGCAGCGCTCCCACTGCTGCTCCAACAGCTGTGCGGAGCCGTCGTGGATGTGCTGTGCGCGGCCGTAGTGCAGCGCAGCAGTGGACCACAGGTGCATCAAGCCGGATGCAGTGACGGGGTCCAGGTCGTCTGGTAGGGACAGTCGTGGCAGGGCCGGCGCCTCACGCGGGAGAGCTGCGGTGGCGGGGGCCGCTGTCGCGGTTGGCGGCACCTGCCGCGCTGCAGCCGCCGCGGCGCTTTCCTGCAGCCGCGAAAGGCCCGCCGCGGAGCCCAGAAGGCTCGAGGCTGTGTCGGATGGGGGCCTGCTGGCATCATGCATGGGGCGGCCGTGTCGGGCTGCAAGGGACCAATCGGGGTATGAGGACCTTGGCGGACCAGAGGGCATGGCATCGGTGAGGCTGCTGCTGGGAAGTGACAGCAGCGTATTGGAGGTGTCGGTGGTGCAGGAGGGCAGCTCACGAAGGGGCCACTGCTGGCCGCGCTCGCCTGCATGGGGCTGCTGCGGCACTTGGCGCGGCCCAGCTGGCCGGGACCTCCCGGATCCATCCGCGTCAGTGCCGAAAGAGCCATTGCTCGAGCGCTTAAGCAGGCCGTGTGGCGCTCCCATGTCCGTTGCCGATTCCATTCCGTGCGCAACTACCGACGAACCGGGGCCGTAGTTACCAGGGTGGCTTGACGTGGCGACACTCGGGATGCTGCTTGGCAGGCTAAAGGAGCCATCCAAGCTCGATGGATGCATGAAGGCTGACAGCCCCGACTCGTGGCGCGCATTCCCGCCCATTGTCGGCAACGCATTGACGGCCATTGACGGCGCTTCATACGCCCTCTGCCCATCTGCACTGCCCGCTTGGCCTCGGGTTGCCAGCGCTGCTGCCGCCTCTTTGGCTCGAGCCACAGCCGCCGCCGCCATCGCCACCAGGTCCGGGTCAATCTCATCTGTAGCACCGCCTGACGGCCTGGCACGCGGCTCAGAACGGGCCGGACTCTGTCCCGGACCCCGGGAGGCCTCCCGCCGATGGCCGCTTGGAGACTGCTGCGAGGACCGGTCCACCACTGACGGCAGGCTGGGAAGCCTCTCAAGCTGTGAACTGATGGATGCAACCACGTCTCGACTACCATCGTGAGACAGCGCAACTGGTTGGTGCACAGATGGCTGCAGACTCAACGTCGCAGCCTGCGGCGCATTGATGGCCGAACGAGAGCCGCTGCTGCCATCACGGCTCCCGCCACCTGGCCGTACCGGCAACACCGAGACCGCCCCTCGCAACGACGACACCGTGGGCGTGCTGCTTCCTTTAGCCGGCTCCACAGCCGCCGCCACCTCCATGCGCGGCGGTGCAGCCGCCGTCGACACCAGCGCAGGACGTTCAAGCCGCTCCGGGCTCTCAGCTGCAGGCCGGCTGGCCTCCTCCCACTGCGCGCTGAACGCATGTACCTGCGCCGCGCCCTCTCCCAGCAGCTCGGACGCCGAGTCGTCCAGCTGCTGCACCTGCTGCAGCAGCCGCTCCTCCTCCGCCAGCAGCTGGTCATGCTCTGACAGCAGGGCAGCCACCTCCGCAGCCGCCGCCTCTTCAGCCGTGGCAAAGGGGTGCAGAGATCCCCGCTGGCTCCCATCATCCGTGCTGGACTTGCACGAGCTAGCCGCCGCCGCGGTGGTGGTGCCCTCACCCCGGCCGGCCGCAGCACCCAACGCCGACAGCCGCCGTGAAAGTGCCTGCTCGCGACTGCTCCGTGCCTCTCGCACACGTTCCAAGCTGGCTCGCAAGCACGCCTCGGCCTCCTTGCAGCAGTCCAGTGGAGCTGTGAGCAGCATGGCAGCTGCATGCTGCTGCGACAGCCGCTGGCAGGCCGCGAACACGGCGGCTGCTTCGCTGGCGCGCATGCCCGGACTGGCCTTGAGCTCCGCGGCGATGCCGAAGCGCGCCATGTCCAGCAGGCAGTCGCTGGAGCGGCGCAGCAGGGCATGCTGCTGCTCGAGACACGAAACCTGCACAGGGTTTCCAAGGAATGCGCACCCATGATACGATTAGCAGTACGCATATGCCTGAGAACGCTACCAGCACCCTACTGAAGACCTCAGAGTTGTATTGGGCTTAAGGCCAGTTTTCCATCTAAAAGTTGACGGCACATTCCAGCACTCACCAGCTTATGTTCCTGTGCAGCGGTTGCCTCCAGGTAGGCCGCCTCGTGCTGCAGCCGCTCTAGCTCCAGCTCAGCGGCAGCCAGCGCATCCTGCGCCTCCCGGGCGGCCGCCGCGCCAAAAGACGTCAGCCACGAGCTCCCCGGCCCCCGCAACCCCCCACTGCCGGCTGCACCCGGCCTGCCAGCTGCAGCGTCCTTGTCGCCGTGGCTAATGTTCTGCATGCGCTGCACCTCCTGCGCCACATTAGCGCCCTCCGCCGCCTCCCGCAGATCCCCAACGACCGCTTGCTGCCGCTGTGCAGCTTCGAAAGCAGCCTGCGCCGCCTTCTCGGATGCCAGCGCGCTGCTGCGGGAGTTCTCAGCAGTCGCGGCGCAGTCTAGAGCTTGCGTGAACTTGAGGGCCGCTTCTGTCATGGTTTGCAGCGTCACGGAGTGCAACTGCGCTGCGGCCAGGATTCCGGGGCTGAGATTGTTAGTGGTGATGCTGCCGGTGGCTGCGGGTGATGGCAGCATGGCACCCGTAGATAGCTGCATGTTGTTGCCAGCAGCAGCTGAACCGCCATCATTCCAACCAAGAGTACGCAACGAGCCGAAGTCGATGACCTGCGCTCGGGAGCCTTCAAGCATCGAGACGATGCACTCCGCCAACCGCTGCGCGTCCTCTGCCCTTTGCCGAGCCTGCACATGCATGCGATTGAACAATGAGGCGATCAACACAGTAGCCAATAGGAGAAGAGGGATCACACAGAGGACCCAAGGGCTCCGTCACCAGGTTAAAAGCAAACATGTCGAGCGCTTTAGACAGAGCCTGGTCCACAGCGGCGCTGCCAATTGTGGACCAGGCAAATAACCACACCAGTCTGAGCCATACCTTGGTAATGCGCAGTTGGCTTGACTGTGCAGCCAGCTCCGCCTGCGCTGCTCGGCCGCGCGACGCCAGCAGCTGCTGCTCCAGCTGCGCCCTCTGACGTTGTGACATCAGCAACTCAGCTCGCGCCAGGTTGGCCGCCCGCAGGGCCGCCTCAGGGTCCTCTGTGTGCTCGCCGCCCGCCATGTCGATGTCAAGGTCGCTGCCGGGGAATCCGAACAGCTCGTGCTGCTCTCGTTGCAGCCGCATTGAGGACTCCTGCAGCTCCCTCACCCTACGAGGAAGGGTGGGCGCAAGTGCGTCAGCGGCCGCCAGGCTAAGGGATGAAGGTTTGGGACTGGTTTGAAAGCTAGCAAGGTGTTGCACACGCCCTAACACAGTCCATAACCGCGTACCTGGCCTCAGTCTTGGCCAGCGCCGTCTCGTTGTCGATCACCTCCACGGATGAGAGCGCGGCGTTACGCATGCATGTGGAGTGGTTAAGGTGTGCGTCCCGTGCGTCGAGCAGGTGACCCACACCGGCACTGCAGAGCCGGGCTAGCTGGCTGAGCAGGCCCACACGCGCCTCGGACTGCAAGGCAAGGAACGGATAATGGTAGTGTTAACGTAGGTTCAAGGTAACGTTTAGCGCCAGCAGCTACAGCTGTTCGAAGAGGTGGGAAGGAAACGGCTCGTAAGGATACGGCTTCGCGGCGTACCTTGGCGTGTAAGCTCGACATGAGCGACTGCTGCTTTTCCAGCGCCGCGCACCGTTGCTCGATGTTGACCACGCCGTCTGCTATCTCAGCAAGCTGCGTCGTCAGCAGGTCTGCAGCCTCCTCCCGCACGTGGGCTTGGGCGTCGTTTCCAACCTGCACACAGTTTGTGGTCGCAAGACACATGGCTGTGATTGTACCTTCATCCGTGAACCAGCTGCAGCCGGCCCCAGGGAACTTTGCTTCCTCCCATGCGACCCACGGACCAGCTATGTAGCTTCCGTGCCCTTGTTACCAGGTGAGCTGACCCAAACGACCCAAGGGACCCCGCCCCGGCCTACCCGCCGCAGCGCATGGGCATCCTTCCTGTGCGCCTCCAGCTGACTGCTCAGCGCCTCCATCTCGCCCCGCCGCTGCTGCAGCAGCGCCCGTGCCGCCTCCAAGCTGCGCCCCACCGTCTCCAGCTCCCCCTGCAGCTGCGAGTGCTCCTCGCGGTGCAGATCCAGCTCGTCCATGTGCTGCAGCAGCCGCAGCGACAGCCCCGCCAGGTCGTGGTAGAGGGAGGCGGCGGCCATGGCCGAGGTACACACGTCAGCCGCCTGCACCGCCTGCGCCTCCAGGATGCGCCGCTGCGACTCGGCGTCCGCCAGGTAGCGATCGAGTGCGGCTGCGGCGCGCTGCACCACCGCGGCGTCCTGTGTCTTGCCGCTCTGGACAGGGGACCAACACGGTACACGGTCGCTATAGGTCTTAGCTTTGGGGAGGACTAGCTTTTTGCTCGACGTAAGCACGGCAGCCGACGCCATAGCCTACCTGCTGCATACATTTTCCGACTCCGTGCATTTCAGCTACGGCCACCACCCCTCCTACCTTGGCAAGTTGCTCCGCCGCCTCCTTCGACGCCCTGTACTCCCGCTGGGCCACATCCGCCCTGCCCATGGCCTCCGCTGCGAGGCGCAGCAGACGCAGGATGTCCCGCTGACGGTCGGCGCACTCAAAGTGGAGCTCGCACGCCTGGTGGACGTACTCGGCTATGCTCTGGCCAACGGCCGCAGGACGCATGACCTGCGACATGCGCCCCTCCGCCTGCGGAAACGGCGAGGATAGGGTGTGACTGATTGCGCATGAGCAGATGCAACGGTCGAGGCACCACGGTAAGCTAGCCACAAGCCAAGACACTATTGGCCGTGCATTAACACCGGCAGTGCCACCTTCCGTCTAGCACCTGCTTACCATTGAAAACTCCTGCTTGGCATCTTGCATGCGGCTTTGCAGCTGTGTCAGTCGGTGCCTGCAGGACCGCACAACCTTGAGGTCCTTCTGCAGGACCTCCTGCACTGCTGTAGCCTGGCCCCGCGCCGCCGCCGCCTCCATACCCTGCCCTGCACGCATGTGCCTGTCCGCCGCTTCCAATAGGCCCTGGATCCGACTGGCAAGATCGCGCACCGTTCCCAGCTTCTCATGCATGGTTGTCAGCTCGTTGCCTTGGTTTGCACAGATCCCCACGCACACCAGCTGCAACCGCGCTACCGACACGGCAGCGCTGGCCGCAAGACGCAGTCGCTCGAGCATGGGACGCACGCGCTCGGACTCTGACAGCAGGCGATCCGCCTGGTTTGACACCTCAGTGGCCAGCGCGGCGGCGCGCACTGCCAGTGCGTCCTCAGCATCCGCCAGCGCATGCTGGCGGGCAGCCTCCGAAGCCGTCCTGACACCGGGGAAAGACATGCATGGCAACGTTTGTAGTCGTCTTTGGCATCAGAGCAGTGTTAGGTATCACGTGAAGCGGGAGGTACGCGTTTGTTGCGGAGTTCTATAGTATTACCTACCTAATTGCAGCAGCTTGGGAACGAACAGCGCTTGTTGCTTCCACACCAGGAGCTTCCAAACTGCGGCGGCCCTCTCTGTCAGCACCGCCGCCCGCTGCGGTAGCCCCTTTCCCGACCTCGGAGCGCAGCTGCCTGGCCTTCTCGACATGCTCCGCAGCTGCCGCCTGCAGCTCCGAGTGCTGCCGTGACAGCGTTGCATGCCACTCCGCCTGCTGCATGACCTGCTCCTGGTAGCGAACAACGGCGTGAAGGCGCTGCTTGGCAGCCTCCCAGCCAGCAACGGCAGCCTGCAGCACCTGCAGACGCTGGTTGTGGGTTTCCAGCATTTGCTCCGAAAGGGTGATTGCCGCCTGGGTGGTTGCTATTTGCTGCTTTTGCCTGTGGTGCAGCAAGGGGGACCAAGGGTGGGGTTATCACTGCATGCAGAGGGTGATAACCTGATAAGACCACAGAAAAGCCGACGCGCACCACTGAGCCAAGCTTGCATACGAGAAGAAGGGCCCCTCGAGGCTTGGTGTACCGAACGCCTAACCTCTCAACACGCCTACCTCGTCGGGACGGCCGTGCTGGGAGCCAGGGTGCTGCTGCCGCTTCCCATCGCAGCCGCCCTGGTTGTGGGATCCGGCTCCTGTGGTGCTGCCGCCAGCTCCTCATACTGCTGCCGCAGCTCCTCCAGCATGCGCGCGCACTCGCCGTGCGCCGATTGTGCAGAGGAGAGCTCCGACTTGAGTTGTTGGATATGTGCGGAAGCTTGGCGAACCTGCGGCGATACCGCCACAAACGGCATGAGCAACTCCGCACACCCAGCCGCTAAGTCCATGGGTCCCTCCATGCAACACCTTCAATAGCACCCAACGCACATACAATGCACACGCTCCCCCTCTCCCAAATACGGTACACGGTCTACCTGTTCCTGCGTCTCGCCAGCCTGCAGCACATGCTCTGCCCGCTGCGCCATCTGCACCACGTCACCCGCCAGACGCCCCCGCTCCGCCTCCAGCCCCTCCAGCTCCGCCCTGCGCTGCTGCTGCGCCGCCCGGTGCGCCGCGGCCTTGGCGGCCATCTGCTGCATGACCAGCATCAGGTTGGCAACGTCCTCGGAGCTGGCGGAGTGACTGGCGCTGGTGAGCTGCTGCCTCAGCTGCCCCGCCTTGCTCTCCAAGCTGCCCGCCTCGTGCTCCAGAGTGGCCACCTCTGACATGAGGGCGCGCGCCTGCACTCGCAGCGCGGCCTCCTGCTCGCGGCACTGCGCAATGCGCTCGGTGAGGTCGAGGGCCTCCAGGGAGTGGCGGTGGTCGGCCTGCAGCCGACGCAGCGAGGCTTCCAGATCGGCAGCTTCAGCATCAGCGGCGCGGTCCTCCTGCTCGAGTTCCTTGATGCGGCCTTGCAGCGCCGTCGCCTCGCCGCGGTACGCCTCAGCCTGCATGTGAATGCAGGGGCAGGATGCATCAGGAAGCGGTAGCAGCACATGCAACAGCTTGTTCAATGGGGGCTCCTCGAAAGAAAGCAAACTTCAAAGATGCGTAGAAAAAGGTAGGAGAAGGGGGTCCAAAGGTTGCTGCAGCAGCATAGCCAACCAACGTACCTGCTGTAGCAGCGCATTGATCATGAGCTTGGCTTTCAAGCTCTCCTCATCATCCTCATCCAGTGCCACACCCGACCTCCGCACGGCCGCCTCCACACCCGCCGCCTCGTCCGCATTCGCCTCGGCTTCCAGGATCTTGGCCGCCAGGTCCGACACCAGGCTGGCGGCCTGGTCCGACAGCTCCACCTGACGCCGGCGGGCCTCGCAGGCGCGTTTCGCGGCCTCCGCTATGGCTTGCAGCACGAGGATGCTGCCGCGCAGGCAGCGGTGGCGCAGCTCCGCCTGGTGTAGCTGCCAGCTGGCGGGGAAGCTGGGCGCAGTGGTCGCCATGCTGGAGGTGGTGGCGGTGTGGGGGCGGGGCCCAGCAGCCTCCTCCTGCACGGAAAAAGGAGGGAAGCGAACGGGTTGGAGGGCGAGGGCCATACCTTGCAGCCAACTACCTGGCCAGGAGGGGCGCACGAATAAGACGCTGGAGATGTTTTGTAGACTCTAGCCATACCTGAGCTGCGTTGAAAGGCACCAGCGCCAGCCGCGAGCTTGCAGGCAGGCCCGCAGATGTTGCTCCGGTGCTGCGACCATCCGTCAGGAGCGAGGCAGATGTGGCGGTGCCTGCAGCGGCAGCAGACATGCGAGCCTTCACGAGCTCCTGCATGGCTGCTCCCGCTTGCGAGGAGCACTCGGCTGCACGGTGAAGGCTTGTGGTTGCAAGATGGAGGTGGTCCGCTGCCGACACATACGACGCCTTGGAAGCAAGGTGGTGCTGGATAGTCGTGTTGCTGGCGGTAACCTGCAACCGGGCGGCAACAACCGTGTGCCGTTGGAGGCTACTGTCGAAGACGATGCGGAAGGCGACGTGTGGGCGTGTAATGAGATCTTGCAGCGGTTCGGCGTGTAAGGACAGCAGGAGCATGCCAAAGGGCACATGTCACCATCACATCCCAAGCACATGCAAACCCCCACCTGCGTCTGCAGCACCTCCAGCTCGGGCACCATGTCTCCCGACTGCTCATCCGCCGCCGGCGACATCTGGCTGCACCGCTGCTGGTACTCCGCATCCCTCAACCTCCGCACCAGGTGGTGCTTGTCGCGCATGCACGACAGCGCGTCCTGCAGGTGCTGCGCCGCTACATGCCGCAGCTGCACCTCCCTCAGCAAGTAGTCCCCGTGCCGTACAAGCGTCTTGTGCTGAGCCAGGGCGGCACTTGCGGCCTGTTCCGCGGAGGCTGCTGCTGCGGAGTGCTGCAGGGCGCTGGCACGACACTGCCGCGCTTCCGACAAGTGGGCGTCCGCAGCCGCGAAGTTGAGGTTCTGCGAGGGCGGAGGAGAGGACCATGCAGGACAAACAGCTTAGGATTTGGTGGAAGAACTGCTGGCAACTTGGAGTGCAGGCAGGCGCGGGCTTCTATGGATTGGGATGAAGGCGTTTCTTACCGTGCGACACTGCAAGGACTCGTGCTGCAGGAGCTCGGCGTCCTTGGAGGCAGACTCAGCCAAGGAACGTCGGGACTTGGCTTCCTGCTCAAGCCTGCGTGCGTCCAAGCGGCGGGAGCGACAGTAACCGTGCATGTTGGTGGCTTTGTATTTGAGCTAAAGCCGTTCATTACGCAAGTTTAGGCGACAGGGAAATTGATGACAGGGCGAGGGCTGCAGTTAGTCCAATGGGGCCCGCCCCTCTACAAACGCAGGATGAGGGGCCTTGTCTTGCCTTTGGTGCTCCACGTCAAGTTCGTTGGCCCTGCGAGTCACCGTGCGAGCCTCCTGCTGCAGGTCGATGATGCGCAGCAGGTGTGAGACCAGCTCGGAGCTCGACTCGGCAACCTGCTGCAGCTCCTCAGCGGCCGCCTGCGCAGTGGCGTGCTCGTCGGCCTTGAGCTGCGCCTCGTGCATGGTGGCAGCCAGGGCTGTCTCGGCGGCCAGGGCGTCCTTTGCAAGCCGATCTGCAGCCTCTTCAGCAGCTGCAGCTTGCAGCAAGTTACCGCTCGCCTGCATGCATTGCGCAAAACGGCAGCAGCGTTAGTGGCCGCTTGAAGTGGAAGAGTCTGTCCCATGTGCGCGCCTGGGGACGTGGGGAGCATTTCATAACTCTTAAAGGGTTAAGACCCCATGCCCGGTGATGGCTCCAGGGCAAGAACGACGCCTACCGTGAACACGCGGGCCTCGTCGAGGACGGAAGCCATGTGGTTGCGCATCATGGAAAGGACCTCACGACGTACGGCAAGAGTCGAGTCCAGGCCTTTGCCCGCGTCAGAAGCGACAGTCGCAGCGTATTGGAGGTTCTGCTGGGCTGTGTGCAGGCGGCGACAAAGTGCCAGGGAGTTAGGATTACATGGCCTCCAACGTAGGTAGAAAAGTCCAGCTTTTGTGTTGTGACACCGTTTAAACAACAGTGGAGGTCCATGACAAGCAGAAAGGTCGGTACGGCCTCTCGTAGGAGTGGCAAGGGAACTACCCAGCGGCTACTGCAGGCATGCATCCTCGTCTCGTCGGCTTGCAAGCATCGCAAACACGGGTACAGCTGACGCAGTCATTCCCACCGCCAACCACCCTTGCATGCTCACCTTCAGCAAGCTGAGCCGCCGCTTGCCGGTACTCCGCTACCTGCAGGGCTGCGCTGAGCTGGTCCCGTGCAAGAGGTACCTGCACTTCCAGGTCCGCAACCCGGTGCTGCTGCTTGTCGATCTCCTCCTGATCCAAGGGAAGGTTCGCCGCCTTCTGCCCCATAAGCTGCATCTGAATCGCGTTGGGCTCCGAGCGCGCATCACACAGCGCTGCATGTGCCCCCGCCGCCTCCACACACATCGTCCTGAGCTCTGAGGCGAAGGCGCAGGCACGGTCCAAATCCAGCAGCGCCTTCTCTGCTGCCGCAATCCTCCCGGCCCGCTTGGCAGCTTCACTCAGTGGCTGCTGCTGCTGTGAAGTACCACTGCTACTGACCGCACCGCCGTCTGATGCGCCTGCAACGTAATCCTCGGCGTCATGCGAGGACTGGTACAGCTGCAGCAACATCGACAGCTGGCCCATCCGCTTGCGCAACACATGCATGGCCTCTGAGGAGCCATCCGCCACTTCGTCCAGGTATTGCTGAATGGCGTCCGCCGTGTCACCCGTGAGGCGTGCAATGCCATCCAGCACCTCGGGCTGGGGCTGAGGTGAGCGCGGCAGCTGCGATGCGGTCCCGCGCCTGACAGGGGGATAAGGCATACCAGCGGGTGCAATTTAGCGGCATAGTTGCATGGTCAGCATGTATGGCAAGCTATGGCAAACATGTATGCAAGCTGAAATGGAATCTCGTTGCGTTTGTTAGCCCACTGTTTCACGGTCTTTCACCCAACTCACGGCTTAGCGGGTGGGAGCGCGTCAGGCGACTGCATGCTGTCTGGCGTCGCCCCTCCAAGCTGCTGGACGCGGTCAGCGGCTGCGTCGGCTGCCGCCTTGAGGGAGAGCAGCCTGTAGCGCTGTACCAGCGCCGCCATCTTGGCTGACTGGCCGTACGCTTCCGCCAGCTCCACCGCGGACTGGTACAAAGCCTGCAAAGCGGAAACAGATGCGTGCGTGTCGAGTGAGGTGCAAAACGTGTAAGCAATAGCCCAACGTCTACCAGGCCCAGGCCTCATACTGGCTGAATCATTGTCGATATTAACTCGGACGGAGACACTGCCAGTCTCTGGCCCCCAGGCAACGACCGCCCTCTGCTGCCTTACCTTGTTGCACTGTGTCTTCTTCTCGCACAGCAGCTGTCCCGCTACGGTCTTCTTCGCCATCGCAGCAATCTGAGCTGCTTCCGCACGGCTCTCAGCAGCACGCCGCCGCGCTACTTGCACACGCGCCCGCTGCTCCTCCATGAACTGGGTCAGGTTCTGCTGTTCCAAGCTAGCAGCGTAGGCCCTGCCCAGCCTGTGGGGGGAGGGGGGCAGAAGATTACGAACACGACGTCAGCAGCCTGCATCCAGGGGGCTGTGGAGCCCGGGCTGCTCTCCCACCCATGCCTACCTGGCGCCTCTCGCAGTCGCCAGCGTAATGCATTCCAGGGCATCAGCCGCATCGGTCTCGTGGCCCTGTGCATCAACGGCTTTGGCCTGCGCCTTGCCGCTAAGGACGGTGCAGCGAGCCTCGAGGCGCTGTGCCTCCCGGCGCAGGTGCCAGTCCACGACTGCGTACTGCACGGCGTCCTGGCACGCAGTGGCCTCATCCTCCAACAGGTCCGCCTGTGCATGCAGGGAAGCGTGCCCAGCATGTGTTAGTCAAGAGTCAGAGAAGGCCACTGCGTTGCCACGAGAGCACCAACATAGCGCCGGTAGTGGGTTGCATGGGACGGGAACGGGAGCCCACCCACCTGCTTTTGACACCAGGCTGCCTCGGCCTCCTTCAGGCGTATCATGGCATCACCGTGATCCAGCAGGGCGGCCCTCTGCTCCTCATCCGCGTCGCGAGTTGCCGACCTGTCCATCCGGAGCTGGTCCTGCTTCCGGCACATGAGCTCAGCAGCGGCGTTCGCGGCGTCGCTTTGGCGCCGAAGACTCGTAACGCGCCCGCCTAGTTCGTCCAGCTGCAGCACGCAATATGGGTGCGCAGGCCGCGCAGGCGCCCGTTAGGTTGGCCTAGCTCTAGTGGCCGTCAGCGCAGTGCATGAAGGTAATGTAATTGGAGCTACGTACAAAAGCACAAGCCGATTCCACAAGAACAACAACATAAGGACTGCATAATTGATACATGCACGCCGTCCTGTACGCGTTGCTTACCCGCTGCTTCACCGTCCGGTACATCTTGGTATCCGGTTCGGCCTCCGCGTCCTGGTCATGCTGCTCTTCCTCGTCCTTGTTGTCGTCGCCAACGTCAGCCTTGCTGACACGCCGGTCTTCCTTGGCTGACGTGCCGGCACGTTGGCCGGGGTCGTCATTCGCCACACTTCCGGTGGTAGTTGCAGCCCGCTGGTGCCCGTCTTCCGTTGTCCTCACACTGTCCCGGCCTTGCTTGGATGCTAGCAGAGCAACGGACTGGGTGATGTGCGACAAGGGCCGCAGGCTCTTACCGGCCACCTGTGTTTCCAGGAAACAGGGAAGGAGCACGACCAGTAAGTACCACACGCGTAACTGCGGATGGTGGCAGTTACACGTTGGCGCATGGCATACTAACGCAGCGCAACGACGTCAATCCAAAGCCCAGCAGGGTGGGCTGTTACGCTGTCCCATGCAGCCTGAGACGCACCTTTTCCAAAAGGGCGCCCGCAGTGCCCACGGCTTGGGCACCGATGCCATCCGGACTTCCGGGTATCACCAAACTCTGCGAGAGCGGCGAGTCCTGGTGCGGCCCCGACAGGGAGGGTATCTGCAACAACGCCCGAGGCAGCCCCGCTGCAAGGGAGCTGGGGCTGCATGCTTCCTCATCCTCCGGCAGCTGAGCGCCGTCACGCGCACCCAGCATGCGTGACGCTGCACGTGACGTGTGTCGCGTGGGGCTAGCTAGCGGCGAGGCGCCAGCGCTGGGTCCGCCCAGGGCTGGAACCCCTGCCGTGCCGTGGCCCACCTGAGGCGTGCGCATGAGCGAAGAATTCCCCTTAGCGCCGAGTCGAATACGCGCCAGGGGCGAGCTTCCCACTGCAGCCTTTGCGAGGTTGCGAGAGCTTAGCCCCGCGTGAGGCGCTTGACGGGCAGCCAGGGCCCCATGCGGCCCACGATGCGAGCCGCTGCCGGGGGCTAAACTGCTGCTGCCGCCTCCACTGCTGCCGATGGGAGAGCCAAGACCGGCATCGTCAGGGAGGTTCCGCTGCGGCTTGAGGTCGATGCTGGCGTAGCGCGCGGCGGGCACACCCCTGTTGCGTTGGAGCTGGACTCCAGGCATGTCTTCTGCTTCAGCCTTGTCGGAGCCATCAGGGCTTTCCGAGTGCTGCAAGTATTCAACAGAGGTGCGCGGCAAGGTGAGCTGTGGTGGCGCGCTTGCCTTGAGGTCCCGTGCTCCGGTGTTAGCTGCTGAGAGGGGACCAGCTGGAGCTGAGTGGGTCAGGACGGGGGAGCCCCTTCCTGCGGAGCCTGTCTGCAGCGGCCCGCCTGAAATGCGGCCTGGTAGTTCTCCATGAGGCGAGACAAATGGCGTCTCCCGTGGCGACCCCTGCAAGCATAAGGAAGGCTGCAGTCAGGTCCATGTATCCAGTATCCAGTAAAGCTAAGACAAACAGAACCTACCCGTATGACGTCGTCTTGCGCGTCACCAACTTCTGGAGCTGCTGTGTCTCCAGCGGACTCGTCCTCTGGAGCCGAGCTGGCTGCTGCATCAGCATCTGCCTCGTGCGCCTGCTCGAGGACACTCCCAGGGTTAGCCCCTACCGCCATTACAGGCGCCCTACGTGCCGAGCACTTGGCACCAACATGTGTACCTAGCGCTACCACCCTACCTGCTGCTCTAGCTCTGCTATTCTTGGCTCCAGCTGAGCTCGCTGCGCTTCAGCCTACGGCACGGCCACGGGAGGTCTAGTTGGTTACCGTCCCGCCAAACATATGCATCGTACTGCGTCAGCCTTCCTGGTTACCTTTGCAGCTTGCCGCGCTGCCGCAACAGCGGCATCCCGGTCTTGCTCCAACTGCTGCTGCGCTGCTCGAAGGGTCGTCCGCATCAGCGACGCCTGCTGCTTGGCACGAGCAACGTTGATCATGTGCGTGGCCAGCTCGTCCGGTCGCAACTTGCTGCTGCCATTCGACCCAGCCTTCTGCAGTACAAGAACATGCACCGTGTTATGGGTTAAGACCTGGCAGCAGTTACCGTAGCTGCTTCCTCAAGCTATCACACCCACCTGCGCTTCCATCGCAGCCAGCTCCTTCTCCGCCTCAGCCAGGGCTTGCTGCTGTTGCGCCGTTGCTGTCTGCTTTTGCGACGCCTCCTGCAGCTTGTTTGCCGCCGTACGCTGCCACTGGAGCATGGACACGGACAGGTTGTGCGCAGCGGAAACCTGCAAAAGGTCGACAGGCAGGGCAGGCAGCAGCAAGAAGCAATTTATTGTCATGGCTTCACGGCAGGCTCCTTGACCACAATAACCGTTTCAGCATCTGCATTCTTGACGGACTCTGGTTGGACCCTGTACGCACGCACGCACCTGTTCGAGAACGTCTGCATGCACAGCAGCCCGTGCCTTGCCCTGCTCAGCTGCCTGACCTAGCTCCTGCGCCTCTGCTCGGAGCTTTTGCGCATCGCCCTCCATTTGTACCGCTTGCGCCAGCAAACCATCCGCTTGCTGCTGCAAACTGTACCACAGGGTCAAAAGAACAGTACGGCAGGGCTAGTTTGTAATGTGGGAGTACTGGAATATACCAGGCAGCACATACCCAGAACGCTCGTATGGCGCTCTTTGAAACACAAGGGAGTCGCTTTGTGTCATGCACCGCATGTTGGGCACACGCTTGTTTGCAAACGGGAATAGACGGCAGGCACGCCTGGCGGACCCAAGAGTGTTGCACAGCTACGCAGGGTAAGCGACACCCTTCACCGCACCTGTCAGCTATAGAGCTGCAGGCCTCTGCCTCCTGGCGTCGACCACTGGCCGCCATCCTCCGCGACTTGTCCCGCTGCTCCGCTGCCTGCCGCGCAAGGTCCCCCGCTTGCTTGCGATGCTGTGCGGCGGCTGAAGCCATGGTGTGTGCAAGACCAGCAGCCGCCTTCGCCTTGTCCTGCTGCTCAGCAATCGGCGCCTCTAGTTCCTGGAGCTCCAGGCGTGCCTGCCATGCATGGACACAAAGACACCTTCATACATGGGGACAGCATGGAACACGCTGGTTTGCGGTTTAGCCTTAGCCTTACCGTGGTAAGCCGGTCTTCCCATGCGATGGCAGCCGCAGCTGTGTCCGCCGCCTTCTCCGCCTGCTCCAGCCACTGCTCCCGCAGCTCCACCGCAGATTCCTCGGACGCTATCTTCTCAACCAGCTGTCGGTGCCGCCGCTGTGAAGCGTCAGCTCGCTGCTTGATCTGTTGTTGACGCTGCGCAATCCTCGTAGATATGCCTCGCACAAAGTCAAGGCGCTCTTGCAGGGCAGCACCTGTGCCGGCCTGCACAGTGCAATATTCACAGCGGGCAACCTTTTACGCACATGCTAAAGGTACTCAATGACTTATCGGTGTGGACGTCAGCAGGCGTCCCCGCTGCCAACTCCGTGTGTATGCTTTCCATATGTGTCCTGCCTCGCCGACGAACCACTACTTCTAAGACGACCGACGCTCCCGTTAGCTAGCATCACCCACTTCAGCAGCCGCATGCACGGCAGTACCGGAAACACACCTGGCCTGGAGCCTCATTCGAAGCCCTTTCCAGATCGCTTGCCGCCGCTCCGTACGCCTCTGCAGCCTTGGTGAGTACCGATGCTTCCTTCTCGCAACGCCGCGCCTCCAGTTCCACCGCCTCCACTTCAGCGCGTGTCTGCTGCAGGGCTGACTTCGAGGCGTCCAGCTGCTCGCAGGCCTGGAGCGCCTGCTGCAGCATGGCGATCCGGTGCTCGTGGTACTGCATCCGGTCGTGGCTCGCCTGCACTTCGGCTGGCGAGGCGTTGTCCAGGGAGCTCTGCTGGACCTGCACAGGGGCATGAGGCAGCAGGAAATGGTTGACACATATATTCGTTCACTTTCCTGTCCTCAGCCGTCCTCGCACGCCACCCTGCTCCTCCATCCTCCTCCTTACCCCGCCTCCAACCCGACCCTCCTTTCCCATCATGCAATGCGGCCTTAGCACGTCTCGTGTCATGCCGGTTTGCGCAACCTGATGGCCCCCAGGAGCGCACCCGGACGGCTTCCAGCTGCTCCTCGGCATGCTGCAACTGAGCGGCCAATAGCTCCCGCTGCCTCGCAAGCCGCTCCGCGTCATCCGCTTGGGGCCTGTCATTCTCTGCTGCACGTGCGGAGTGTCCCAGCTGCCCTAGCAGCTGCTGCTCGTGCATTCCGTTGAGACTGGCCATCTCGGCCTCCACGGCGAGGACTCCCTGGATGGTGTCGTCTGGCAGCTTGGCGAGGGCGGCTGCCAGCAGCGCACTCCTCCTGGCCAGGTCGTCGGATCTAGCACGCCTCGGCTGGTCCTGCGCAGAGGATTGAGCTGTAATGTTGTACGCGGACACACGGGCCAACCGGCACAGGTGCAAGTTACCTGTGGCATGTTGCAGGGATAATGCAGGCAGGGTACCGCGCTACCGCCCCATGATTAAGGAGACAATCCACCTCGCTTTTACATGAGCACCCACCTCCGGGTCGCTGAACCACAATTGTAAAGCTGCTTCGGCGTCTGAAGGGGAGAAAAGCTGCGAATCCGGATGAGATGGGTAGTCTGCAGAGTTGCAGACGGAAGGGCCAGGCGGCCCAGATCGGGTGGGCCTGCCAGTGATTGGCTCATGTGCGTTGGAAGCAGGACCCGACGCCGCTCCTGGCGCTAAGGTCGTCACTTGGCGGCCAGCTGCAGGCCCACTGCCGGTGGAAGCTTGCTGGCCGCCTGACATATCCTGAAGGCCCGCTGATCCGCCGGCAGCCAGCGAGCCGGGGACACCCGGGGTCTCACGAGCTAGGTAGCCAGAGGTGCTGTCGCCCGCAGCCACCTGGGGCCCGAAGGAAGCCAGCAAGCCGGGTGAAGCTACTGTAGTACGATGGCCATACAGCACCTTAATGGCACAAGGAGAGTGCAACACGATGCATCAACCAGCTTAACGGGCCAACAAACCGTTCGTGTAGTACCTGAAGGTCTTGTGCCGCCACAGAAGCCGTGCTGGACAAAGAGGAGCCATGTCTAAGCTGCCCACCACTCGGCAGGGCCGCAACTAGCTCGTTCGACTGCAGGGGGCCAGAAGCCAGCTGGGAGGTCAGGAAGGAGCTGCCAACACTCAGCTGGCCGCTCATCGCAGCGTGGGAACGTGCGTCAGTTGCTACAGTGGTGGTGACCAGGGAGGAGTCTGCCGGAGCCGCGTGGAAGGGACCTGCTTGGCTACCAAAGCCCGCCTGTAATGGGTAGACGGACCAATGGAATTGGCACAGATCACCAGTAGGAGTGGACGGGGATTGTGCACGGTCCGTGTGTCCGGTGTCCTGAAAGGTGGACGTGCTGTTCACCCGGAGGGTGATTGTCCTGAGTTTCCATTGGTTATGTTACGACAGCCAGCGGGAGATGCGCCTGCATGGCTTTTGGCTCACCTGCGACACGCTGTCCGGCAACCGCATGGAGCCCTGGCCGGCGGTTGTCAGCTGAGTTCCTGAGCTGCCGTGACCAGGCGCCTGCCGAGCTGCACCCTGCACAGGCTGCGCGCCCTGTCCACCCTGGGTAGCCGCCCGGGACCTCGCAGCCTGCAGGTAACAGGCGCGAACACAGAATGACTGCTAACCCCGAATCGTTTAGTGGCGTTACACGCTGCTAGCAGCTCACCTGCTCCACAGCCGCTACGACTCTGTTCTTCCCGGCGACACATTCCGCGTCCGCAACCTCCTGCAGCCGCCTTGTGGCAGCAACGCACTGCTGCGCACGTGCAGTGCTGTCAGCATGGCGCTCCAAGTGCTGTTGGACGTCCGCGTCGGAAATCACCGCAGCGCCCGCAGCTGCTGCTCCTACGGCATGTAAGGGGCCTTCGTAAGCAAACATGGAGGTTATGGGCATGCAGGTGGTGCACTACAGACAGTGAATTTCAGAGAAAGCATACCTGGATCGAGGTTTGCAAGGTCGGTTTGTGCCCCAAGGTTCAGGGCTGACACCGCAAAGGTATAGCCTTCCAGCGCGTGTTGGACGCCAGCGTCCGCCTCGTTTGCGGCTTCAGCAAGGATCTCGACCATCTTGTTCAGCGTCTCCACATTTGCTGTGGCCTCAATCTCCTGCCACATCGTGGAATGCAAACAAAGTCAGAGGTCTGAGGAAAAAAGGCATCGTACGCCACCCGTCAGCCATGCTACGGTATGTGCTAGGTGCCCAACCCACCTTCAGCTCCGCCTGCTCTGCGCGCTGCTGTGCTGCCGTGTGTGCAGCGCTTAGCTGGCTCGCCCGAGCACCAACCTCCGCGTGCTTGTTCCTTGTGCGCTGCAGCTCAAACTGCGTGGTGAGGGCCTGGGCGGTGCTGCCTTGGGCCTCGAACACAGATAGCTCCGCCTCAAGCCGCTGTACATGCTGCAGCAGCTCATCATCTAGATGTCTCGCTTCCTCCGCTTGAGACCCCAGGGCTGCCGCCTCCGCCCCTGCGGAGCGGGCAGCTTCCGTGGCTGCTTTCTGCCCGGCCAGCGCCCGACGGTAGGCGCTGAGGCTCAGGACGAGCGCGTCATGCGAGTTTGCTTGGATGGTAAGCGCGCTCTCCTGCGATGAAAAAGTTTGGGTACAAGCCACAATTTAACTAGGATCGTCCGCAGCAGGCATGGCTTAGCTGGGATAGCCTGCACACGCCTTTATCCCAGACCACCCGCCTGCGGTGTAGAATTAACATGCGACACTGCTAAGACTGGACGACTTGAAACTTACCGCCAGATTAGAAGCTGCCGCAACAGCCTCACAGCGCTGGGCGGCCCTTTCAACTACTTCCGTAGGGGCCTTGTCGGGAGGCAAGGCCGCCAGGAGTTCTTGCAGTCGTGTTTGCCGCTCATCGTCGGTCTGCCTTTGGGCCTGCACAAGCCCAAGACACTCGCGTGTCTTAGCCTGTGACACGGCCAGGCTGCTGCTAGCTGCCGCCAGGACTGAATCGTCAATGGTCGACGCTTGAAGTGCGAAGGCCAACGCCGCATGGCCATCCCACCTGCAACACGGGCGTGAGAGCATTTAGCTAGCATGCCAAGGACTACTGTGTAGCATGGATAGGCGCTTTACACAAACTAAACCGCACGGGGTCGCACCATGTTTCGACATACACAAGTGCCCACCTGTTGGATGGGACTTCTGGTCTAGGCATGCCTGCCTGGGACTCCAGTTCCCGCACAAGGGAGCCCAGCCGGCCCTCCTGCACCGCACTGCCGCCAATGCTCCCGGCGCTGCCAGCAGGCCGAGATCCGGCCGCACGCCCGGAACCATCCAGTCCGTCCGCGCCCTGTTGCGTCTCAAGCTGCTGCATGAGGTGCGTTAAGCGCAAGTCCTGTCCCGCCCCGCCGCCAGAGCCTCCGCTGCCAAGGAAGGCCGTCTCCGCATGGGGCCCAACTGCGTAGCCCGACCCCACGCGGCCCCTTTCAGGGTCTTGCGACTCGAGCGCCTGCACGAGCTGCAACAGCCTCGTGTCCCGGCCATGGCTACTGCTGGTCGTGCCGCTCAGCTGTCCAGGCAAGAGCGATCCGGCTCTGGATGGACCGGCTTCGGACGCTTGCTGCGACTTGAGGACCTCTGCAAGCCTCGCTATGCGGCTATCGTGCCCTACCTCGTCATGTCCAGCACTAGACTGTTGAGGTATGGACGACGACGCCTCCGAAGCAGCGGAAAGCCCAGCAGCACTGCGAGCGGCCCCAACGGAAGCGTGGTGCTCCAGCGCCCGCGTCATCATTGCAAGCTCTGGATTAGAGCCAGCAGCCTCACTCCACTGCTGCAGCAGGGACTCTCCAAGTCCCGAAGCCAGCGGGTCTCCCAAAGATGGGTTGGGGCCAAGCAGCTGCGCCAGCCTTGCAAGGTTCGCGTCCTGGCCTGGGTTAACGTTAGAGGCTCCGCTGCGCTGAAGCAGCAGTGACGCGCCAGGCCCTACGGTCCCCGAAGCACTGCCGTTATCCCCTGAGGAGGCCTGCGCTCGAAGCAACTCAGCAAGCTTCGCCACGCCATCGGACCCCATGCCGGCGTCAGCTGAGAGCACCCCAGGAGCTTGTGGGCCCAGCTCCTGAAGCAGCTTTGCAAGCCGCTCGTCCTGTTGCGCAACACCGACGCTGGTGTCGTTGCCTGTTTTGTGTGAAGCCTGCCCGGGAGCAAGAGAGCCAGCTCCGGTTCCTTGCCCATCAGAGGCAGGCCCAGTAGCCCGCAGCCCTTCGCTAGGAGCTCGCAGCCCAAACTGCTCCATATGCCTAGCCGCTGGCATATCGGACGCGGCTGCGGCTGCTTGCGGCCCAAGAAGCTGCTGGGGTGCTAGTAACGGCATATCCTGCGCTGAAGCACCGCCGCTGCCTCCGCTTTGCTGGTACGGAGCAGCCGAAGCCTGCTCGACGGTAAGCCCCGGGTTGCCGTACACGCCTGCGGCTTCACGCGACCCATGCTGCTGCATTGCCGCTGCCAGTCTAGCGTCCTGTCCCGGAACGACGTCAGCCCCTCCGCTCTGTTGAAGAGCGGAGGAGGCGTTAGAGCCCACAGACATGATGACCATGTCACCAGACGAAGCGGCAGTCGCATGCGCCCCAAGAAGGCGCTCGACGACTGCCAGCCTTGTGGCTTGTTCATGGTTGCCGTCGGCGTCCCCGCTCTGCTTAGGCGGCAGGGATGTGACAAGGTTGGTGGCAAGTACGGCACCGCTCATTTCGTTGCCCTGACCACCACCAGCGCCTTCGCTTTGATGATGCGGCAAGAAGGTATCAAGGTTGGCGGCCAGCCCCGAGCCAACGGAGCCCCCCGCAGCTGCATGCGGCTCCACCCGTTGTCCAAGGGAAGCTGCATGCGCCCCCTGTGATGACGCGCCGCTAATACCTCCGTCATGCCGTTGCAACGTGGACAGACCCTGCCCCACGGAAAGTCCTGAGACCCCACCAGCAGCTTGCGCTGCAGGCGACTGGAGCAGTTGCGCCAGTGCTGCCAGCCTCGTGTCTGTGTCTATGCCGCCGCTGCTTTGCTGGTACGGCCGGGACGCGCCGGATCCAACCGTGACCTCCGAACCGACTAAAGCATCAGCCGTTGCTTGTGACTCCAGCAACTGCTTTAGCATGACCAGCCGAGGGTCCTGCCCAGCGACGCTGCCATCGCGCTGGCGTTGTTGGTGCGAGGATGAGCCGGACCCAACGGCTGCCTGTGCGCTACCAAGAGTCGCTTCGGCCCCACTCAACCCAAGCAGCTGCTGAAGCCCTGCCAGGCTCGCCTCCTGTTCAGGAGAAGGCGCACTACCGCCCCCGCTCAGCTGCTGCAACCAACGCAGCTCGGTATCGCCAAGGCTGCCTTGGTCACCTAGGCCAGCATCAGCTGCTGCTGACGACCCAAGCAGCTGCTGAAGCCTAGCCATCCTCACGTCCTGCCCTGGGTCACGGCCACTGCCTCCGCTTTGTTGCGAAGGCAGAGACGCCCACGGCCCAGCGGCAGCACCAGCATCGCTTGAGGCGATAGCGGCTGGCTGCGAACCAAGGAGCTGCTTTAGGGCTGCTACTCCCATAACCTGCCCTGGAATGGCACCACGGCCCCCGGTATGTTGGTTTGGCACGGTCGCATCGAGCCCCACATCAGAGGCTGGATCGCCGGCTGCATGCGACCCAAGCAGCTGCTGGAGTGCCATGAATCGCGCGTCCTGCCCTGTAGCGCCATCACGCCCGGGAGGCTGTGACGCACCAGGCCCGACAGGACCTACCATACCCCCGCTCAACAGCGGCGCATGCAGCCCATCTCCCATGGCCAGCCCTGACCCTTCAGGAGCGGAACCAGTCGCGTTGGAATCAAGGAGTTGCTGCAGCGCCGCCAACCTCTGATCCTGCCCCGTGGCTCCTATGCCGCGTCCGCTGTCGTTGTCCTGCAGGTATTGCTCAGACCCTGCGTCAACACCGGGCTCCCTAGATGCAGGGGCTGCTGCCGCATGTTCCCCAGGCTGCTGCTCGTTCGTGTCCTGCTCCAGGACGCCTTCCAGCCCTCCGGCGCGCTGTGCTGACAACACTTGCCGAGATCCGATCTGCCCACTGTTCTCCAGGTCCGCTGCCGCGGCCTGCGACTCAGATCGCCGGATGAGCCTTGCCGAATGCAGCTCGGGCTCAAACAAGCCGACCGTCGCCGCGCTACCTAGCTGAGGCAGAGTTGCGCCTGAATCCACACCGGGTAGGAAGCTGGCTGGGGCTCCTGCGGGGCCCTGCGACTCAAGCTGCTGCATGAGCCTTGCCAGCCCTGTGTCATGCGCCACAACGCTGTCAGCGGTTCCACTGCGAATGTCCGGCAAGGGCGCCCCAAATTCAACGGTGGCCCCTGAACCGGCGTGCTCCAATGCCTGGACTGCTGAGGCCTGCGACGCAAGCTTCTCAGCCAGCTCCAACAGCCTTGCATCCTGCCCAGAGATGCCGCCTGTGGCCCTACCAGCAGGCTGCGGCGGGGCTGCACCCGACTCCTGGGGCACCTCAAAGCTAATTGGTTCCCCGATGGGCGCATGTGACTCTAGCTGCTGCATAAGCCTTGCCAGTGACGCTGCCTGTCCAGGCAAGCTGCTTCCATCACCGCTACCGGCGGCTTGCGCCAAGGCCGCAGCATTCTCCGCCGTTAGCCCGGAAGCAACCAGGTCAACGCCATGCGTTGTTGAGGCCTGCAGCTGCAGCTGCTGGAGCAGTCTTGCCAGCTGCGAGTCCTGTCCTGCAGCCCCGCCGGCTGCCCGGCTGCGATCCGGAGCCAGAAGGTCGGATCCAGGGGCGCGCTCTGGACTGGTTGAGGACGCAGCTACTGTAGGTGCACGCGACTCCAGATGCTGCATGAGGTTTGCTAACCGTTCACCCTGGCTTAGCATGTCGGCCGCAGACGCCCCCGAGTTAGGCCCCAGACCCTGCGTCCCGGGACTAGATGCGCCTTGTTCCCTGGCCGACATTTGCTGACCGCTGGTAGCCTGATCCTGCGCATTAAAGTAGGGGAATGTGCTGTTAGCGTGGGCCAGCGCAGGGTTACCAGCGAAACCGAGCTTGGTTGAAGGCCAACTCACCCAGAACACCGACTCCCGGCCCGTGCCAAGGGCGCTGTCCTCGGAAAGCTGACCACCGCAGCCTGCTTCAGGATTACAACATAAGTTCACTAGGGACACTGTTAAGAGTCCATGCGCAGTGTCAGTTTGTCATCCCTCGTACCTGCGGAGGTAGCATCTCGCGCTCGGGCAGTACCAGCAACGCTGTGACCAAAGCTGGCATTAAGAGAAACGGAGCTGGTGTCCCGCGACAGCATGCTCGGGGATGCCATCATGACCGTTGACATCTGAAGGAGAGAAAGAAGGGCCGTTTACTACAAGTCATGTGACCGTCGACAATTGCCATGGTGCCTCTGCTTTGCAGCGGCAGGGGCATCGCCATAATAGCAACAAGTCGCTTGTAACCCCGTGCGCACCTCGTCAGCAAGCGTCCGCATCCCACCCTGGCTCTGTTGCAAGTGCCTTGGGACCGCGGTCAGCGACGGCTGACTCGCCGACATACCCAGTTCCTGTTGTGCCCTGCAGTTGCGTTGTAGGTTGTCTTGTTAACTATCCACGCCAGCAAACGCCAGACACAACCCCTGTAGAAGCCGCCCTGGCTTGCTCAACACGAAACCACCCACCCCATGTCGTAACCGCGTTGGCGGAGCTCTTCTTGCAGCCGCTCGGCTGCGTGTTCCACATCGTGTAAGCCTTGCACCAAAAAGCGTGATTGGGTCTGGGCATCCATGGCTGCCTTTTCGCGGACGTGCAACACGGCTTTGGCCTTGTCCGCTTCTACCCTTAGCTGTTCTGACATACGGTGCAGCGCATCGGCGCGTGCCATAGTACTTGCCGCCTGCAGCCAGTTCAATGCAATGTTGGGGCTTGTGGGCACTTCCAGCAACAAACCACGGGCGTATCGTACGCTTTCACATAAAGGGCCCGACAGAGACCCATGGGTCTGTAACGCCTACGAAAGCCTACCTCCTCGGCATTGCCAGCGTGTTCCAGCGCCAAGGCCTGCTCCTCCAGGCGCACCGCCTCGTCAGCCTTCGTGCTGGCATCCTGCTCCAGTGCAGCCCATGTCTTGCGCATCTCTTCAGCGCTGGATGCCGCCTGCACGAGTAGCACGACAGCAAGGGAGCGGAAAGTGTACGGATGCATGCAGTGCTATACCGGTAACAACGAAGCTGTCACGCCCCCTGGAGCACATGCTGGCTTACCTGATCTGAGCGCTGCTTCCAGAGCTGCAGCAGGCGCGTGGTCTCCAGTGTCCCCACCAAGTGCGATACTGCCATGCTGTCCAGAAGGGCTTCCGCCTGCAGACAAGGGTCCCATGTCCCCGTTAGCCACCAACGGCAAGCTGGCGACCCTGCAACATCGTGGGTCCTTTCACCGCCTGGCTGGCAGCAACCAACGTACCTGCGCGTCCGCCGGCCGGTCCTCCCCAGGCGATGAAAGCTCCGCTTCTGCAAGCCTCCGCCGCTCCGAATGCAGCTGCTGGGCAAGCCTGCATGTGGGAAACGCGTCAGGTGCTGCAAGCTGGAGCCGCAACGAAGCGCTGTCACGTTTAACCAGGAGCCCTCGCACCTGGCAGAGCGCTGATGGTGCAGCTCGGTTTGGAGGAGCAAGCCGTCGCTGCTGGAGCCCGTGCTTTCGACAGATTGCGCTGGGTCGGCCGGGGGCTCATGCAATGGGTTCGCCGCGAGTTCCCGGGCCAGCAGCGCCGCCGCCTGTGTTGCCCTGGCTTCCCGATCTTGGGCGACTGAGAAGGGGTAAGGAACAGGTCATTACCGGCGCTGCTCGGCATGGCACAGTGGAAGGCACACAAAAGCTCTGATGCCCAAAAGGAAAAAGCCATGCACGTACCCTTGAGCTGCACGAACTCCTCTGCAGGGTTCTCCTCCAGATCTGCAGCGGGCACGTCCCTGACAGCTAGGTTGCTTAGCTCCTGCAGCCGAGCCTTCATGTTGGTTGCTTCGGTGCGGCTGACATCGCGGTTCTGTCGCGCCACTTCCAGCAGCTCCTGCCAGGTGTTGATATGCACAGCTAGCGCGTCCGCCTCAGCGGCTTTGCCGTCGCTGCAGCAAAGGAGAAGGGGTATGCGAGGTTAAGCATCGGGGTTTCCTAAGCTGTGGTAGTAAAGTTTGCCCAGGCCCATACATAGCAGCACGCCTCCTTCCACGCGCCGGAAACCGCAAAAGCCCCCGCAAAGCTCACCCCAGCAGCGCATTGTACTGCTCCTGGTCCTGTGCTAGCCGCTCCTCGTACACCTGCACCAGCTCCTCATGCAGGGCGGCAGCGCTCTCAGCCGCGCTGCATAACGCCTCCAGCTCGTCGGCCTCCTCTTGCAACCTGTTGTATGGACAACAGACCAGCAATATCAGCCGAGGTGCCGTTCTCAAATCTTTACACGGTACCGGTATGGCGCCGAATTGCCAGGAAAGGAAAGGGCGACACGGCACGCTAGGGCAAGCACAGGAGTGGAGAGAAGGTCGCCGACATGGCCCACCTGTCCTTGCGCTGCTTCGAGGTTGCGTCCTGGAGGAGCGTCTGCCGCTGCGAGAGCTCCTGCAACTGCCGCTCAGCGACCTCCATGCGCTCTCGTGCCGTCCGCACGTCCGGCATGAGCCGCTGGTACGCCTCGCGGGCAGCCGTTGCCTGCGCCCTGGCATAACCCACCTGCTCCTGGGCCCTGGAGGTATGTGCAAGGGGTTCAACCGCTCAGGTCAGCTAAGTGGGATGCCCCAAAGCTCGTCAACGGGTGCTCAGGCAATGCCGAGACAACGTCGGGCCCGTAAAGCACTACCAACCTAATGGCCTCCTCCATCAGAGCATTGCCGAGATCGTAGTTGCCCGCCGCCATCTGCGCGTCCGCCTGCTGCTGTGCAAGCTGCGCTCGGGCGGCTGCAGCCTCCGCCTGGCCCTCCCATGACACCGCCTGCGTCTGCAGCTCCTCAGTTTGGCGGAAGAGCCGGTCATGCCGCTCCTTCCACCTGCAACGGATAAGGATGCGACAGTCGAGCAACCGCCAGCACGTTACGCAGAACCGTGAACATGGCACATGCTCACGTTCCCATTTACAGTGGCCGCGGCAATAGCAGCTACCCAAGAGGGCATGGACGCCTGAGCGTAACTGCGGGACGCCCCACTCACTTTGCATGCGCGCGAGATGCCGACTCCGAAGACGACCGCAGGGCATCCCGCTCAAGGCTGTACGCATGGCGCATGGCGGCGTCTGCCTGTGCATGGGCCTCCTGTGCTTCCCGGCGGTGGCGAAGGTACTGCTGCTGCAGCTGCTGGCTGTTCCGGGCAGCCTCAACAGACTCATCACGGAGCCTGTGGTAGAGAGGGAAGCTCGTCAGGGTGAAAACCATGAACCGTGTTACAATGGCCTGTCAGGCTGCCCAGGCTACAGCCCAAATCACGGCGTGCGCGCCGTGCGAAGAAGTGGCTGTTGCATGTATACCCAGGCGCCAGTATACGCGCTTCACAAGCTCACCTGTTTGCTTGTCGTATGGCATCGAGGGCTTGTGCCAAGTTGCCTGAAGCTGAATGCTGCTCAGCAACAAGCTGCATCTCCAAGGCACGGGTTGTGGCTTGCGCAGCAATGGCCGCCTGCACGGCCAAAATGGTCAGAGCTAATCGGTACCCTTATCACGATTCTGTGCATGACCGCAAGAGAGGCAATACGCATGGTGGGCAGCTGACGGTCAATCATCCCTGACCCTCCTGGCTACTGAATCTCAGTCCACGCGCCATACACGGACCCCTGTCCTGTAGGACCGACACTGCGATTGACCCTACAAGCCGTGAACACACCTGCTTTGCGGCATTGTCGTACGTTTGCAGCGCCAGCTGCGCGGCCTCCGCAGCACGGAGGCGAAACCGGGCTGCTGCTGAGGTCGTAGCTGCCGCCATGCGCAGCACCTCCTCCGACGGCTGACACAGCGTTGCGTCAATGCTAGCGCCTAGGTCCCAAACCCTGCTACTAGCGCCAGCAGGCATAGGCGGGTAATCCCGCTCAAATGCAGTAAGAAGGCTGTCAATTTCGCTGTGGATCTGTGCCACGGCGTCGACTGCACGTTTAGCAGTGTTGGTGCGGCCTTGCACCAACGAAGCAAGCACGCGCCCCAGGATATCATCCCCAGACTGCGGTGCAAGCGCCCCTGCATGACTCGGATCCGCATGGGGAGTGGCCCGCGCCGGCACGAGCGCCAGCTGCGGTTGCTCGTGCCTAGGCTCATCTGGGATGTCAACGGGGCCATCGTTCGGCTGCAGAGGCCCGAAGCTGAATTCCTCAAGGCCAGCATGGACGTCATCTAACAGTGTCAACGCTCTTTTAAACAACGAAGTCCTGATATCTGATGCCACAACCAGCTGTCCAGCAGCAGCTGTAGGCTCCATCTCTGAACTTGACCACGAGGTTGACCGGACCTTTACCTCCTAACACAAGTAGGTCATCAACCATTATGCAGGCGCGCACCGGCCCTCATCGCGTTTGCACCGGTGCGGTTGACGAAGGGTCGTTTAAAGCAAATAGTGCATCTAGCTGTATGCGCCCATATAGATCTTTCGACGATTCCACGATGCATAGGCAGCGCATTACTACTGCAATTAGCTTGAAAGTATACCTGCTGTCCCAGGGGATTTGAGAAGTCGTACAACCTGCGTCCTACCGTTTTCTTTTGCGTCCCGTTTCGGCAGAATTCATTGTTGGTACAAATACGAGAAATCCTACGTTGCTTCTTTCAGTAATACCGCCGAGTATAGAAGCTCCACACGGCGTAGCCATCATATAAGGCAACCGCGTACAAATCTTCTTTCTTGTAATATCGAGACTGCATTTATAACTGTACGCCCTCCCCACTAAAGCCCTTACAATAGGAGTTCCTTAGCCTCACGATGGCAACATGCACACTTTCTCCAGAGGCGGATAACACTTAACAGGAGGCCAGCCAGAGGTAGCATCTTCGCATAACGTTGTCTGCTATGACTATGGACGTCCAGATGCCCAGGTAGGGTTTGCTGCTCGGCCTACCGCTTTGGCCACGCCACACCCGCGTACCCAACCGCTTGCGTCTGGTCTCCTGAGGTTGCTGGCGCCATTGCCGTCAAATAGGTCCATGGCAAGGGTGCCTGTTAGGATTGTCATGCAACCAGCGCTAAACCCTATCCGTACATGTGCCTTGTTGTTATATCTTAGCTGCCCTTAGGCCCCCATCACGCCGCTTAGGGTACCTCAACCATAACATCTTGTAACGAGGTCATGCTTTATCACCCTCCCATTTCCGCACCTGTCAGTCCATCGCTTGGCTCACCGGCAGTGGGGAGTCCGCGAAACATTGGCTCCCCATCATCTCGCGTGCGTGCAAACCTACAAGACTCTATCTCTGCCAGCAAGCTGTACAAGGACTTGTCTCCGACACGTGTGTACCAGAGCACCCGTGATGAGAGCCGGGTGGCATTACCGGACCTCTTCCGACAAAAGAACAGCCTGCAATCACTTCGACCAACATATTCGAATGAACCGGTTGGAGGAGATGACGATGACGCCGGGCGGACGCCCAAGTTACTACAACGGTATGGGGTTCATAAGGGGTTGGGGTTATGTGCTGCATGGCGCTGTGTTGGGCACCATGTTGCAGACACATGCGACTGAGCAAGTTAGCATGCCAGACGCAGTCTTGCACCCTTAGACAAGAGTCGCCTGTCTCTGCACCCAGGTTGGAGGCCTTGTTGGAGGAGAAGCTGAGCCTGGTTGAGCGGCTTGGCAACGGCAACAAGGGCTTCGCAGCTGCGCAGTTGCGAACGGATGCGTTTCGGCAGGTGAGCACAATGACATGCTGCCCCAGTAGATGCCCTTCCTCGCATGTCGACCGTGAAGTGCCGGATTCCCCATGGTTGCACATGGGCGTATTGGCCTCCCAACACACTCAGGGGCTGCTGATTGCTTCGCTGCAGCCCATCGCGCTTTTGTGTTGTGTGGCTTCATGCCGCCGTTGCTCTGCAGGTCTTCGACGCATTCCTGCACAGCTTCACGACGTACCGGTCGCTGCTCCTGCGTATCAAGCAAGAGTACGACGTGGCGCTGGACGACGCGCTCGCATCGCTGTACGACAACGTGCACATGAAGGCGGAGTTGGCGGTTGTCGACGAACGGATGGTACGACAAGGGACAGGGGGCTGTCACACTACTGATGGTGATGTTTATCCGCCGCGCCTGTGGGCAGTGTGCCGCATTAGCCCGTCATGGGCTAGGGCATGGGAAAGGGTGTTGCCAATGGAAAGCCTTGTGAGCCCAACGCCGTACCCTTGCCGGCCGCAGATCACCGCCGTACAGCAGGCGCGTGCACGGGCGCTGGAAGACGCTAGCGCGGTGCGCAAGGAGCTGCAGGACCAGCTCAACATGGAGGAGAGCAAAGCGCTGCAGGTGAGCCGACAAACGGGGCGCGCAGGAACGCGTCGGGCAAACACCGTGTGTTACACAGCAACATGCCGCCACCGGCAAAATTTGATGTTCCATAGTATTCGTCTTCAGCGACAAGAACGCCCATGAGCGCAACGGCCAGTCCTTGTCAATGGCATAGACAACCTGTCCGCCGCACCACCATAGCAAAAGCCATATCCAGTAACACCAACACGCACGTTCAACACCCCTCCTCCGTCCACAATCCACTATGACGTTCAACTGCAGGCCGAGGCACGTTGCCAAGCTGCGGAGCAGGAAATCCAGGTCTGCAAGTCGACCATCCAGCAGCTCAAGCGCGAGGCGGCGGAGCTGCAGAAGGCCAACAGCGAAATTAAACAACAACTGCTGCTGAAGAGCAGCTGGGGGAACGGCTTGCTTCCCACACAGAAGTCTGAGGGATAACTAAACTTCAGTCCTACACACGACCAACCTCTCACGCAACCTGTTAATGACTAAACCGGCGGTCATGCGCTTGACCTTCCATGCATGTCGAGGCCACTTCTGAACACTTCGTCAATGCCATTACTGTATTCATGTCCGTTCCGGGACCGTTTTCCCCGCCTAGCCCCCGCGTGCTTCACGGCGAGTGGCGTCGTGTAGTACCTCCACGTCCACGGCGCCCGGTGGTAGCTGCATAGGGCGCATTTAGCGTATTAGGCGGGCTAGCATTTGCATTTCAGCTGTAACGTATGAGATGTACACCAGTTGCTGCGTAGCGGTGGTATTAAACATAGTGCTGCGGTAGCCAAGTATGGCATGCGTGATGAAGGCGTACGGCAGGGACTTTGCAGGCGTTTGTAACATGGTACTTACGTGTACGTAGCGAACCACTGATCCTCGGATAAAGCAATTCCGCACTGACATCTGTTGGGTAGCAGCAACGACGCAGGCCGTTAGGTGTAGGGTCGGGATTCTGACCGTCAAGGGCAACCCCAAGCAAATGTGCCCCATCTTACAAAGAAAGCCGACCCATGCAATGGTTTCCCACATTCAGTGTCGCCCTAGACTAGTAGCTGGCTGACAGCAGAGTCAGCACTAGTGGCAATGCTATGGTCCGTCCCGTCAGCTGCGCTTCCACAGGGGGTCTCAACAAGCCCCAGCTTTGCATGTTATGGGCAAGATCCATTGGACCTAATGCCTCTCTGCCCTTTTGCAACACGTGGAGACCCCCTTGGATCACCGTACCATGTGTGGATACTTCTGCTCGTTGTGCACACGGGTATTTGTCAACTTGATGTTGAGGTACTGGTCGACGCTGTGCAGGGCGCCACTAATGCACAGATCATTCTTCAGCTCCACCGTTACCTATGAAGTCATTCACATGTATAAGAATTCGCCTCCAAGCTGCTGGGCTCCCTAGCATTTTTACCTCCTTTCCCACTAGCGTCTTGAACAAGGAAAAAAAGAGCATGGTAGCGGCCCTAGACTAAAAAGATTAGAATGGCTTTGCCCTACAGGTATCGGCTCAGCATCAAACGAAAGCAGACGGGCGGCGAAGGCTAACTAGCAGGTTCGTGAAGGGTTGAGGACGTATAGCAGCAGCTGCATAGCTCAAGAAAAAAGGACTTAATGTAAAGGAGAATCCACTTTCTGAGCAACCCACCGACGCAAGGGTAGGAGTCGCGCCAATTCGTACGGAACCGGCATGTCCCTGGCAGCGACCGTTATCTCCATAACGCAAAATTCACTGGAACACTTTCACTGGTTGATTTATTGGCATCTCTGCTGCGCGGCAACATTCGCAAAGAACTTACACGAGCTTGTCGCATAGCAACGCAATCTTTTGCACTTTCTTTGGGCTTTGTTAGTTACCGGGAAAGATGGCGGACACAGTTCAATACCTTATGGAACAAATGATCCCGGAGCTGGAGGACTTGGAACAAAAGGGATACTTCTCGCGTGCTGAGATCAAGAAAATAGTCCAGAAGCGGCAAAACTTTGAATACTTATTAAAACGACGCGCTGCGCTGAAAGAGGACTTCTACAGGTGAGTCGGCCCTGGCGGTGGGCCGCCGCCGGCTCATCCGCATTATCGCTCGACGAGACGTGACGGGTTGTCGTCTCCCGACGCCAGGTACATCGAATTTGAGGCGAAGCTTGAGGAGCTTCGGCAAATCCGCAAGCAGAAGTTGGGCATTAAGGGTACGTCGCGAGGGGTTTGGAGGCTTGCCTAACCACCTAGCCAGCGCATAGCAGTCCCCACGTGCGCGCTCCCTCCCCTCGGCCCCCTCCCTCGTCCACAATCCATCACTGCATGCCTCGGGGGCAAAATTCTGCGCAGCCGCCACGGTCAAAGCGCTGACCCATGTCACTTAGCTTCTTAACCAGACACCTTGTCGCTGTCAACCAACGAAACTATTCCCTCCACACTACATCACAGGGAAGAAGTCGCTCGCCGAGGTGGCTATCGTGCGCCGCATCCACTTTATCTTTGAGCGCGCCGGTCGCAAGTTCCGGAGCGACCTAGGCCTGTGGATGCGCTGGATCGAGGTGTGCAAGCAGTACAAGAGCACCAAGCAGCTGTCAAAGGTAGGCAGCGGGGCGCAGGGCAGCGCACACTGCACACTGCTCAATCGTACAACGGAGACGAGCGCATGCCGGCCTCCATGCATGCGTGTGGACAGCATGCGTGTGATGGTACACGTACGTCCACATGATAGGACACAGCACACCTCTGGCTAGCTCGTTTCCTATAGCTGAACCCGCTGCCCGGGCATGCGCCATGTGGGGGGCTGGTGCAGGTGATCACCAAGGCGCTGCAGCGGCACTCCACGGTCTCGGAGCTGTGGATCGAGGCGGCCAGATGGTGAGCTGTGAGGGAGGCAGCGAGGCCTGACGCTCCCGGTTGGTGGTGGGGGACGTGGGCAAACTTGGGGAGAGTGTCCGCTTGTTGCGCCGTGTCCCTGCTCCCCCTCACGACCCTCGTGCCCCTCCCCCTGCTGCCCCGCTTGCTCCCCCTGCTGCCGCCAGGGAGTTCGACCAGAACAACGACATCTCGGCTGCCCGCACGCTGATGCAGCAGGGCATCCGCATGTGCAAGCAGGACGAGGCCATCTGGGTGGCCTACTACCGCCTGGAGCTGCTGTACGCGCTCAAGCTGCGTGTGCGGCGCAAGGTGCTGGGGCTGGACGACCCGGCAGGTGGGGGCCGCATGGGGCAGGGGCGGGTGGGGGAGGGGGGAGGAACCGGGTCTCGTCATGTGGTGAGGGGGGTGTGCGAGGGTTACAGGACACATGGGTGGTTGTTCAGTGTGTTGCATGTGACATGGGTAAATGAGTCTGATGGTGCGCAAATGTACCCTACCGCGCTGACCCTGGCGTCACCGCCCTGTGCACCACTCGCAGCCTCGGGCGGCGCGGAGGGCGAGGGCGACGCCTCTGCAGCGGCTGTGCGGGAGGTGATGCGGGGTGGTGTGGCTCGCATCGTGTTCAAGAACGCGGTGGCGACGCTGCCGGGGCGGCTGGCCTTCCGCGCTCGCTTCCTGGGGGTGCTGCGCGGCTTCGAGATGGGCTTCGTGGAGGGGCTGGTGGAGCAGGTGTACGACAGCATCCGGCAGGACTTCAGCCAGGTACGGGGTGTGGGAGGGGGAGGGGGGGGTGCAGGGGAACATAGGGCGTCAGCTAGGGGTGTGTGGCGCATGATAACGGCTCTGGCTGTCGTCAGTCATTAAACAAAGCTGTGGGGATTCTTAATGTGCTTCCGCACAGGTGCCTGAGGCCTGGGACCTGCTCGCACGCCGCCACATCGACTTCCCTACCCTCCGGAAAGAAGCCAGCTCGCAGCAGCCCCAGCAGCAGCAACCACCCGAGCCCCAGCCCCTCACAGAGGAGGAGGAGGTGGCGGCGGCGGAGCGGCAGCTAGAGCGGCAGGAGCGCGCCGACGCGACCGGGCCGGCGCAGCAAGACCCTGCCGGGCCCTGGGACGCGGACGCGCACCAGCGGGTGTGTGCTTTGTTTGAGGAGGGGCTGGCCGCGGTGCCCGGTGCGCGCATGTACCAGCTGTTCGCGGGCTACCTGAGTGGGGCGCTGGAGGGGCTGCTGGCGGGCGGAGCGGGCGAGGCGGCGCTGGCGGCGGGTGTGGAGGTGGCTGCGCAGCTGTTTGGGGTGCTGCAGCGGGCGCACTCGGGCGGGTGCAGCACGGCGGAGACGTACCTGACGTGGGTGGACTGGGCGGAGAAGGTGCAGCAACACAAGGTGCGGGGGGAAGGAAGGGGGTTGGTGGGGAGCGGCGGTCGTCTAGGGCCGTTGGGCATGCTTGGGACCATGCGGAGGTGGCCGGTAGGGAAACCCTGGGCCTCTTCTTTCCGTTTCCACTAACGCACAAGGTAATGAAGTAATCCTACTTTGCTTCCCCATCTCCTCCATCCTCCAGATGGCGCTCAAGGCGGCTCGCAAGGGCTGCGAGCGCTTCCCCTCCGACGTGGCTATGTGGCGCCGCCGCCTGCAGCTGGAGTCCGCCCTGGCGACCGCCTCCTCCTCCTCCTCCCAGCACCCCCACCCCGACCAGCAGCAGCAGGCGGGCGGGCTGCTGGCTACCTTCACCGCCGCGCTGCAGGCCACGCAGCCGGAGCAGGCGGTGGAGGTGTGGCAGATGGCGGTGGAGGCGGTGCCGGCGGCGGGGGGGCCCGCGTGGGGGCGGCTGGCGGACATGCTGGCGGCCGCGTGCGCCAAGGTGGCCAAGAGGAACCCCAGTGGGGGGCTGGGCAGCGTGGCGGCGGCCATGGTGGAGAAGGCCAGGTGCTGGAGGGGGGGGAGTTGGGGGCTTGGGATGGGGTTGTAACCCTGTTGTTTAGGTGCCTATGTGTCTCATCTTGGGGATGGTTTGGGGTACAGCATCGTAGGTTCCTTGCTCCATGCATGGGTGCTGACTGACAACTCCTTGCTCCTGCTGCTCTGCCCCCTAAAGGCTCTCCCTGGGTGCGGATGCCGCACGGCAACTGTACGGCAAGCTGCTAGCGGTGCCGGGTGCCGGCGGCGACCTCTACCGCTGCGCCATCCGCCTGGAGCGCGAGGAGCTGCAGCAGCAGCAGCAGCCTGAGGCAGCGGCCCCCGCGCCGCCACCCAAGCAGGCCCTCAAGCGCATCACTGACCTGTACGAGGCGGCGGTGGCGGCGCACGGCAAGACGGAGACGGACCTGTGGATCGACTACGCGCAGTGGCTGGTGCGGTGCGGCAAGGGCGCGGGTCAGGTGTATTGGCGGGCCACGAAGGAGCTGGAGGACCCGGATGCGTTCATTGCGCAGTACCGGCAGGCGCTGCAGCAGTAGGGGGGTGCGGCAGGAGTAGGGGTAGGGGCGGGGGTTGTGGCTTGAGGAGTGGTTGGTTAGTTGAGAGTACCGGTAATTAGAGGAGTAGGCTGTACCGGTAGTAGGCAGTGATGGTCGGCATGGGGTGTAGGGGGTAGGGGTTGGTATGCGGTGGTGCGGGATGTGTGTGCATGGAGCATTGACGTCCGTAGACATACGGGTTCGCGGGTAGTGGCCAGTCCCCAGTCGTTGGGTTTACTGGTTTGGGTGCGGTAACGGTTGGAAGTGGGCGGCACTGGTGTCTGCATACGTAACGCAGCTCGCGTTCATCCTGATATCATGTAGCGAATCCTTGCTTAAGTGTGAATCGACTTCGTGCTTGGACCGTCGTGGGCAGTAATTTTAGCTCGTCACTCGCCAAGGGTGGGACTGGGCTATGGTGTCTGCTCGTGTCCGACTGCCCAGCTTTGCGTTAATCACACGATTGGGCTGAGCTTGTGTCGCTGACACGAGTGTCTGGACCGAACCGTACTTGGCAGCAGATCAGCCTGGGGCCTGCACGGCAAGGTGCGGCTGTCATGGCACGTCCGACTGGTACTTTGCGCATCGCCATATGATAAAAGCGCAAGTCAATGTCAACACCAGCACCAATGTTCGCAATTTAGCTACCGGTATGCGGAGCTAGTGGCATAGTAAGCCCAACGATACCGTTAACGAATCCCGCCGTCAAGTAGGGCCGTGATAAGTGACGATAAGAGCATTTACATTCTGTGATTAGAGTTTTAGCGATTGCAACCTTTCGACATATAGCGGCTGCATCCTGCCAAGTGCCATTGCTTGCACACTTCAAGGAAAGGCTTCAGGGAACTGTTCGTTTCATAGCAATGATTATACGGAGAAGGGATGGATCACTGGCTGGCAGCGCTCTCCGATGCGTCCAGAGCTTGTTGGATGGGTCGGCACTTCAGAAACAGGAGCACACGACAGCAAGACAGGAGGAGGCCAGCTGCTCACATGTCGAGTGTCAGCAAACTACAGAGTATGTTGTATTGTTCTGTGGCACGATGGGTAGAAGCGGCGTCTCGGCGATCGGCTTGGATGTCGCCATGGGCCTGCAGCCCTACCTCTCAGACTCCAGACATACGGCACCTCTGAGGGGCTTCGCCGCCTCAGCTACTCTGCACCCTCACCCGCGGCAGCGCTCAGCGCAAAAGGCCTCGCGTCCAAGCACCTCCCAAGCACCACCTGCCTCACAGCCAGCCGGCGCACCAGCCAAGCCCGGCACGCCCCTGCTGCGTAACCCTCCTGCTCGGAAAGCAGCCCCACCGCCCTCCCTAGCAACCTGCCCAAACCTGGCTGCGCTAGCCGCACACGTGCAGGCTCACGGGCCCACCTACTCCCTAAACCACATCGCCGCCGGACTGCAAGTCCTCTCACACCTGGCTGCTTCTGCGTCTGCCCCCACTCCCGCACCAGCTGCCCAGACGGCAGCCGGAACCGCTGCTGCCGCTGCTCCTGGCCCCAACGGGTCTTCCACCACACCGCTGCCTCTGCCGCCGTCCGCCAGTCCTGATGAGGCGGTATTCCAGTGCGCTCGGCGGTTGTCGCAGCTGGGTCACTTCCAGATGCGTCGGGAGACGGATGTGGCGGCGCTAGCTGCCTGCATCCGCGCGCTAGCAGGGCTGAGGGCGGGAGCCGGGCAGGGGCAGGTGCCGGGGCAGGGTGCGGTGGTGGCGCTGGCGGTGCCGTTCGCTGCCCGGCTGCTGGACTCGCGCTACTACTACTCCCTGCCCGGGCAGCAGGCGGGTGCGTTGGTGGCGGTGCTGGGGGCGCTGGGGCGGCTGAGGGCGCGAGTGGGGGAGAGCCACGTGGACTGGAGGAAGGTAGGTGTGGGTGTGGGTGGGGGGCTGGCTGGGCGGGCGGCTGGGAGCGGGGAACGCAACTGCGCTTGGGAGCCGTGGTTTGTAGTGGCTACACCGTGCATCCATGCTTCGTGGCGGGGCATCCATGCTTCTTCCCATGCGGCTCCCCATGACGCTCGATGGTCTCTGCCCTCCCTCCTCTTCCCACCCTGGCGACACCGCACCCCTCTCAGCTGGCTGCTCGTGTGGTGAGCTGCCTGACCCCGCACGTCTCCGCCCTGACCGCGGCGGACGCGGCGGGGGTGGCGCAGGCGCTGGTGCGGCTGCATGCAGGGGTGGACCGCAGCCGGGTGCACTCGGCATTCGTGAGGGTGAGGGCGGGGGAGGAGGAGCTGGGGTGGGGTTGGGCTGGGTGCTGTTGCCTTGGGCTTGCCGTGAAGGTCTCCTGCTTTTGGCATGGGCTCGATCAGCGTGCCCCTGACGGCTGGGACCCGCGTGTACGATGGATGTTGCGCCAACCCCCCGGTGCTCCGCTGCACACCCCTGCACTCACCATCCACCACACATGGCCCCAAGCCCCCGGCCCCGCTCCTGCCTCCCTACCCTGACCCCCCAGATCTTGTCCCGCCACATCAGCCAAGATCTCGCACCCCGGGATGCAGTACCGTACGATCAGGCCGTACGGCTGCTGGCGTCGTACGGGCAGCTGCTGCCGGGGGTGTGCGGGCAGGGCGGGCAGGGACCCAGCAGCAGCCCCACCACCCGCCCGACTCCTCCTCTGGGCGCTGCCGGCCGGGCAGATCTAGCGGTATCTGAGGAGGGGCCGGCAGCGGCAGCAGCAGCGGGGAAGAGGTCAGGGGCGGGGGCGGAGGCGGAGGCGGTACTTGGCGCGGAAGTACGTCGGGAGGTGCAGGCGGCGGTGGCTGAGCTGGCTCGGGGGTTGCTGCGGGTGCTGGGTTCTTGTGCGGCGGGGGAGCTGGTGAGCTGCGTGCGGGCGCTGGGGCAGCTGGGGGCGGCGAGGGAGGCGGAGGTGCTGCTGCCGCAGGCGACCCCGCTGCTGCTGCGGGCGCTGGGCAGGTGGGGGAAGGGCGCGGAGGTGCGGGGAGGTGGTGGAATCGGGAAGGTCCTGGGACGCCCGTCCTTTGGAGTGCTGGTAGAGATTTGGTCCGGTTGCTGTTGCTGTTGTTGTGCGCCTAATGGAAAGCTCCCTCACCCTGTTTTCTCCTGCCCCTGGGGTCCCTGCAGCCTGGATGCCTGCTCGCTGGCAGAGGTGGCGTATGCATACCATGCGATGGGTGTCAGGGAGCCCGGCCTCATGCAGGCCATCGGGGAGCAGGTGCGGCTGGGGAGGTTCCGAGGGGTGGTGCGGGACGGAATGAGAATGGAGCCTATTCGTGTGTCACCCTGCGTACTTGCTTGCCTCGTTTCCTGCCTACCCTAAACCACGAACCCCTTCACCACCACCACCACCACCACCACCTCCCCGTCACGCACGTGCAGGTGGTGTCCTCCCCCGTGCAGCCGCTCAGCCTCCGCGCCAGCCGCCTGCTGCTGCACTGCTGCGGGCCGGCGGGCAGCTGGAGGCACCCGGGGCTGCGGGCGCAGCTGCGCAGGGGGCTGCTGCGGGAGGTGGAGGGGCAGGGGAGGGCGCTGCAGGAGGGGTGCAGCGGGGTGCAGGAGCTGGCGTTGCTGCTGCCTGATCTGGACCCCGAGGTGGGTGTGTGGGAGTAGATGGGTGGGGTAGTGCGGTGGGTGGACATTTGGGGTCCGGAGGCGGGGCGGGGCGGGGGCAGTGCGGGTGCTGGGAGGGATGTGGCCTGGGGGGTTGGTGTCCCGTGGTCACCTCCTTCCGGAGCCCCTTGTACAGTGCGGCAGTCTGCATGGTGGTGTTTAGTGTACGGCACCGGTGTGCTGCACCCCCCGCCCCGTTGCCCGGCCCCGCAGGATGCTGAGGATGCACAGCTAGCTGACCTCATCACAGCCGCTCAGAGGAGGCCGCGCGGGGAGGAACCGGGGCAGAACACTGAACCCGCTGGGCCCTAACAGCTGGGCGGGGGGAGAGGCGCTGAGGAGGGGGGCGTCGCTTGATTCTGCTTTACCGTATCCGGATTGGTTATGGCGGATAGGGTAGTGGGTGTTGCACTTGCACGGGCTGCTGCCGGTACACCATGTGTCAGGGTTCACGATTCTTGGCTGTCATAGCTGCTGGATCATGTGTGTGTGTTGTGCCGTGATCCCCATGAGCGCATGACGGCTTGGGGTTGGTGACGGTGTCCGTGAGTGTTGGTCATCCTGCACGCTGTAATGTACGGCTTGCAAGCATGCCATGCGCATCCACGTGAGCTACAACGGCGCATGCCTACTGCATCACTGCATGACACGTTGCATGACACGTTTACTTGGGAGTAACGGTCAGCTAACTTGTGCGTACAACAGCCTGTGGTGGTTAGTCTTTACACTGGTGAGGAGCAGCGTGAGCAATCATGGTAGCGGCACTTGCATAGCGCAAGTAGCACAAGGACAGATGCGCCAATCTTGGCTCCAACGCGTTTCTTCACAGCATGAGGCACACATGCTGCCGTGTCGAAGCAACATGCGGTTTCCTACTACCTGCCCCATCTTGCGCCCCGTCCATGATGAGCGTTGCTTTTCTGCCCAGCCTACGCAGCATCGCAACACCATTCCCAACGGATATGCACGCCAACCAACAAACCGCCTACCGCCAGGGCGACAGCGGCAGCAACTGCAGCAACACGTACAACATCTGCGTTTACTAGCTTATGATATGCCACAATGCCATTAGTACCTCCGCCTCTACCACATATCCGGAACCCTTTAGTGCACCGCTAAGTAGTACGTTAGCTAAGACTACCCAATGAACCTTCGGCAGTATGCCGGTCGGTAGCTGGGCTTCCACACAACCAGCGCAAGCCGCTTCTTCCCGGCCATGTCGGTCGTTGTATCAGCCGCTGATGACTTTGCCACTGCAACGGGCATAAGGTGCAGTCCTCTCGGCGGGCGGTGGCGGACACGACATGGGCTTCCGGGAGGTGCGCAGCAACGGGCGGTCGGAGGACGGCAGGGTGCCGGTGGATGTGGCGGCGGTGGCACCCATGGCAGCGGGGGCAGGCATGGGTGTGGGGAGCCAGACCCACGAGTGGGCGGCAGCAGGTTGGCAGGTTGGTGATGCTCGTGTGAGTGCAGGGGCTGCAACTTCCGCAGCAGGCGGTGGGTGTGCGGGTGGGGGTAGGGGCGGTGGAGCGGCCGGAGGTGCTGTGGGGCGCGAGGTTGGCGGGCGGTGGTGCTGCCGCTGCTGCCCTGGGCACGCGCTCAGGAGTCCCTAGCACCGGCACTGCGGCTACGGCGGTGTACTTGGTGGTGGTGATGGTGGTGGTGGAGGTTGTGAGGGCGGGGGATCAGGACCACGCGGCGATGGAGGAAGGCGGACTGCTTGGGAGGTGCGGAGCCAAGTGCTTGGGGCGCTGCATGCGGCCCTGGGTGGAGCTGGAGGGGTGGAGGAGACGGCGGGCGGCGGCAGCCGTAAGCGACAACGGTGACTGGTGCTTCTGCTGGAGAACCGCTCTGTTGGTGATTACTGGTCTGACTGCGCATTTGGTAATCAGCATGTTTGCAGTTGAAGTACGCAATTCCGTTCTGCTTGAGCCACGTGAAGAACGAATACGTTGCAAACCCATTCGCCGTACACTGCAACAGTTGATTGTAGGTGTTGCATGTACAGCTGGTGCCGCAACGCTGTGGGCCCAAACGTGACGGGCATTTATATGTATAGTAGTCTAGTACGTGCCCTGCAGTTGGTCTGTGACCGTCGGCCTGTAACATATCAACAGCGGCTAAGGCTGTGGCTGTATCCGTTATAAGCCTGCCCAGAAGCGTCAGAACTGTTAAACGGAAGGTTCTATTGCGATAAACACCATGGACACGCTAATATCGGTTGGCGCCATTGTGGCAGCTATTATTTTGAAGCTTGTGTTTTTTCTAGTGACATCAAGGATTTTATTGAAAAGAGCCCCCAAGAAGTCTGAGCCATACCAAGTTATTAGCAAGGGCTCGAATGTCGAAAGGTCTGCCAAACGCATCCTAGTTACTGGCGGATGCGGCTTCCTCGGAAGGTAAGCCGTGAATGGCATGGCAATTCAGGCTATTATATTACACCGTTTATTATGTGGGAAACCCTGTTTGCCCAAGGAAGTCTTGATTTCTTCGCCTTTGCCGATGCTAGTGCGACTGGCACGCACATTTTGAGCAACCTTTGGCTATGCTTCTTCCGTAACCTTCTTCCCTCCTCCTTACCATGCTGCCCCCATCTAACAGCGCAATCGTCCGCCAGCTCCACGAGCGCCTGGGCTCCCGAGTATCCCTCGTGGTCCTCGACACCGCCATCCACGCCAAGTTCTCCCCGCTGCTGCCCTCCGCCACCTACATCCGCGGCGACGTCTGCACCTACTCCCACGTCCGCGCCGCCTCCGCCGGCTGCGCCTGCGTTGTGCACTCCGCGGGTCTGCTGCACAGCTGCCTCAGCGACGAGGCCGCCTTCGAGCGGGTCAACTTCCTGGGCAGCCGCAACGTGGTGGAGGCGTGTCTGGAGGGCGATTTGGTGGCGCTGGTGTACACGTCATCAGGTGGGGGGTTGTGCCGTACCGGTACCATGCAACTGCTCCCATGCTTCAGCTCTTGCTTCCGGGGGAGTGGGGGTGGAATTGACGGCGTGGGCGGGTGCTAGGGTGAGTCGGGAGATGGGCGCTCTCTGCTGCCTACACCCCACCCCTACTGTGTACCCGCTCCCCACCACCTTGTGCGCCTGCACCCCACCCCGACCCACCTGCGCCCGCCCGCCCCCACCATGTGCCTCCTCAGGCTCTGTGGTGTTCAACGACTCCATCGCGCGGGCGGCGGGCGGCGGCGGCAGCCTGGCGCCCATACCCGAGAGCACCGCAGCGCTGCCCGCAGCCCAGCTGAACGGCGCCTACGCGCGCAGCAAGGCGGCTGCGGAGCGGCGCGTGCTGGCTGCCAACAGCCATGCGCTGCATGTGGTGGCGCTGAGGCCGGGGGGCGTGTACGGCGTGGGGGACACGGTGAGGAGGGCGGGAGGGCTGGCCGAGGTGCTAAGCTGCACCTTGTCCCCTTACCGTAGACGCTTACTGTGACGGTGCAGCCGATTGACTGATCGTTTTTATGGCCTTGCATCCCAGTCCTAACCCTCCCTCCGCCATTCTGACCCCACGCCCGCTGCACCCCCCACTCCCCCCCAGACCCTGACCGGCAACATCCTGGCTGGCAAGCCCTACGTGGGTCCGGGCGACGTGCAGGTGCCCTTCGTGTGGGTGGAGGACGCGGCGCGCGCGCATGTGGACGCCGTGGAGCGGCTGCTCTTCCCGCAGCCGGGCGCCCCGCGCATCCACGGTCGCGCCTACCACCTGGCGCACGACCCGGTGTCCGACCCGCTGCTGTACCGGGAGTTTGTGGGCGGGCCGCTGGTCACCCCCGCGGATCGCAAGTCAGCGGAGGTACGGGCGGCGGAGGCGGCAGCGGGCGTGCAGGACCCGCTGTCGGCGGGGGTGAATGCGTACGGGTTGCGTTGCAACTCCCCCGTGCCCTTGCCGCTGATCCGGGTGCTGGCTGCGGTGAACGAGTGGGTGGGTCGGCGGTTCGGGGTGGCGTTGCTGCACCCCAGCATGACGCCAGAGAACATGCGGTACGCCACCAACCACTGGCCGCTGGATGTGGGTGAGGCGCGGAGGCTGCTGGGGTGGCAGCCCACGCCGTGGCGGGTGGTGGTGGCGAGGCTGGGGGCGCAGGCGCGGGCGGGGAAGGAGGAGGGCGGGAAGGGAATGAAGGACAAGGCGGCGTGAGCGTGGTAGCGGGCGGCTAGGGTGTCAAATCGTGCGGAAAGCTGGAGGAGTTGGAGTGGGGAGCGTGTCTTGGTGTTTGGTAGTGGGGGAACGTGAGCCGGCACCGGCACCGGCTCAGGTGCAGCGGGCTCTCCGCCCGCCCGCCGCCCTCGCAGCAGCACCAGCGCGCGTCTGCAGAAGCACTGCCAGGCGGCCAGCCGGTACTCGAAGCACTGCCAGGCGCCCCGCGCCTCGCAGCGTAGCCTGCCTGAGAAGAAGGCGTGGCGGCTGGGGCGGCTCACGAAGGACTGCATCTGCGGCAGCTCCCCGGTGCTGCTGCCCTCATCCAGCATGAGGCCCACACAGAACTGGCCCAGGCAGTCCCGCCTGCGGGCGCCGTGCGGAGGGGGGCGAGAGACCGGGGTTGCATGCGGTGGTGCAGGGCGTGTGTGTTCAGAAACCGGCCGCGAGTCGGTATGTATGTGCGCGCGTGTGTTAAAATAACTGGTGTGTGTGGTGGTGGTGGTGGGAGCTCGGCGCATGCGACGGGGCTGTGCAGTGCAGGGGCAGTGCGACCCTGTACCGGTAGGTGCAGAGAAAGGCGTCAGGATGTGTGCCGGTAATCCGACCCATCCAACCCGCAAAAGTGCCGGACATGGCGTGCTGTTTCCGTCCTCTGCCTCCCACCTGCTCCCCACGTGCACGCTCAGCCGCATCCCCAGCCCCGCATCCAGCAGCTGGGCCGCCTGCGCGCCGCTCAGACCGCGGGACACCAGCTCCCCCTGCAGGTCGATCACCTGCGGAGGGGGGGCGGGGGGGAGGGGAAGCAACAGACCGAGGACTGTTGCAAGGAAGGCGATACGCATCACGCCTGGCCATGCCTTCATGCGGAAACAGCCTTTCGCTGCTGTCTTCCAAGTATACCATGTCGTTGTGCTTCCCAGACCGGTAACCGGCGTTGTTATGGTGCAGACTATAGGTTCGCTCTAGCAACCAGCATGTGGGGGGCTATCAAATCGCAAACGAACAGAAGCGCGCGTAATTGTATATGATACTAAGGCGCGCCATGTATGGCTTGTTGCTTCAGTCGGTTAGCCAGCGCTGCATGACTCAGCGGAGCTGGCAAGGATATCCTGAACAAGGCTTATCACAAGGAAGGCCACCTACATGCATCATAAACAAGCTACATCTGCAGCCACCATGAATGAAGGGGCAATAACTTCTCCACCGGCACAAACACGCACGTGCTAAACCCCCATCCAGTCTGCACGCTACTTCATTCCAAGGTACGATAAGCCACGTTGCGCGGAAGTGAGGGATGAGGGCTTGCTCTTCTGTACTTTCGGGACGACATTGCTCGTCCATCGCCACTTGAGGGTGTACCGCTCCTGCTTGTGTTGGGCCAACCCTGCGGGCACTATGCGTTGGTTGAATGAGGAATCACAGCAGGAGCAGGGGAGGGAGCGGGGAGCTGCCAGTGCTGTTTTGCCTGAGTTCGGCACTACCGCATCTTGCATCGTACGACATGCCGTCATTGTCGTCGCCGTCGGGCATGAAGGAGTGACCGAGAGGGCAATGGTGCGGAAGAAAGAGGAGGAGGGCTAGCTGCTGGCTTATAGGGCCACGGCAAGGGAGGCAAAGCAGGCAAGGCTCCAGAGCGCAGCTGCAAAGATAAGGAGCGGATGCAGGATGGCGGATGTGGGAAAATGTCTTGAGCGCAGTATTGTACGGTGATCCATGATTGTGTGTTGGAAACGCGATCGAGCCTCGTAGCGATACGTGTGTACTTCGCCGTTCGGGGAAGGGTGGAAGGGGAAGGAATGTGGAGAAGGTGGCGCAATCTGGAGCAAAGCAATCAAGAATCAAGGAGAGTGGAGGGGGAGAGGGGGCAAATGGGTAGGTGGAGTGCGGCGCTGTGTAGCAAGTGCGGCGGGGTTAGTGGCGCAATGCGGCACAGTGGGTATATCCTGGAGGGTGGGGGCATGGCGGGGATGCCTTGCACCACGAGGTGGGGGTGTTTGTGGGGTTTGCGTACCGTGTGCCTCTGCGTGAGGCAGGCTGCCGACGTGCCTGATGTGGAAGGCGTGCTGTGAGCGTGTGTTAGGCATGATGACAGGCGCGTGAAGCTGGGATACGGTATTGGCTGCTGAAGGGGCTCGGCACCCCGGCGGGTATGGTGTGGATGTGGGCAGTCGGGTGTTGACACATGAACCTCTTTGTATGGCAGGGACTACTGCGCATGGGAGCAAGTTTTAGGGCGGCCGCAAAAGGCACGCCCAGTGTCTTGCTCTCATGACTTTTACGCCGTGAAGGGGCGCACCGCGTGTGGCGTCTTAAGAGAAAAAGCGTAAAGCGTGCCCGGACGTTTGTGGATAGCTATGCTGTTGGAAGGAAGTATGCGCTGATAGGTTACGGCGTCAGGCCAAGCATATTGCAAAGCTCAAGCATCACGGTGTTCAGTATACAAGGCTTGTGCCGTAAAGGCGTAATTGCTTCCTCATCCTCGACACTGTAATGTGTCTACGACATGATTGAAGTGTCTCTATCCGACTGCCTGATACCAAGCTATTGCCCAAACCTACCTCTGAGCCAATAGAACTGTATTGTTGCGTACTGACGACCTGACCTTTCGCTGAGCTTCAAGCGAGCCTTCACCAATTGCTTAGACCGCCATTCTCACCACAAATGCGGCCGGTGATTAGCATTGTACTGTGGTAGAATTTCATCACTGCTCCATTCCTGTATGAATGAGTGAGTGAGACACTCACCCTGTGCCCTCCCTTGCGCAAATTGCGCTACTTACCTTGCCGTACAACACCGATGGCCTTTCGAGCTTTAGCTGCGTCCGAGGCATGTAGCGACACTCCAAAGCCTATGCATACAAAGTACCAGTACCCTCGAGATACGTCTCCTGTATTATACCGATAGACTTTACAGCGAAAAACCTAAACAACATCGTCAGGTTTCTGCGACTGGCTGCTAATATTCATCCAAACGGTGAAAAGGGAGGTGCCTATGTATACTGAGGTCTATATAGAAGGCGCAGCATAAGGGCGCCACGTATGCCCGATCCTACCTACGCGCCGCAGGTGCCTTTGTATACACCCAAGACAACAATTTCGATGACTTTGTTGTTACATCTTAACTGCTGGTAAGCTGATTTTGGCATTTGTGCTTGTACTGTGGACTTGTCAATATGCGTGCGTGCTCATCTTTCCTTCTATTACCCTATGCAGGTCTGCAAAATTACGCAAGCTTCTGTTGCAGCTTTGGTTGGATGGTAACAGTCATGCAGGTGAGGCTTCGCAACCGGAGTTACCGATTGAAAGGTTTAAGGGATTCCCCTGGCTATTGAGCACATTGACAAGTAAGGAGGTTAACTCGTTCAGCATTTGTCTACTTGTTTTCTCCTGTCGCTAAGCTGCGAGTTTTGGCGTTGTAGCGCAGTGCTCGCGTCGATGGGCAATCCTCCATTTCCTCACGCGCAGCCCCGCTTACCTCCAGCAGTTACTAACTACCTAACTATCTTCCATGAATGCAGGTCACAAAGGCTAGGAAGGCAACGTTCCACAAGGGCTCGACTTCTTTACTACATTCAACATCCTACCGCACACCATTACCAAGGCCAAGACCACCGAGACAAACACCAAGACTAACTCCAAGGTCAACACTACCACCACCAACAAGACACAAGACCTGCACAAGGACTACGACCACGACCTCCCAAACCAGTGCCCAAGGGAACGCGCAAAGGGCTCCGCCCACATACAATTGGGGATGCTGAGGCGGTGTGTGAACAAGATGCCCACGCATGGCCTGGCAAGCCAAACGGATAACGATGGGAGGTGCGAAGGGAGAAGTACGCATGGGACGCGGCCTGACCAGCCAACACAGCCCCGAGAGGGATGCGATCGAGAAGGGGTGGGCCCGCATGGCCTGGCAAGCCAAACGGATAACGATGGGAGGTGCGAAGGGAGAAGTACGCATGGGACGCGGCCTGACCAGCCAACACAGCCCCGAGAGGGATGCGATCGAGAAGGGGTGGGCCCGCATGGCCTGGCAAGCCAAACGGATAACGATGGGAGGTGCGAAGGGAGAAGCACGCATGGGACGCGGCCTGACCAGCCAACACAGCCCCGAGAGGGATGCGATCGAGAAGGGGTGAGCCCGCATGGCCTGGCAAGCCAAACGGATAACGATGGGAGGTGCGAAGGGAGAAGCACGCATGGGACGCGGCCTGACCAGCCAACACAGCCCCGAGAGGGATGCGATCGAGAAGGGGTGAGCCCGCATGGCCTGGCAAGCCAAACGGATAACAATGGGAGGTGCGAAGGGAGAAGCACGCATGGGACACGGCCTGACCAGCCAACACAGCCCCGAGAGGGATGCGATCGAGAAGAGGTGGGCCCGCATGGCCTGGCAAACCAAACGGATAACAATGGGCGGTGCGAAGGGAGAAGCACGCATGGGACGCGGCCTGACCAGCCAACACAGCCCCGAGAGGGATGCGATCGAGAAGGGGTGAGCCCGCATGGCCTGGCAAGCCAAACGGATAACGATGGGAGGTGCGAAGGGAGAAGCACGCATGGGACGCGGCCTGACCAGCCAACACAGCCCCGAGAGGGATGCGATCGAGAAGGGGTGAGCCCGCATGGCCTGGCAAGCCAAACGGATAACAATGGGAGGTGCGAAGGGAGAAGCACGCATGGGACGCGGCCTGACCAGCCAATACAGCCCCGAGAGGGATGCGATCGAGAAGGGGTGGGCCCGCATGGCCTGGCAAGCCAAACGGATAACGATGGGAGGTGCGAAGGGAGAAGCACGCATGGGACGCGGCCTGACCAGCCAACACAGCCCCGAGAGGGATGCGATCGAGAAGGGGTGGGCCCGCATGGCCTGGCAAGCCAAACGGATAACGATGGGAGGTGCGAAGGGAGAAGCACGCATGGGACGCGGCCTGACCAGCCAACACAGCCCCGAGAGGGATGCGATCGAGAAGAGGTGGGCCCGCATGGCCTGGCAAACCAAACGGATAACAATGGGAGGTGCGAAGGGAGAAGCACGCATGGGACGCGGCCTGACCAGCCAACACAGCCCCGAGAGGGATGCGATCGAGAAGGGGTGGGCCCGCATGGCCTGGCAAGCCAAACGGATAACGATGGGAGGTGCGAAGGGAGAAGCACGCATGGGACGCGGCCTGACCAGCCAACACAGCCCCGAGAGGGATGCGATCGAGAAGAGGTGGGCCCGCATGGCCTGGCAAACCAAACGGATAACAATGGGCGGTGCGAAGGGAGAAGCACGCATGGGACGCGGCCTGACCAGCCAACACAGCCCCGAGAGGGATGCGATCGAGAAGGGGTGAGCCCGCATGGCCTGGCAAGCCAAACGGATAACGATGGGAGGTGCGAAGGGAGTAGCACGCATGGGACGCGGCCTGACCAGCCAACACAGCCCCGAGAGGGATGCGATCGAGAAGGGGTGGGCCCGCATGGCCTGGCAAGCCAAACGGATAACAATGGGCGGTGCGAAGGGAGAAGCACGCATGGGACGCGGCCTGACCAGCCAACACAGCCCCGAGAGGGATGCGATCGAGAAGGGGTGAGCCCGCATGGCCTGGCAAGCCAAACGGATAACGATGGGAGGTGCGAAGGGAGAAGCACGCATGGGACGCGGCCTGACCAGCCAACACAGCCCCGAGAGGGATGCGATCGAGAAGGGGTGAGCCCGCATGGCCTGGCAAGCCAAACGGATAACGATGGGAGGTGCGAAGGGAGTAGCACGCATGGGACGCGGCCTGACCAGCCAACACAGCCCCGAGAGGGATGCGATCGAGAAGGGGTGATCCCGCATGGCCTGGCAAACCAAACGGATAACAATGGGCGGTGCGAAGGGAGAAGCACGCATGGGACGCGGCCTGACAAGCCAACACAGCCCCGAGAGGGATGCGATCGAGAAGGGGTGGGCCCGCATGGCCTGGCAAGCCAAACGGATAACAATGGGCGGTGCGAAGGGAGAAGCACGCATGGGACGCGGCCTGACCAGCCAACACAGCCCCGAGAGGGATGCGATCGAGAAGGGGTGAGCCCGCATGGCCTGGCAAACCAAACGGATAACAATGGGCGGTGCGAAGGGAGAAGCACGCATGGGACGCGGCCTGACCAGCCAACACAGCCCCGAGAGGGATGCGATCGAGAAGGGGTGGGCCCGCATGGCCTGGTAAGCCAAACGGATAACGATGGGAGGAGCGAAGGGAGAAGCACGCATGGGACACGGCCTGACAATCCAACACAGCCCCGAGAGGGATGCGATCGAGAAGGGGTGGGCCCGCATGGCCTGGCAAGCCAAACGGATAACAATGGGCGGTGCGAAGGGAGAAGCACGCATGGGACGCGGCCTGACCAGCCAACACAGCCCCGAGAGGGATGCGATCGAGAAGGGGTGAGCCCGCATGGCCTGGCAAGCCAAACGGATAACGATGGGAGGTGCGAAGGGAGAAGCACGCATGGGACGCGGCCTGACCAGCCAACACAGCCCCGAGAGGGATGCGATCGAGAAGGGGTGGGCCCGCATGGCCTGGCAAGCCAAACGGATAACAATGGGAGGTGCGAAGGGAGAAGCACGCATGGGACGCGGCCTGACCAGCCAATACAGCCCCGAGAGGGATGCGATCGAGAAGGGGTGGGCCCGCATGGCCTGGCAAACCAAACGGATAACAATGGGCGGTGCGAAGGGAGAAGCACGCATGGGACGCGGCCTGACCAGCCAACACAGCCCCGAGAGGGATGCGATCGAGAAGGGGTGAGCCCGCATGGCCTGGCAAGCCAAACGGATAACGATGGGAGGTGCGAAGGGAGAAGCACGCATGGGACGCGGCCTGACCAGCCAACACAGCCCCGAGAGGGATGCGATCGAGAAGGGGTGGGCCCGCATGGCCTGGCAAGCCAAACGGATAACAATGGGCGGTGCGAAGGGAGAAGCACGCATGGGACGCGGCCTGACCAGCCAACACAGCCCCGAGAGGGATGCGATTGAGAAGGGGTGAGCCCGCATGGCCTGGCAAGCCAAACGGATAACGATGGGAGGTGCGAAGGGAGAAGTACGCATGGGACGCGGCCTGACCAGCCAACACAGCCCCGAGAGGGATGCGATCGAGAAGGGGTGGGCCCGCATGGCCTGGCAAACCAAACGGATAACAATGGGCGGTGCGAAGGGAGAAGCACGCATGGGACGCGGCCTGACCAGCCAACACAGCCCCGAGAGGGATGCGATCGAGAAGGGGTGAGCCCGCATGGCCTGGCAAGCCAAACGGATAACAATGGGAGGTGCGAAGGGAGAAGCACGCATGGGACACGGCCTGACCAGCCAACACAGCCCCGAGAGGGATGCGATCGAGAAGAGGTGGGCCCGCATGGCCTGGCAAACCAAACGGATAACAATGGGCGGTGCGAAGGGAGAAGCACGCATGGGACGCGGCCTGACCAGCCAACACAGCCCCGAGAGGGATGCGATCGAGAAGGGGTGGGCCCGCATGGCCTGGCAAGCCAAACGGATAACGATGGGAGGTGCGAAGGGAGAAGCACGCATGGGACGCGGCCTGACCAGCCAACACAGCCCCGAGAGGGATGCGATCGAGAAGGGGTGGGCCCGCATGGCCTGGCAAGCCAAACGGATAACAATGGGAGGTGCGAAGGGAGAAGCACGCATGGGGCGCGGCCTGACCAGCCAACACAGCCCCGAGAGGGATGCGATCGAGAAGGGGTGGGCCCGCATGGCCTGGCAAGCCAAACGGATAACGATGGGAGGTGCGAAGGGAGAAGCACGCATGGGACACGGCCTGACCAGCCAACACAGCCCCGAGAGGGATGCGATCGAGAAGGGGTGGGCCCGCATGGCCTGGCAAACCAAACGGATAACAATGGGCGGTGCGAAGGGAGAAGCACGCATGGGACGCGGCCTGACCAGCCAACACAGCCCCGAGAGGGATGCGATCGAGAAGGGGTGAGCCCGCATGGCCTGGCAAGCCAAACGGATAACAATGGGAGGTGCGAAGGGAGAAGCACGCATGGGACGCGGCCTGACCAGCCAATACAGCCCCGAGTGGGATGCGATCGAGAAGGGGTGGGCCCGCATGGCCTGGCAAGCCAAACGGATAACGATGGGAGGTGCGAAGGGAGAAGCACGCATGGGACGCGGCCTGACCAGCCAACACAGCCCCGAGAGGGATGCGATCGAGAAGGGGTGGGCCCGCATGGCCTGGCAAGCCAAACGGATAACGATGGGAGGTGCGAAGGGAGAAGCACGCATGGGACGCGGCCTGACCAGCCAACACAGCCCCGAGAGGGATGCGATCGAGAAGAGGTGGGCCCGCATGGCCTGGCAAACCAAACGGATAACAATGGGAGGTGCGAAGGGAGAAGCACGCATGGGACGCGGCCTGACCAGCCAATACAGCCCCGAGAGGGATGCGATCGAGAAGGGGTGGGCCCGCATGGCCTGGCAAGCCAAACGGATAACGATGGGAGGTGCGAAGGGAGAAGCACGCATGGGACGCGGCCTGACCAGCCAACACAGCCCCGAGAGGGATGCGATCGAGAAGAGGTGGGCCCGCATGGCCTGGCAAACCAAACGGATAACAATGGGCGGTGCGAAGGGAGAAGCACGCATGGGACGCGGCCTGACCAGCCAACACAGCCCCGAGAGGGATGCGATCGAGAAGGGGTGAGCCCGCATGGCCTGGCAAGCCAAACGGATAACGATGGGAGGTGCGAAGGGAGTAGCACGCATGGGACGCGGCCTGACCAGCCAACACAGCCCCGAGAGGGATGCGATCGAGAAGGGGTGGGCCCGCATGGCCTGGCAAGCCAAACGGATAACAATGGGCGGTGCGAAGGGAGAAGCACGCATGGGACGCGGCCTGACCAGCCAACACAGCCCCGAGAGGGATGCGATCGAGAAGGGGTGATCCCGCATGGCCTGGCAAGCCAAACGGATAACGATGGGAGGTGCGAAGGGAGAAGCACGCATGGGACGCGGCCTGACCAGCCAACACAGCCCCGAGAGGGATGCGATCGAGAAGGGGTGAGCCCGCATGGCCTGGCAAGCCAAACGGATAACGATGGGAGGTGCGAAGGGAGTAGCACGCATGGGACGCGGCCTGACCAGCCAACACAGCCCCGAGAGGGATGCGATCGAGAAGGGGTGAGCCCGCATGGCCTGGCAAACCAAACGGATAACAATGGGCGGTGCGAAGGGAGAAGCACGCATGGGACGCGGCCTGACCAGCCAACACAGCCCCGAGAGGGATGCGATCGAGAAGGGGTGGGCCCGCATGGCCTGGCAAGCCAAACGGATAACAATGGGCGGTGCGAAGGGAGAAGCACGCATGGGACGCGGCCTGACCAGCCAACACAGCCCCGAGAGGGATGCGATCGAGAAGGGGTGGGCCCGCATGGCCTGGCAAACCAAACGGATAACAATGGGCGGTGCGAAGGGAGAAGCACGCATGGGACGCGGCCTGACCAGCCAACACAGCCCCGAGAGGGATGCGATCGAGAAGGGGTGGGCCCGCATGGCCTGGCAAGCCAAACGGATAACGATGGGAGGTGCGAAGGGAGAAGCACGCATGGGACGCGGCCTGACCAGCCAACACAGCCCCGAGAGGGATGCGATCGAGAAGGGGTGAGCCCGCATGGCCTGGCAAACCAAACGGATAACAATGGGCGGTGCGAAGGGAGAAGCACGCATGGGACGCGGCCTGACCAGCCAACACAGCCCCGAGAGGGATGCGATCGAGAAGGGGTGAGCCCGCATGGCCTGGCAAGCCAAACGGATAACGATGGGAGGTGCGAAGGGAGAAGCACGCATGGGACACGGCCTGACCAGCCAACACAGCCCCGAGAGGGATGCGATCGAGAAGGGGTGGGCCCGCATGGCCTGGCAAACCAAACGGATAACAATGGGCGGTGCGAAGGGAGAAGCACGCATGGGACGCGGCCTGACCAGCCAACACAGCCCCGAGAGGGATGCGATCGAGAAGGGGTGAGCCCGCATGGCCTGGCAAGCCAAACGGATAACAATGGGAGGTGCGAAGGGAGAAGCACGCATGGGACGCGGCCTGACCAGCCAATACAGCCCCGAGAGGGATGCGATCGAGAAGGGGTGGGCCCGCATGGCCTGGCAAGCCAAACGGATAACGATGGGAGGTGCGAAGGGAGAAGCACGCATGGGACACGGCCTGACCAGCCAACACAGCCCCGAGAGGGATGCGATCGAGAAGGGGTGGGCCCGCATGGCCTGGCAAACCAAACGGATAACAATGGGCGGTGCGAAGGGAGAAGCACGCATGGGACGCGGCCTGACCAGCCAACACAGCCCCGAGAGGGATGCGATCGAGAAGGGGTGAGCCCGCATGGCCTGGCAAGCCAAACGGATAACAATGGGAGGTGCGAAGGGAGAAGCACAACCCCCCGACACGTGAGCATGTTTGGCTGGCACGCGTTTGGCGGGTAGTCATTGCGAGGCGCAAACTATGGGGTGCGTGCAGGTTCGCCGGTTCCAAGCGCTGGGGTGCGCACGTGCGTAAGTTATGACACTGCGTGTGGAGTGTGGCTATATTGCAGGTGGCGACAAGGGCTGTAGTCGTTTTGTTCAGCGTGCTTACGGCCTTACTTCAGACCTGCAGTCACGACGCAGTTATGCCGATAGTTATGGCGATTCCATTCTTATCTGCTCCCTAGGCTGACACTATTGACAGCTGCTGTTCTGCTCAGCTGTGAAAGCCATCTTGAGCTTCACTCGTACGTAATAGTGCGTAAACGCACTGATCAGGGGCTGGGGGCTTTGGCCACGCGGCCAGGTGTTCGTGTGCGGGCGGTGTCGTGGGGAGTCCTGAACGACACACGCACGTCGTTGAGTGCTCTCGATGTGGCCTATGTAAAGAGTGCCGCATGGCGTTGCGCACTACTTCACATGTTGCTGCCATTGGCGGTGTGGACTGGGGAGGGCTTAGGCAACGGCCTCGGGTGGGATTGCCACGGAGCTGTGAGGCCCAGGGTGTCTGAGGCAACACTTAGCCATGATAGCCGATTATAGGCAAAGGGCAAAAGAGTGTGCCGCATGAGACGAGGGCCGCGATCAGCGGAAGTTGAAACGAGGTATCGTACCAAACTATTGAGCAACTACCAAAAGTTCTCTTTGGAAAATGTTCGCTGTGGTATGCATCCAAGCGTTGACCTAACACCTTCCTTTACGACCGGCACAGCTTGAACAGTGACATGAGAGTATGAAAATCGGCTATGTCCTAGTGCCCAGGTTCTGCGCAGCGGCAGTGGGCCTCGGGGAAGAAGGATGGCATCCTATTTTCCGCGCGCAGACGAGTTTGTGCTGGTAAGGCTTTAGCGGCCAATGTCTTTACGTGTAGTTGTGGGCTTCTGTCCTACCTAATTGGATGCGATTGAAACTGTGACACCTCCTAGGACTTTGATGCCGAGGAGCAAGCCCAGCTTCAAATTCTGGCGCTGGCAGCCGGCCAGCCGCTGTTGACAATTGCTGGTGCAGCCGCGGGGCCTGGAGCTCCTGCTGCTACGGTTGCTGCTGCTGCGAAACGTGGGCTAAAACCTGCCGCTGGTGCTGCCAGCACCAATCGCGGCACCGCGCAAACGCGGAATGGCGGCCCAGGGCCTAACAATGCCCTTGCCGGCCGTGGCAACACCTCAGCAGCTGCTCCTCCTGGGCGCATAGACTCCGAGTTGGATGCGCTTAGGCGCGAGATCGCGCGCCTTGAGCAACTCAAGAAACAGGGCGCATCCAAGCCAGCACCGGCAGCGCAGCCAGGACAGGCAGCCGCACGGCAGCAACCGGCCAGTGGCCGAGTCGCCGCACGCAAGACGCAGCAGGTCCCAGCCCTCTCCTCATCTTCAGGAGCGGCAGCAGCTGGTTCGGCACCTGCGGGAGAGGCACAGGTGCCCCTGGCAAAGTCGCCAACGGCTAGGGCTGGAGCAAGGGCCGTGCCTGCAGGGGCCGCTCCTTCTGGCACGGGGGCACATGCTGCAAAGCGCGCGCGCTTGCAACCTGGCAACAAACCGACTGATACCGCTCAAGCCGCCCAGGCATCTACGGGTGTTGCCAGGTCCGCCACAGCGGGGAATGCGACAGGCGCCTCCGCCCCGCCTGATACGGCCGTGTCGTCAGCAGCAACTCCAGCTTCTTCAGAGCAGGGGGCTGCGGCCGCGGCACCTGCGGAGGGCACCGCTCGCGCCGAGCAGCTTGCCGGTACCAAGCGAGGGGCAGATGCAGAAGCTGTGGGTCCAGGTGCGCAGCAGCTACAACAGCAGCGACAGCACCTGGCGAACCGGCAGCAGCCTCGGAGCCAGCAGCCCCCCTCAGCAGACGCCGATGCCGGGCCCGGGAGTACGGCGCAAGAGGCATCAGAGGGCCCACGAGAGGGTGGTGCTGGCGGTGACGGCAGCGATGCAGCGGAGGGTGTAGCAGCCCGAGGGCCACTACAGCTTCCTGGCACTGTGGGGCCCGGCGGCAGCGCGCAACCACCTGATCAGGCGGGGCCGGGGCCACCAGCCAAACGCCCCCGCCGGGCTCTGGCGCCAGCTGGCAGCGGCGGGAGCGGTGGCGGCGCCAGCAGCGGGGTTGGCGTCATGGCGTCAGGCCATGGCTTGGGGGACCAAGCCGGGGGTGCTGAGCAGCTGCAGCAGCGGGCAGCTGGTCCCGCGACGCACTCCGGCCCTGCTGTGGTTGGAACATCTGGTAGGGATGCTGGGCGACAGGATGCGGACGGGGAGGTCGTTGTACGGCAGCGGGGGCAGGCGCTCGCAGCGGAAACGATATCTCCCGAGGCGGAGCAGGCGGCGAATGCCTTCCTGATGTCCCTGCTGACCCAGATGGGTGGAGGCGCCGCCGGCAGTCAGCATGCTGCCCCGCAGCAGGCGCCCATGCCACTACCCCCCCTAGAACGCCAGCAGCCGGGGTTGGTGGGGGTTGGGTTGGGAGGCGGGCAGCACGACGGAGAGCGGCCGCGCGAGGAGCCGACCGCACCTGGGTCGCAGGAGCCGGGGGCGTTGTTGCGGGACGTCCAGCAACCCCTATCGGGCCCCAGCGGGCAGGGGCGGCATGCGGGAGGCGCTGGCAGCTGGGACAGGGACGCAGCAGCGGGGCCGACAGAGCGAGCGACGCGCGGGCACGGTGCACAAGGTAGGGTTGTCAGTGCTGGCACGCTGCGTTTACTGTGTATCATGCCAGATAAGCTTCTATCTATAGGCAGCCAACAGAATGCGATGTTGCTGAAGGCATGTCTGGAACCCCCCCCCCCAGCTCACAGTGTGGCTGCCTCTGCCTCCCCCCCCCGCCCTTGTCCCTCTGCCATGCGACAGGTACTGCTGGCATGTCCTCAGCGCGGCGAGCAGCAGCGGAGCGCACGACAGCAGCGGTGCAGCGCATGCGGCGCAAGTCCGCCGTGGCAGCAGCGACACCCGTAGCAGCAGCAGCAGCGGGCCCAGGGCGCCCGAACAACTCACCTGCAGACGGCCCCTGCACCATGGCTGCGGGGCCCCATACAGCCGCCCATCCTGAAGCAGGGAATGGGGTGCTAGTGGGGAGCTGTCCTAACCTCGTGGACGACCCCCCACACAGCGAACAGGTGCTGCCGGTTATGAGGGCAGACGGTGGATGTGACGCATGCGCTGCTGCGGAGAGCGCGATGCCGCTACCGGCGAGTGCAGGCCTCCTCCCAGACATCATTTCCCGGCTCCCGCTGGAGTCCCGTACAGCGCTGGCGGAGGCGCTAGCGCCCGTGCACACCGCACAGACCTTGCCACAGATACCGACAGCTGCTACTGATGCTGCTGTTACCGAACCGGACACCACACCTCGGTCTGGCGAGGGCGGCACGTTGGGCCCGCCTGCAGAGCAACCGCTGAGAGCCATGCCAAACGGCCCTGTTGGGCATGTGGCCGCGCTTGCTGCAGCAGCCTGCCAACCTGGCATGCTGGTGCCGCCCCCCTTGGAGCACCAGCATGTTGGCGTGCGGGACCCGGACGTCCTGCTGGGCGCAGTCGGATCCCCCGTGGGCGCCCCGCCGCAGCCCCCGCTGTCCGCTGCTACGACGCCCTCTCGGCTGCCGTACGACTCGGCAGCTGCTGTAGCTGCTGCTGTGGCAGACATGCCGGCACCCCCCAACCTTGCTGCCCGCATGCCACCGCCCGGTGGCCTCCCAGCAGAGTTCCCAGCTCATCCTTGGGTGCAGGGCAGCACAGCAGGCCGGGGCTCCGCACCTGCTGAGCCGGCGCCACTGCCCGCCATGCCAGCGGGTGCACTGCTCCAGCAGCAGCAGCACGAGGTGCGCCCACCGCCGCACCCAGGGCCGGGGTTGGGAGCTCCCTCTGGTCCGGACTACGGCTGCGCGGGGGCGCCTAACGGCTTCCCTGCCGCACCCCTCAGAGGAGGGGCCGTTGCCGGCAGCGCAGGCGAGCATGCAGGGGCGACAGCTGCGGCCCCAGCTAGCCTACCGCTGCCCCAAGGGGGACTTCCTCCACCGCCCGTTGCTCCTCCCGGCCTGGCGCACGGCGCTTTCCCCCCTCTGGCGAGGCCACCACCCGGACTGCAGCCCCCTCACCCATACCTTCATCCACCCGCTTACCCGATGCACCCTCTGCCTCCGCCACACTTCCCCGGTGCCTTCCCGCTGGGCCCCCCTGCTGGCCTGGTTCCGGGGTGGCGGCCGGGGCTGATGGGGCCGGGACCGGGGTCCGGGCTGGTGCCGCTGGCTGGCGGGTGCGCGGCGATACCGGTGGAGGAGGTGGACCTTCTGGCTCGCAAGGAGCTGCTGCTGCTGAAGTGGCGGATGCTGCAGGTGAGGGGTGCGAGGAGGGGTGGGGGTGATGGTCTGTAAGGGGGGGTGAGTGCATGGAGTGCATTGAGGTGTCTTCAGGGCACTCCCTGTGACCTGGCATGATGGGACATGGCACATGGGATAGACCGGCTCCTGAAGGTCACATCTGCTCAGCCCGGCACCTGTGTTGTATCTTACCACCGGAACCCCGCAGGAGCTGGCCGCCGACGTGCAGGGGGAGTGGCGGGACGTCTGCATGGCGCATAACCGCCTGCGCACCCAGCTGCGGCCGCTTCCGCAGCCCCCGCAGCAGCCCCCGCTCCGGCCGCCCGACCAGCCTACCAGTGCTGCTGCTGCTAGCGGCGGCGGCCTAGCTCCCGGGGCGGTGCAGTCCCCCGCGGCCCCTTGCCCCACCCTGTCCCACCCGCTCCAGCACCACCCAGCGGCTCAGCAACCACTCCAAGGGGGGCAGCAGTACCCGCATCCGGTCCCGCCCCCGCGCCTTCCTGACCAGCCCATGCTGCCGCCCGCGGGGCCCGCGCAGCTGCTGCCCGGACACCCGCCGCATGCCGGACAGCCACATCCGCATGGGGCCTATCCCCCGCAGCTGCATCCGCAGCCCCTGTCCCTGCCCCACCAGCCGCTGTCCGGCGGGAGCCTGCTGGGAGCCGCTGCAGGGGCAGGATGCGCCGCTCCTCCCGCTTCCGCTCCTGCCATGCTGGCTCCGCCTGCTGCTCCTGTGGCGCCTGCATGCGGGCCCCAGGCTGACGGCTCCCGGACCGCTGCCAGCGGGGTGCAGCACGGCGCCTCGTACGAGCGCGCAGAAGTAGATCCGATCCTGCAGAACCAGCAACAACAAGCACAACAGCGGCAGCCACCACTACCATTACAACCGCAGCAGCAACAAGGGCAGCAGCTGACGGACCGACAAGTCCAGCACCACCGGCTGTTTGCCTGCTTGGAACACCCGCCAGCTCAGTTACAACCCCTGCAACACCCCCTGCAACAAATCCAACATCAACAGCAGCCCCCAGGACAGGTGATGTGCCCCGAGCAGGACGCCCCCATGCAGCAGCAAGGCCAGTACGGCGCACCTCTTGGCCACCCCCAGCAACAGTACCAGGGGGGCGTCTTCCCAGCGGTGGTGGAGCACGGTGCTGCTGCCTTCCTGGCACCCTGCCTCCAAGAGCACCGTGCAACCCACCAGCAGCAGCCGCAGGTTGTTAACCTGGGCGGCGGCGGCGGCAACCGGCCGGCAGGTATTGACACCTTCCGACACCTGCCTGAAGGGCCGCATGGCCAGCAGCAGCAGCAGCAGCCTTCCGCTTCTGCAGGTCAGCCGGGGTCGGGGCCTGCTCCAGGTATGGGCGGGGCCGTACCTTCACGCCATGGAGGGGTCGTCCAGCACGGGTGCAGCCAGGCGGATGTCCTGCTTGCGGACAACACCCTGCCGCGTTGGGAGCACCAGGGGCAGCCGGGGGGGCAGCCGCCGCAGCAGCAGCCGCAGCCTGCGCACTTGGCGGCGGCAGCGGTGTTGGGCCACCCCGGACAAGCAGCTGCAGCTGGAGCGGATGCGGCCCGGTTGGTAGTAGCGGCGGGCGCCCAAGGTGGGTTGGGACGGTGGTCGTCGCGTTTTTCTCTGCGTCGTTATGGGGGATAGCCTTGTCATGGGACGAGCATGCGCGGACCAAGATGAATGATCGGATTGGACACTAACAGCGGCATGACTGTTGCCAATACCTGCCAGCATGTTGGTTGTTTGCCGAAAGGAACCTTCCCTGCCGGGGCGCCCCCGGGGCACACCACCTGCCCCTCTGCTCCCTCTTCCCTTTCCTCCTCCGCTTTCCGTGGCGTATTCCGTTTGCTCTTCAGCTCATCCAGTTGCCGGCGGCGTGCTCCACTCGACAGAGCCTGCTCCGCCTCCTCACGCTCCCCAATACTCCGACACCACTGCTCCAGCCAACGGCGCGCCGGCTGCGGGTGCTGGGAGCGCCACGCCCGGGCCCGTTTGGACGCCTTGGTCGGAGGCGGCAGGGGCACAGCCAGGCACCTCGACAGGCGGCTTCGGAGGGGCGGCACGCACCGAGGGAGCAGCAGCAGGGGAGCTAGCGGGCGGTGTGGGCGATGGAGGTGGCGACAGCGGCACCAACGGCAACGGGGTCAGCTGCGACGGCGGCGGTGGCGAGGGTGCCGGGGGCCCCAGTAGTGGTGCTGCCGGTAACGGCGGAGGGGGCAGCAGCGATGCGGCCGGAGCTGGGGGCGTCGCGACGTTCACGGGGCTTAGCTTCAAGTTGCAGGCTCCTGGGGTTGGGGGGCGGCGGGTCGGGGCCATGCGCGCGCAGCAGGGTGTTAGGGCGGCGGTAGGGGGGCTGGCAGGTGCACAGGCGGGGGCTGCGCGTGCGCAGCCAGCCGTGTCCGCTGTCGTGACTAGTGCTATAGTGCGCAGGCGCCAACCCGCACCGTTCCCCAGCCTAGGTTCCCCTGCCCCTGCTGCCGCTACTGCTACTGCCGAGCCACCTCCCCTGCGCGTGCAGTCTGCGCCGCAGGTGCCGGGGTGGAGTGCGCAAGCAGCGGGCGGTGCGGAGGCGTCCTGGGCCGGCACGCAGCCGCCGCAGCAGGTGAAACTCTTACGCCATGTGTGTGGGTCCTCGTGTGTGGCTCTTGTGTCCTAATAAAACTGGCTCTTGTGTATGTCCATACGGACGGATGCTGCTGGGTACTCTCCATCGTCGGGTTTGACTGAGCTCCCTGCTTGCCTGAGACCCCTCCCTAGCCCTGCCTGCAGACCTCCCACCCCACTGCTAGCAGCGGTTGCAGTGCAGGGGCGGGCGCAGCAGCCGCAACAGCCCTCCAGCCTGCACAGCAAGCACAGGCGAGGCGGGGAGGCCCCGCACGGGGGCACATGCTATCATTGCAACTTGCTGTCTTCGCAAAACGTGGTTATCCGTTCTTCTGAACCACACCGCCATGGCCTTGATCTGATCAACCGGTATCGTAAACTGTAAAGGGAAAAGGCCACTGCCGTGACTGCTTGCGGACATTACCCCCTGTGCCCTGCCCGTGTGGCCCCTCCCGCCCCGCCCTCGCGCTGTCTTCCCATACGTCCACAGGCCCCATCCGCCGCCCCGGCCGCATCCGGAGAGCAGCTGCCAGCCCATGTGAGGAGCTGCCCAGACACGGAAGCCCTGGGGAGGCCCGCGCGGACCTCGACCTCCACCCAGCACCACCAGCAAGGCTCTCAACAGCTGTCCATCCTTCCGACCCCTCCCATGTCGCCGCAGCAGCTGCTGTATCAGCGGCAGGACTTTGTCATTTCAGCCGGCGGGTTGGGCCAGGGGGCAACGGCAGCAACAGCCCAGTCTACGCTGCAGGTGCTGTCCTCCAGATACACCTCACCGCTAGGCATCTTCCATACCTACAACGGCGTTGGTAGCTTTTAATCGATAGTTATTATAGGCGATAGTGCTAAGACGTGCTGGGGGTTGTGAGGTGTAGGTGCTCTGGCAGGGTCTGGATTTCCCTGCTGGGTAAAGGCGTATAGCGTTCACGTAACCGAGGCTTTAGCGTTACTTAGACAGCTGAGGAAGTGACAGGATATCACGCAGACGACTTTAAGAAGAATAGTAGACAAGGAGAGTAGAGAAGGAGAGTAGTAGGCAAGTGCTTACGTTGGTGCAATCGCCGGAGGAAACTGCATTCTCGTCGTCGCATCCCGCATCTTACCTCTTCATTGCATGTGCCCGTTGGATGTCACCCGGCTGACGATGTTACGTGCCTGCAAACTATGCGCAATATAGTGGCGGTGTGGCGGCTAAGATACTGCGTTTACGCTGGTTTGGTTACGGTGGTCACCTGCCACAGCTTGTCATGTACCCGTTTTGTCACACGCTGTTTGGACGCATTGTGAACAGCTGTTAAGACATGCTCGTGCTTTTGGGGAGGCATCTTGACCTCCCACGCCACCACCTAACGCAACCCGGCCTTGCTGATCGGCTCACAGATGCTGCTGTGTAACGGCGCCGCCTTGCCTCCGTCTTGTTCTCCCCATCTACGGTTGCGAGCGCGGCCTCTGATGCCTGCACCGCCTTCACGCTGCGTCCGTGCAAGCAGGGTACTGTGCCCTGCGCAAACATCCCTATCAGGCTTTTGCATGGAGGAGGTGGCATGTCGGCTGTTGGCATGGAGCCATGTTACACAGGTTCCCCGGTTGTGGAGCCCAGGCAGCCAGTCAGCCCCAACCGCACAGCACCGCCGCCCCAACACCCGAGCAGTGCATGCACGCCCTGACACGGTTACGGCGGTACCGGTAACCCGGCTACATACCTCCCCATCAGACAGGCATGGCCCCGTGCGGCCCTGCTAGCAAGCATGGCCCCCAACCCGCTCGCAGCAATACACAAGTCGCCACCCCACCCCTAGCTAAGCAACAGCGTAAGCACGACAACAGGGCTAGGTGACTAGGTCGCCTGCTGGGAGCCCTTCCTCCCTCCTCTCCCTCCTCTCCCTCCGCCTCTATGCCTACGCCGCGCCTGCCCATCCTCCCCCGTCTCTCCTTCACGTCCTCCTCTCCGGCCACCCCTCGACTTCCCCACACCGCTAGAAGTACCCCCATCCGCGCCCGCGCCCGCACCCCCTGCTGCCGCTGACCCTGCCATGCTGCTGCCACAGCCACAGCCTCCGCCTCCTCCGCCCCCGCTGCCAGTCCCCACTCCACTCGTCTGCGTCCCTGCTGTCGGCCCCTCTGCCACGTAGTCCTGCGTCACCACCCGCGCCACCACCTTGCCGCTGTAGCGCGCCGAGATCTCCTTGATGGCCCGCTCCTCGATTTGGATGGCGCTCAGCGGCTTGGCGGCCACCGCGGGCTGGCACTGCTCGGGAACGTACCACTTGCTGGGCTGCGCGGGGGGAGGCTGGGAGAGACCCAGCAGCGGCAGCGGCAGCGGGGAGCGGCCGACGGGAGGGGAGGAGCCGAGCGGGCAGGCGGCAGCGGCAGCGGGTGTACTGGCAGCAGCGGAGGAGGAGGAGGTGGGGCCAGCAGTGGAGGTGCCTGGTGGAGCGGTCTTGCCCCAGTTGGCTGCGGCGCGCTTCTGCACCTGGGCCTGCTCCGCCTGAGGGGGAGGGAGGGAGGGAAAGGAGCGGCAGTCAGAGCCACATAGCGGTTATACACCAACCGACCCTTGGGTTGTAGAGGGGAGTGAGCGAGTGACATCACCCGCATGCACTGTCCGGGTATAACACCTGCAGGAGGAAGACAACACAGGGGCGTCGTCCCTTGCCATGCAGCAGTGGCGCTCCAGGCAATCCATACCTCACATACGCAAGCCCTGATAAGCCAGGAACCAGGAACCAGGAACCTGCAAGGGAGGCAACCCACTCCCACTCCCCCCCATCAACCCCCCCCCCTGCCCCCCTGCGCCCCCCACCACCTGGATGTCCAGCAGCGAGCGGGCGCCCCGCGGACTGCTGCCAGGCACCCCACCCCAGGCGGGGCCGGCGGGCTCGCGTTCCCTCTCCTGCTCGCGGCCCCGCTGCCCTCCTGCGCCCACCACCTGCAGCGGCGCGCTCACGGGCCGCCCGCTCATGAACTCAGCCAGGGTCAGCTTGAGGGCGCCGCCGCCACCCGTGCCGCCGCCGCTGCTGCTGCCGGCACCGGCTGCGGCCCCGGCTGGTGTGAGGGGGGCCGCTGCCGCCCCAGCTGTTGCGACAGGGACACCCGGGGACTTTGCCGGCGGCGCGGCGGGGGGGGCTCCAGGCTTCCGGCCGCTAGCAGCAGCAGCAGCGCCCGCAGCCGCCGCAATGGGGAGGCCGGCAGCAGCCGCATGCAGGCCGGTAGGGGCAGTCTGCGGCGCGGCAGGAGGCAGGTTACCGGACGGGGAGCGGGCTGGCAGCCCGGCAGCCGCTGGCCCTGGGGACCCGCGGGCGGGTGGCCCCGGGGAGGGGGCCGCAGGCAGCTGCTGCTGCTGCCGCTGCTGTGGTTGTTGGTGTGGTTGTTGGTGCTGCTGCAGCAGGTGGGGTGCGGGTGAGGGCGGCTGCTGCTGCTGCCCCAGTAGCTCCCGGAGGCTGCTGCTGGTGGGGGCGGGGGCGGAGGCAGGCTGTCCGGCGCCACCCCAGGCAGGGCCCTTTGGGGCTGACGCTGCTGCTGCTGCTGCTGCGGTGGAGGAGGGCTGGGGCTGTGCTGGGGGCAGGGGTGAGGCAGGTCGGTCCAGGGCGCCGGAGAGGAACAGGGAGAGGCCGCCGCGACGTGGCTGGGACTTCTTGGTGGTGGTGGCGGAGGCGGGGGTGGCGGCGGGGCCTGCAGCCGTGGAGGAGCTGGCGGGGGTGGGGTGAGCAGTGGTGGAGGTGAAGCCGGTGGTGATGGTGGTGGGTGCTGGCGGTGCGGCAGCCACCTGGCCTCCCTCCGCAGCCCCCTCCCGCTGCCCTCCCTGCCGCTTCTTGCCGCTGCCGCCGCCAGCGCTGCTGCCCGCCTGCTGCTGGCGGGTGCTGCTGCTGCCAGCGGGAGTGGAGGGACCCGGACCCGAGGCCGAGCTCCGCCGGCGGCCGCCCTCCCCCTGCACACCCGCACTCCCGCTCGCTCCCGCTGCCGTACCGGCCGTACCGGCCACCGCCGCCGCCGCCGCCGCTGCAGCGTCGGGCCTGGCCGCCAGTTTGCCCGCCACCTCCGCACTGTGCGCCACCGCCTGCCGTACCGCCTCCACCCCCGCCCCTGCCGCCAGCGCCGCCAGCGCCTCCGTCAGCGCCCCCCGCTGACTCATCTTGGCGTGCTGCTGCGCGTCCAGCTGCCGACCCGCCCGCTCGGACTCCTCCAGAGCTGCGATCTGAGCCAGCTTGCGAGTCAGCGCGCGAGCTAGCCGCTGCGCCTCGCTCTCTCCCTCCCCCCCGCCCGCACCTCCCTCCGGGCCTAGACCGCTACTAGCTCCCAGCAGCGGCGGAGGGTGCGGGTGCGGCAGGCTGGCATGCCCTATCGCACCCAGCGCCGCCGCCGCTGCCGCCGCCACGAGGCGGCTGCTGGCGTGCGGCGCCATTCGCTCCGCCGCCGCCGCCCCCGCCAGCCAGCCGGGCGCCGCGGTGGGGCGGCGGCCCGGCTGCAGCCGCGAGATGAGGCCGCGGCGGAGGTGGAACGACTCCAGTGCCGCCAGCGACGATGATTCAGCGGCGGAGCCTCCGCCACCTCCGCCAGCACCGGTGTACGAACCGTACGACATTGTCGACATGGCACTCCCACCAGCCACAGCTCCGAGTGCAGCGGCAGGGGGACTGCTCCCGGCAAGCGGAAAGCCGTCCCCCCCACTCGGCGGGCTGCTTCCCAGCGGCTGCTGCTGCTGCCGCTGTTGTCCTGCCGTACCTCCCGCACCAGCCGCCAGCGGCGGCGCCAGCAGCGCTGCCCGGTAGAGGTGCTCCAGCTCCGCCTGCAAGTGCGGCGGCAGGCCCGTCAGCCCGCCCGGCGCCTCCAGCAGCGCCACGTCTAGGTTGGCCACCGCCACCGCCAGGCAGTAGCAGCGCAGCAGCGCAGCACCCGCCACGTCAGCGTACTCCAGGATGGGCAGTGCCGTACGGGGGTCCACCAGCTGGGTGGCCACCACCCTCTGGCAGAGCACCTGCAGGGAGGGGATGGCGGCGGCGGGAGCACCGCGACGGCTGGAGGAGGTGGCGGCGGCGGCGGAGGTGGAAGAGGAGCGGACGCCAAACATGTCATCGTCCGGGAGGTCGTTGTCGCCTGGGTAGAGACGGCCTGACTGCGGGGCGCCGTCGTCTCCCTCCGCCGCCAGCCGGTGACTGAAGAGCTCCCAGCCGGGACCCGCTGCCTCAGCGCCCGCCCCGGCGTCGTCCTGCCGCCGCTGCTGCCTCCGTCCCGCTAGCAAACCCATCCAGCTGCCCCCGCCCCCGACAGCTCCCGTCGGCCCCCAGGACCGCGCCACCGTCGGACTACTCGCCCCCAGCAGCGGCAGCGGCGGAGGCGGTGTGGATCCAAGCACCGGAGCAGCACCGGCCCCGATGCCACCAGCAGCACCAGACGCCGGCCCCATGCCCGGACTCCACCTCGGCAGTGACCCACGGGTCGTCTCCCCGTCCTCCGACCCCTCCGACCCCTCCTCGCTGCTTCCCCCGCTGCTTCCTCCGCTGTGCCTCCGCCGCCTCCGCCTCCTCCCAGCCAGCGGCATGACCCCGTGCTCGTCAGGCAGCGGCGGCAGTGTCCAAGCCTGCAGCGCCAGCGTGTGTTTTTCCCCCACCGCCACCCCCACCACCCGCGTTAGACCCGGCACCCGCACAGGCACGATAGCAGCTGGGTCGTCAGCTGCAGCAGCAGCTGCTGCTGCCTGACCCGCAGGAGCTTGCGCCGTCGCCGTTGCCGCCACCGTCACACCACCTCTGCCGCCGCCGCCAGCAGCACCCTGCTGACCCGCCGTACCCGCCCCCGCCGCCTCCTCCGCCCTGCCTCCTCCTCCCCGCTCCCTCCCCCGCTCCTTCTCCTTCCCCGCTCCCGCCTCCCACATAAACACCAGCCCCGTGTCCGTACACACCACCGTTCGGCTCTTCGCCGCCGACACCCCCACGCAGCGGCGCCCCGCCAGCGGCCCGCCCACCTCCGCCGCCCGCAGGCCCGGATCAGCGCTCCGCCAGGTCAGTACGGCGCCGCTGCGGGTGATGACGGTGGTGTGCGCCAGCCCCGCCGCCACCAGCCCCGCCTCGGGGCGCACCACCTCACCGTGGTTGCGGTGGAAGCGAACCTCGGTGGCGGAGGAGCAGGTGGAGGAGGAGGAGGCAGCAGCGGAGGCGGCGGCGCCTGACGGCGCCTCTCCTGCGACAGCGGCTGCCGCCGCCGGCTGCTGCTGCTGTTGCAGCGCCGCCAGCCGAGCGGTGTCGCGTGCGCCCGCCAGGGGCACCCTGCGCGGCGTGACGAGTCGGTGGCCCCAGGTGAATGCGTCGCCCTCCGCGGTGAGGACCACGGAGTGGCGCTTGGAGAGGGAGAGGGCAACCAGGGTGCGACCCTGGGAGGGGGGGGGCGGGAGAGGGGAGAGAGGGGGGTAGGGGAGCGAGGTGCTGAGAGGGGAGAGAGCGGCAGATACCCGTGTGGGGGCAGGTGGAGGTAGCGGAGGGGCAGCGGCCCCTATCCGCACCTCCTCCTTGTCCTGCCAACCATCCTCACCGCCCCCCCCCGCCCTCACCTTCATCGCCTCCACCAGGCGCGGTGTGGGGTTGTTGGCCGAGTTGCTGGTGCCGTACCCCAGCTGACTGCGGGTGGGGGTGGAGGGGGCCGGGGTGGGGTGGGGTGTTTGGGGGGGGTGGAGGTACGACAACAGCAGCCGCAGCCCTACATGGAGGCGCATGCCTCTCAGGAAGAGGAGGGGCAGCCACAGCGCAGGTGGTTGCTGGCTCCCTCGACTGCTACGAAAGCGCACACCGGTGCACTGCACCGTATTGGGTTTGCTCCGGCAACGGGCTCAGCCCCCCCCCCTCGCCAACGCCCCCGCCCCCCCCCCCTGCGTGTGTGTAGGGACCACTAACCCTCCCTCTGCCTTGTGAATGCCTGCTTTTTTTTTGGTTTTTCTTTGGTTTTCTTAATTGGTCCAAAAATTGACCCCCCTGCGTGTGTGTGTGTATCGCCTCTCACCCCTCGTTGTTGGCCCCCCAGGTCCACACCTCCCCCGCGCCGGTCAGGCAGGCGCTGTGGCGGTTGGAGGCGGCAACCGCCACCGCCCGACCGCGGAAGTCAACCCTGGAGGGGCGAGGACGAGGAGGGGAGGACAGGGAGTCAGTGGAGCAGGAGGCAAGGGGTCAGCCGACATGCACCCCCCCCCCGCACCCCCCCTGCCCACCTGCGCGGTGTTGGCTGCGTGTCCACCCCCGAGTAGCCCAACCTGCCATCCCGGTTGCCTCCCCAGCTCCACAGCTCGCCGCTGCTGCTGGCCGCCAGCATGTGGTGCTTCCCCGCCGCCACCGCCACCACCACCCGCCGCCCCAGCCCCGCCACCTGCCAGGGCCGGATGAGCGCCCCCTCGCCGCTGTGCACCGCCGCCTCCGGGTGCCCCAGCCGCCCGCCGCGCCCCCATCCCCACGTCATCAGCCGCCCGTCGGAGGTAAGCGCTGCGGAGTGGAACTTGGCGGCTGCTAGTGCCACCACCTGACCCTGGGTCTGACCCTGGAGCGCCTCCAGGCGCAGGGGGGCGGCGTGGAAGTCGGTGGAGCCTGGGAGAGGGATTGGGAGGGGGGGAGAGGGAAAAAAAGGAATTCCAATGTAAAGGGGGAGGGAGGGGGGGAAGGGTTAGATAGGTGGACTTGGACCAGTTTGGAGGGCTTGAGCGAGGGTAGAAGTGTGTAAGTAGGGCAGGGTGGTCGCGGCACACCGCCAACAGCAGCAGCAGCACCACAACCCCCCGCATGCCTCCTCCGTCTCCCCTCCCCTGCCCTCCCCCTCCTTACGCCCCCCCCACCTGTCCCCAGCTGGTAGTTGGCGCCGCTGCCCCAGCTGTACGTCACAGTGGCAGCGGGGGCGGGGGCGGGGGCGCGGGAGGCAGCGGCGGAGGAGGCAGCGGCGGTCAGGCGCCCGAGCTCGGCGGATAGCAGGTCCACCGGGGTGCGACCCTGGGGAGGGAGTGGGGGAGAGAGGGAGGAGAGTCGCTGACCCAACCCACCCTGCCGCATCCTTCACCCCGACCCATGCCCTCCCCTTCAATGCTCCAACTCCCTTCTCGCCCCCCCCCCGGCCTGCCCACCTGCGAGTCCAGCGCCTCCACGGAAGCCCCCGCCTGGGGGGTGGGGAGAGGGGCGGGAGGGGGGGCGCATGCGGGGTTTGGGACGCCGTACAGTGGCATGCACTGACGGCAGAGGGGTGTGTGTGGGTGTGCTGCGTGCCGCATGCGGCCCAGCCACCGCAGGCAGTACCAGCAGTGCAGGATGGGCCCTCCAGGCACTACAAGACCCCCGACCCAAGGGCGCCCTCCCTCCCTCTCCCCCCCTGGCCCCCACCTGCAGCAGAGCGGCCGCAGCGGCCAGGTGGCCCAAGTAGAGCGCGCGGTGCAGCGGGGTCCTGTTAGGGGGGCGGGGAGGGAGGGGGAGGGTTAGGACCTTAGGAGGGACGAGGGGGGCATGCAGGGGTGCAACACGCGCAGTCGCTCCACGCTGCCACCCATCCCGGCCCCAGGGTCATTTGAACCGTGCCCCGTTCGCCCCTCTCCCACGCCCCCCCACGCCTACCAGCCGCTCTCCCCATCCGCTGCCGCCGGTGACGCCCCCGCTGCCAGCAGGCGCTGTATGATGGGCAGGTGGTTGCGCCACACCGCCACATGCAGCGGATACACCTCGGAGCTGCTGGGCCTGGGTTGGGGGGGGAGTGGAGGAGAGGAGGGGGGAAGGGGAGGGAGGGATGTGTTTCGTGCGGGGGGTTGGCTTGCAGGCGGACTCCTCAGCTGCTGGAGCGCGCCGCCAACGAGTGACACGTGCGCTTGGAGGGGCCCGTGGGCCAGGGGCATTACGCGAAGTGGGTGGTGCGCCGCGGCTGGATGACGGGCTTACTTATTAATCTGAGCAGCGAGTTTTTGTACGGCAACATCCACGTGCAGGGTGCTGCCGTGCTTGACGACCTCCACCAGCGCATCCATTTTTAGGCAAGCCTTGCAGACGCCGGCAACCGCGTTTTCGCTTATAGTTTCAGCAAGTCCGTCAAACAAAGACCACGTAAGCAAGTTTGCATCCTAGGTAGCAGTAAATCTTTGCCCGTCGGCGATGGAGTTCGATTTACCCTAGAAACCCAATTTACATTACATGCATTCAACAAATAGGACTGTCTCTCCTGGTTAAAACTATGTCCTACTATGGCGTTTACCTTTAGTTGGCGATGGTTTGGTAGGCAACGGTGTCCGGTGAGGAACGCATAGTACACATGTAATACGAGCAATACTATTCGCCTAGCGCAACCGTTCCATAGTAAACTCATATGTTAGTGTGCCTTTCGATTACGAGACAACCTTTACGCATGCTGTGTTGACGTCCTAGGGTGCTGCACAGGGAAGAAGGGGCTTCCAGGGGCCCGGGTCATGTCGATCAGATTTTACCCTAAAAAGAATTGAATTATCGATTCAGGCGAGGTGTGTTGGAGATTGTTCTCCGCGACCTGTCTGCGATCGCATGGTGTTGCTCATTGCTGTCTTTATCAAGTCGATTGGGAGTCTGTTTGCCAACTTGTTTAGCAATTGCGCTTCCCTTTATTACTCATATACTCAGACTGGGGTTATGGTGTTTCGTCTCGTTTCCGCTTGGCCACGAATGGTTACCGAACGTCGCTGCCGTTGGATGGGTCATATGCAAAATCTTGCTCGACAGAAACTGGGCCCCAGGCAATCCATGTACGCCGTAAATGTGAAAGCCTCCATACGTGTCGCGGGGCTTCAATGGGCCCTTCATCGTGCTAACAGCACGCTGAAACCTCCTATCGAACGCACTAACAACGAGGGGCTAAAGGTGGTGCAAATGCGAAGACGTTAACGACCCTGTCATCAGGGATTCAAGGAGAAACCGGTTTGGTCGGGGGACTGCTGGCCTTGCAGTACAGAACACATCCTGCGCACTCCACTTCTCAGTCTAGTCCTTAAGCCCTACTTCCAGCTGATTTTATGGCTTGCCCCCAACCTAGCCGCCCAGTAACTTCCTTTTACAGCATTCAATGCAAACGGCAACGTACGGCAACACTGCTGTATCCGCCTCTCCGCCGCAGGAATGTGCGTGGGCGCTCTACCACTCCCTCCACAGTGACACCGAGGGAAGCCCACCACCATCCGCGGTGCAACGGCACTCCGGCCCCGGCATTTACCCGTCGGCACGGATTAAGCCGCCTGGTGTTTTGTCTTGTATTGTGTCCTCTAAGCCTACTACATATCATCGCCACAGTGCTCTCATCCACACGTTTGCCATCAGCGGGTGGGGAGCTGACTCCCAAGTTTCAGGGTGGAGGGGGCGACTCATCCCATACTTCGTGTTACAGGCGGAGCCTTGGTGCCTGGCTAGCGGGCTCCTATCTGTCCGTCGGCTTTTCTTGCTTGGGGTGTCAAGTCCTTCAAACCCTCATGCCGACACTTGCTGGTCTTCATTGTGCTTATCACACCTTGATCTTGCCCCCCCTCAGGGGCAGCCTGACTGAGTGTTGCACCGGTGCAGGAGAAGAGCATCCAGCAGTGACGTGTAGGGGCAGAACGCAGGTTTGGGGCTACGATTCAGGGTGCAAAAACGAATTTGTACGGGGGCTGGAAGCGCCTTTCTGAGTGATGGATTTGGGTCGGCAGGCCTATGCGTATTTTAAGGACTTCATTAGTTAAGAATAGGATTAGGAATATCAAATTACAATTAGTGTACGGTGCTAGGTGAGTGGGCCCGTTGCGGATCCGGCAGAGTCAAACCCGCCCGATGCTCTTGCCAGCCAGTGGGTGAGTGGAACCAACAGTGGGATCGGCAGTGAATGCGTGCGTTTGTCTTCCGTTTCCAACCATCATTTCGTCACACAAAAGAGCAAAATAGGGAGTGCAAACTTTGGGTGGTCGGAATTGCCCACTGGTCGGAATTTGGTTGTAGTGCTCCCCATTTCTCCCAGGACTGTGAACTGCGAACGAAGCTTGGAGACGCACTTCCCCACAACAACAGAGGGGCTGAAGCCATCCTGAGTAGGAAACTTTCCTCCTCGCCAGCCACTAATAGCGCAGATGTCAGCAACGGACCAATAAGCGACCAGCCCATGTCTGCCCACGATATGTCAGAGCAGCCGGTAGACTTACTCGGCCAGCTGGATGACATGGAGAGATGCGTAAGTTACATGCTAGCAGAGGAGGTCACCATGGTCGCTGCCGGGGTGCTTGAATTTGCGACTGGGAGCCAGCAACGGTGTGAAACGGGAAAGGCATCTACATTTAGCCGTTTGGCCGAGCAAGGCGACAATCGCCTGCAGCACCTCCTAGAAAGGGCTGGAATGCCGGGAAGAGAACAAGGTCAAGGCGTCCAGGTCAGCAGCAACAACGACACTTCCAGCGTGGGGTTGCTGGCTTCCACGCTGGACAAACTCGTGTATCGCAACCAGTCCTACTGCTACACGGACAGTGCTGCTCTGCACTGCGCGGTGCAGGAAATGCGAGAATCGTACCTTACACAGGATGTTAGGGCGATAAAGTCGGAGGAGTCGTGGGTGATTGACAACTATGAGACCATCAAGCAGATATTCGGATTTTAGAATAATGGTTGAGGGGGGGGGGCTGGGCTAGGCCACCCACGTGGTGTGGGCAGAGGGGTGTCGAGGGGGTCAGGGCCGCTCAGAGGGGACAGGGCGCTGCGGGCGGTCGTGTGTGTGGGGGGGGTGCATGGCTTGGGAGTTGTTGCTGCATGTAAGCGTTGGGATACCGCGATGTTGTAATTCAAGCGGCGGGCCTTGAGTGCTGCTCACATGCTGGTGAGGCTGGTGGGGCGGACAGGGAGGGGGCGGCAGCAGCTGGGGGCCGCTCTTGCCGCCGGGCAGCAGCTGGGGGCCGTGCAGGAGGTAGCTGCCACTGCTGCTGCTGCTGCTACGATATCCGTGCTGCTCAAACACGTGAAGTAAAGCCCATGTTTGCTCTCCACACCCCTGCACACATACTGACATACACAACATCTGGGCCGTGTCCTGCCTGTACCACACATCGCTGTAGCAGCCGTTATACCAGCAACCCTAGCCTTTGTACCGCAGCAACCCTACCGCACATGGGCCGCTGTGAGCCACTGTCTGCTGCAGCCCCCGCGCTACACCGTGCAGCCGGACAGCGACCCACACCAGGGGCGAACTGCACCCCCCCCACCCGCCCAGGGAATACTAACCAACCCTTTGTCTTGTGGCACCCTGCCAACTCCTACCCCCATTGCTTTGCCCTAACTTGTGGTCTCCTATGGTTTGGTATGGTCTTTGACCCCCCACCCGCCCCTCATCAGTAGGCCCCGTGTCATCAGTGAAGTGATGCGATCTGGTGCATGCGAGGGTGCGGACATTGCCGGTGATTGCTACTCTGGCTGTACAGCCTGCCGCCATCAGAAGCCTCTTAAACTACTGAACACGGAGGCACCTGCCACACCCCTCAAGGCCCTCCTCCCCTACAACATTGTCCTCCTAAGAGCGGAGGTACGTTGTACCTCTCCGCGAGCCCTGCACACGCCGCCCCCCCCCCCCGCTACCGCTGCCGGCCCCGCCGCTGTGGGGCCGCCTCTCCTGCCGCCCCGGAGGCCTCCTCCAAGTCCTCAGCCCGCAGGGGAAAGGAGGCGGGGGGGCCCGCAGGTGCCGCCGCCTGCTCCTCCTCTTGCTCCTGCTCCTCCTGCTCCTGCTCCCGCCCCCGGCTCCAAGCGGCCACTGCCGCCGCCTTGGCTCGCTGTGCCCTCTCATTGGTGAGCGGCACGTACCTTGGGGAGGAGGGCGGGGAGAAGGGGGGGATGAGGAGGCCGCGTGTGGGTTAGGAGCTGACGGGGCGGCTCCAGCGCCCTCCCAGCACCCCAACACACTGCCACAATCTTCCCACTACCCCTACACCGCCCACCTAGGTGGTGTACCCTACCCGTACGGCAAGAAAGGCGAAACACACCAACCCAAAAACACACAGCTCTTGTGTTCCTTCGCCCATCCTCCCACCTCCTCCCTCCTTCCGCTCCTCCCAGCCACATCCAGACCCGACCACCAGCCCCCCTCCCCCCGCCCTCCCTCCTCCCCGACCCACATGACACCCATGGCCGCCCAGCACCTCAGCTCCCCCTCCTCCTGCGCCCCCTGCTGCCCCTCCTCCCCGTGCCCCTCCTCCTGCGCCCCCTGCCGCCCCCGCTCCACCACCACCAGCTGCTGCGGCCCGCCCTCCGGCCCCACCGGCGCCACCAGCCGCCCCCCGCCCGCCAGCTGGGCCAGCAGGGCGGGCGGCAGGCGGGGCGCGGCGGCCCCCACATGGATGAGGTCGTAGGGCGCACACTCGGGGTAGCCCGCGTAGCCGTCACCCTGGGGGGGGGGCGGGGGGGAGGGTAGGTGAGGGAGGGGGGTAGGGAAGAGGGAGGGGGAGGAGGAGTGAGGGGGCGTGTGGGGGGTGGTAGCGCGGGTGGCCACCCCACCCGGCCTGCTGTCATCACATCGCGAGCAGCCTCCAGCCGCTGCGGGGGCTGCCGTCGTGGTGTCGGCTGCCTGCCTGCCTGCCTGCTACCGCTGCCCTCCCACCTGCACACGCCTCCCCTCACACCCTCCTCCCCCTCACACGCTCCTCCCCCCTAGCCCCCCACCTGCACCAGCCTCAGCTGCCCGCCCGCCATCATCTCCGCCGCCCAGCCCAGCCGCCTCACCGCCGCCCGGGAGCCCTCCACCAGCTCCGCTATGTGCTCCACACCCACCACCCTGCAGGGGGGCGGGAAGAGGGTGACGGGAGGGCAGGGTTAGGCACGTTACCCCTCCCCTCCCCTCCTCCTCCTCATCCGTTACTGCAACTTCGCGACCCGCCGTACGCAGCTTGTGTCCACCCCCCTCCCCCCCACCTGCCCCCCTCCCCCCTGCAGGCCAGGTGGGCCAGCACCGCAGTCAGGTAGCCGGAGCCGCTGCCTACATCCAACACCTGGGGGGGGGAGCAGGGGGGGGCAGGCGGAGAGGGGGGATGAGGTAGGCTCCCGGACCCACCGCATCATGAACAGCCCTGCCAGCAGCCCGGACTCCCTGTCAGCCCCACAAGCAAGGGGCCCCAGCTGCAGGCACCCCCGCCACCCTCCATGCGCCCCAGCCCCCCAGTGCCCACCCTGGCCCCCGGCCTCAGCCTGCCCCCCTCCGCCAGCAGCTCCAGGCAGGCCGCGTGCATGTGCGGGGCGCTGATGGTGGCGCCGGCGGACAGGGGCTGCGGGGCGTCGCGGTAGGGGGCGTGCGGGAGGGATGGATGGAGGGAGGGAGGGAGGGAGGTAAGGGAAGGGCATGCGGGCCGGCATGTGATCGGGTGCAAAAGGGTTGATGGCTACCACGAAACGTCTAGCAAGCGCTTGCCCGGGGCAAAGGACACGGCACGCGACTTGTGCGGCTATGTGTGTGTACGGCTGCTGCATGTGGGGGCTACCAGTAGTTGTGCGGGTGCGCGCTTATCTGCTGCGGCGGCACGAACAGCGCTCGGTCCACTGCCCGCATGGCGGCCTCCACCTCGGGGGAGCGAACCAGACCCGCACCTGGGGGGGGGGGGGTAAAGAGGAAACAGCTAGTTGACTGAGAAATAAGGCGAGAGATAAGGCGTCACCATTGTTGAGGGGCGCGGGCGGGGGTGGTGGGGAGGGAGGGCAGACCTATGGGTCAGGGGGCAGCAGCATCCCCCAGTCCGCCACGGCCGCCAGCCGCCCTGCTAGGCCTTCCTGCCCCCACCCCTACCCTCGGCCTGCTCCGTGCCACTACGACACCACCACGTACCGCCGCCCCACCCTCGCCCGCCCACCACCCACGTTTCAGTGCGTCGACCATCTCATCGTTCGTCTTGCCGTGACATGTCCAAGACATCCTGCCCGTGCCCCGGCCCCGGCCTCGGCCTCGGCCTCTGCCCCGGCCGCCGCCTCTGCCAGCACCGTAGCAGCTTTTCGGTGCACCGCCGCTGCTGCTGTTCCGCCTGTTCGCCTCGCTGCTGTTGTTGCTTCCGCTGTTTCCTTCCTTCTGCTGGCGAACCCCACGTCGGTTGCTCTTGGTCCTGGTCTTTCCGCTGGTGATGCCGCCTCCCTCAGGACCACTGGTGTCGGCCGTGTCGCTGCTGCTACCGCCGCCGCAGCTACTGCTGCCGCCGCCTGCGGGGGTCTTTGCCGTGGCTACGTTAGCGGCGGGTGCGTTGCTGCTGTTGACAGCAGGGTTGGCGCTGCTGCTGCTGTTGCTGGTGGTACCGGTATGGCTGCTGTCACTGGTGCAGCTGCTGTCGCCGTGTGAGCACGGTGGCGAGTGCGGTGGAGGGCGCGGTGGCGAGTGCGGTGGCGAGTGCGGTGGTGTTGCTGGGGGGACTGCTCCAGGGGCGGAGGGGGGCGGAGGCTGCGGCTCTGGGTTGTCGCCGCAGCTGGTGCCCCGACTAGCGGGGCTGCCGTCAACTCCACCCGCTTTGTCACCTGGAGCGCCGCTGCGGTTACGGTTGCCTTTCGCTGCTTGGAGGACTAGGTGTGCTGCTCGGTGGCTCGATGGGATGCGGCAACAAGCACGCAAGCTGGGAGCGGGATGTACTGGGCGGATGTTGCTGATGCCGACCGGGCGGAGTTGAACAGCCAGCTGGCTAGCAGGGTTACAGACTTTTAAGGTTTGTTTTGTGGGTGCCTTCCGGCTGGGTTGCGGTATGGCTCTAAACGTTGGAAGATGACGAGGTTGCAACACTCCCGAGGAACGCAAAGTGCAAGACAATACGCCGCAGTGTCACCACGACGCAGAGACGTATAACGATGTCTAGTTCAGCGATGTTCGCTTGCCGCTGCAACCGAACGGTCTCGGCAGTGATACAAAGATAAGAGGCGCACTCAGCTTAAGCCCATTCAAGCCAGAAAGTCAAAGTGAAGCAATTCACGGCCTCTGAAAGGTTGCCTTCGCGAAAGGAAAGGCAACAAGGTGATGGCGTAACGGTTGAGAGTACTGCAACTAATCCACATCTGCATCCCTCCGAGCGTCGCCGCGACAGCCAGCAACACGCGTACGTGACCTCCTACGTCCTAGCGCACTTGAAGCCGGATGGCGACAGAGCACAACCCTATCGCAGCAGTGGGTCAGCTGTTCCAAGGTGCATTACGCGCCGCGCAGCAGCATCCATTTGCCCAGAATGCTTCAAAGGCTTTGAAGAGCTTCCAAGAAAAGCAAGCGGAGCGTAGAAGGTGTGCAGATCGCGTGACTGGGCGCATAATTGTCGCGCGTATCCATGTGGCTATGCCGAACTTTTGACAACACCCCGACGCACCGAGCACACTTCTTACATACGCCAACAACCCCAGTAGTACTACATTCCTCACGTTTTCCGGCCTCATTTTGTCCAATCGGTCCGAATGGCCTCATTCGGCATCCCCGCGCAGCGATGCCCGGCTGCCCCCTCGCATCGTGGTGCTCCCACGCCACGCGCCGGTGGCCGCCATCATCCCCGGCGACTCCACTGCTGAGCTGGTGCTCACCAACGGCCTCAACAACTTCCTGTGAGTCACGTTGCATGCAGCTCATGGTTCCCGGGCACCAGGGAGGGCGTCTCCACAGGCTGGCTCGTACCCGCACAAAGAAGCACCTCTAGCTGTAAGCGGGAAGCAACCCTTGCTGGTAGAAGCGACCACCCATTTTTCCTTTTCCAATAGCATCCGCCTGTCCTGCATCCGGACCCCCACCCTGCCCGCTATGTGCCCTCTCGTCATTGCCCCCCCAATGCATTTCTCTATATCCCCCCCCAATGCATGAGTCGGGATTCGGGATTGGGACTCCGTTGATGCACTTATCCACATCCCCCCCCCTTCCCACCTCCCCAGCAACCTGTACAACACGGCCCTCATCATCCGGCTGGTGCTCACCTGGTTCCCCAACCCACCGGCAGCCATCGTGAACCCCCTCGCGTGAGCGACATGGGCGGGGTCGGAGGCGGGGGAGGGAAGCGGAAGAGAGGGGAGGGGTGTGGGCCAGGGACTGCTGTGCCGCAGCTGTCGGGTTCGGACCTGCTTTGTGGGGGCAGCAAATGCACATGTTGCTAATGGGGTGGCATGTGGCAGTGGCTTGATGGTCGCCCTAACCTCGGTGGACCCGCCCTCCCTGCCCCTGCCCCTGCCTCCCCTTGCAGTACCGTGTGCGACCCCTACCTCAACCTCTTCCGCGGCCTCATCCCGCCGCTGGGAGGCACGCTGGACTTCAGCCCCATCCTGGCGTTCGTGGTGCTCAACGTGAGGGGGGCGGGCGGGAGGGGCCGGACTGATGACAGGGAGGGAGGGGGGAAGAGTGGAAGAGGGGCGGGCCTCCAGGGCTGCATGGGCGAAGGGGGAGAGGGTTGGAGGCTCCAGGCCGCCCTGCAGCCCCCACCGCTGTCCCCCTCTTAACCTCCCGTTCTTCCCGGCCACCCTGGGGCCCCCCCCGTGGTTTCCTACGGTTTGGTATGGTCCTTGACCTCCCCCCGACCCGACCCTCCGCAGCTCTTCACCAACACGGCGGCCGCGCTGCCATGCGAGATCCGCGGCAGGACCCACCCCGCCTCCGCCGCTGCCCCGCTGGCGCCCTCCCCCCTGGAGCGGGAGGTGGCCCGCTGGTGGCCGCTGAGCCGGGGGGAGGCGCTGTTCCGCAGGCGGGTGGCGGCGCAGCGGGCGGCGCGGGAGGCGGGCAGCAGGAGGCAGGAGTGAGGGGGGAGGGGTGCGGGAGAGCAGTGAGGTAGCGGTCAGGCAGCGGTGTGGCTAAGAGGGGTCGGCAGCGGAGCCACCTAGGTGGCAGTGCGCGCGCAGCGTCAGGTGGTTTCAGCAAGATGAGCAGCTGGGAGTGCGGTGGTGGGATTGGAGGGGTCTGTCCTGTGGGGCAGTGCACTGCAGCATGGCGGCTGCGGCTGCTAGCAGATGCGGCGTTGCATTTCATGGCGTGCTGGGGATTGGGGTGTGCGTCGTAGCCGTGCCGGTTTTGCATGGGCTGGTTGCGACATGCCATTTTTGACGAAGTTCCTTCGTTTCGTTTGCATATCGCTTCGTGCGCAGTTGACGATAAGCGCGCTTGGACCCATGGTCCTGGTGGGTGGGGAGCCGCCCTGGGAAGTGAAGGAACAGCTGCCGTGTGACGACATATGCCTCCTTCCCGAGACCTCGCCGCGTCGGCGCTTACGGCTGGTGTAGATGACAATCCATGACATGCTGCAACGGATTTGCAGACCCTGGACTGCAATATACATATTTCATAATATACAGGAAGCGTAGGGCCTTATCCTTTAGGCCTGCTACGGTATCTCCAGTATTACCCTAGGAATACAGGCGAGCAGCACAACTCACGAATGACACGCCTTCGGGCCGCCTCAACACCGACGGCATCATCGCCACCACGCAACGGCTCAACTCGCGATCAGCCATCCTGCGCTCACGGCCCTCCGCGCCTAGCAATGGCCTTCGCGGCTGTCGGAGACACACGTCGAGAGACACGCGACCCAACTGACACTGTTGGTGCAGACAGGGAAACAGGAGCAAGTACATATACCCCACGGCAGCTATGACGGTACAAAAAGCGCACAGCACTTGATACAACCACTGACGGATACCCCGCACCATGACAACGTGCGGTCATGTGATTGCGAGCAAACTACGGAGTCCTCCTGTCCATCTGCATGTACAACCCTTCATAACCTCCGTACCCATACCCAACTTGAAACTCTTCATACAGCCAATCAAGGGAACAAGCCCCATACAACCAGCCGCAGCTCTCCGCCTAGGCCACCACGCGCACCTCCTCCTCCTCCCCACCCAGCCTCTGCTCCTCCCGCCCCTCCAGGCCCAGCAGGCGACCCAGCCAGCTGTCCGCCAGCCACCCCATCGGGCCCTCGTGAGGTGGGTGGATGCTGCTGGCGCGGGTCAGCCGGGTGAAGGCAGCCGCCTGCTGCTGCTGCTCGGCCTCCTGCTCCCCAGCGGCGGCGGGAGGCGGCGGGCACATGCCGGTCTGCGCGCACACCGCGTCCGGCACCAGGTACTGCTCCAGCAGCTGGAAGACCAGCGGGGCGTACATGGTGACGTACAGCTTGCAGGGCTCGGCGAAGGAGGGGAACTGGCCGCACACCGCCAGCGTGTAGTTGAGCATCTCCGCCTGCACCGCGGGGTTGCTCACCAGCGAGTGCGCCTCGATGACGGCCATCTGCGGAATGGGAGTAAGGGGGGGAGGGAGGGAGGGGAGGAGGAGAGGATGAAGTTGGAAGGGGACACCGGGGAGGAGGGAACGAAGGGAGGTGCAGACAATGGGTGTCTCGCGTTGCTGCGACATGACCGGGACAACAACAGCGTTCAACACGTGCAGGGCCTTTCGCGCCATGCCGAATGCAGGGATCCCCACACCAGGTCAAGTTAGTGTCACTATGCCGGGCGACTGGCTCAGCGTCCCACCTTGCAGTAGTCGCATGCGTCGTTCGCCGCGCCCCCGCCCATCATGGGGCCTGCACCGCCAAACATCATGGGACCGCCCTGCTGCAGCACGCGCCCTCCCATCATGCCGCCGGAGCGGTGCTCGCCCTCCTCCTCGCGCTCCTCATCGTCGTCATCGTGGTGGAGGTGCGGCATCCAGCCCTTGTCGCCGCCGTGCATGGGGCCGCCGTGCCGCTCCTCCTCATCATCATCATCATCCTCGTCACGTGGCCCATCCCGCTGCTTCTGGAGGGCCTGCACCGCCTGCTGCTGCATGAGGCCAGGCATGTCCTCGGGGTCCAGACCGTCCCGTGGGTCGCGGCCCATGTCGGGCCCGCCCCTGCCGAAGCCCAGGCGGTGCATGAGGCCGTGCATGAGGCCGCCCAGCAGGCCGCCGGGGCGGGGCAGCTGGGCCATGGTCAGCGGGGGCAGCAGCATCGCCATGTGGACTGGGGGCGGGCGGCAGAGGGCCTGTGCGGGGGAAGAGGGGGAGGGAGCACATGCCGCGAGGGGCAGTCAGGCAAGGCCAACGGGCAGGGAAGTGAGTCCTTCCTTGCGTACGTATGCTTGCTTGTGCGGATCTGGATGGTGCGATCATCCTCGCTCCCTACCTTGGTTCCCGCCAGCTCCCGCACGAGGGCAGCCGGCAGCGGCGGGGGCGGCACCGCAGCCCATTCCTCCACGCACACCCCCAGCAGGCCGCACACCGTCTCCGGGTCCATGTCCTCAATCAGCTCGGCCATCAGGGGCTCTGGGGCGGGGTAGACAGGAGGGGGCCGGATGGGGGGCGAAGGTAGCATCAAGTGATGGTTTTGCAGCTGACGGGTGCAATGACGTGCCAACCCACACCAGCATAACCCACACCACAATGCAGCCTTTCCCTCCCCTCCCGTCCACCTCCTCTCTCACCGTACATCTCCACAAACTGCGTGCAGCTGTCCGCCAGCTGCTGCGGCAGTCCGGCGCACGCCTGCAGCGCCACCTGCTTGAGCCGCTCCAGCGCCTGGCTGCTGTTGAGCGCCACCTTGGCCTGACCCACCACGAACTCGCACATGGCGCACTCGGCGGTGTCGCGCACGCGCAGGGAGGGCTGCGGGGGGGTGGGGGGGCCACGTGGGGTGAGAAGGTAGGGGTAGGAACGTGGTGAGGAACGGGGTTGGTGGGGATGTGTGAGGGCAGAACGGTTCACGCTGGCATGAGGGAGGGGCCATGTGAGAGAGCGGGTGCTCTCATTATGAATAAAAGTAATAGACACGGTAAATCAGGCCAAAAGCACAAGACAACATCAATCTTTATACTAACAAATACCATCCGTGTGTGCATATAACCAAGGTAGTGCTTTCTGTTACGTGAGTTGGCCTCCTCCTCCCCTGCCGTGCTCCACCTACCCTGTTGAGCTCGGGGATGTTGCTGAGTGCGACCACTCCGCCGCACACACCCGCGGAGGAGCAGAGGGAGGCGGGGGTGGCGGAGGCGCGGAACCACTGGATGAGAGTGGGCAGCAGCCCCTCAGCCAGGTTGTGGCACTGCGGGGACGGGACACGGTTGGGTGCGGCGTTGGTAGGTAAACGCTGGGCGAAGATGTAATCAGTGAGGGGTGGTACCAGCAGCTGCTGCAAATGCTGCCTCTACGTGGAGGCTAAGGATTGATGTTGTCAGTTGACGCCTTGGATAGACAGCAGCATGGGCGAGAGTTCTGTGTACCTGTTGAGTGTCGCCCATGGACGGACAGATTTGCTTCTCCACAAAGTCAACCTGCGACACGTTGTGCAAAAGGCAAACGTGTTGGCACCGTAAAGCGTTTGCAAGCCATGCCCAAACCTCATGCGCTTACGAGGAAGTCTGTAGCCGCGGGGTCGCACAGGAAGTCCTCCAAGATTCTGACCGAGACCAGGCAAGTTTGGCATACATCTGCTGGCCCATCAACGGGGCCTTGAGGAGGAACTGCATAAGGCAAGGGTTTAGGTTGAAGTTCAGTGTTCCAGCGCTCCTCACAACAGCTAAGCAAGTAAAATGCTTACTCCTCGCGGCAGCGAAGCCAAGCAGGGCCATGGCCAGTATGGCCACGACGCCTAGTCGTGGCCTCATGCTTGCTAACATGAAGAGTCTCCTTATGAGTTCTGTTTCTTGATTTCTTCCTAGCAAAGTTCAAACAAGAAGCAAAGGTGTTCAGCGTATTGAGCAAAAGTTGGGGATAGCGCCAGTATACTATGCGATTTGCCACAAGTGTGCCGGACGCCCGTATACGAAGCCAACGGAACCCCCAGCAGGTATACGGCTTTTACTACTTCTTGACGGCTTACGATACTTAAAGTCTCTCGTTTCACGCATGCAAAGTTTGTTGGCTTACTATGCTTGGCTGACGTTGGAACTCATCCCGTTGCTCCGTGCCAGCGTGGCCAATGACACCACCGGTGTTGTCACTCCATGTCAAGCACAACTGCCCACACAGCATTCCATAATTTCCCTCAGGGTTTCCCCCTTCGCTCTGCTGTTTTACAGCCTTTCAAGTATTGCAACCCCCACCAACCCTCCGTTGTATTTGGCGCGAGCCAAATACAACGGCTTTGACCGTGCGCCGCGCATGCAGGCACCGGATGCCATGTGTGCTTCCCGTGTTGGATGCGCTTTCGCGTCGTTTCGGGCCCACACTCTTCCCCACTTAATTTCCCCTGGACCTCCACCTTGGGCATGTCCCACAGGAGGTCTTCACGACGTGCACGCAACCCAGATTTGGCATATCCTTATCACCAGGGGCCTGGCAGCAGCCGGTTGACGGTATTGTTGTAGGCTGCAGGTGCATGGTCATGCTACCGTCAGAGATGCAACACCTGGTTTGGGTCAGCAACAACATGTACGAAACATAGGGCTACTATAAGTAATGCAAAACGGCAGGAAACGGCCAGTGGGACAGCTCACTTGAGTGGCAGGTTGGCGGCGTTGGGACGGGCGGCCATTGGGTGTTGTGTATTTGCAGGGTACGGACGTCACATGGACATCACAAATCCCAACAAAGGCAACATCGCTGTGGCGGAATTAATAAGCGAGGTATACAACATAACTGCTTCCTTCCGCTCACTTGACTGAACGAACCTAGGTTGGCCCTACTTCCTAAACTGCCATCGCGACTGCCTTGCGCAACCAAAATGCTACCTCAGATACGAAGACGCTGTTACTCATTTCGCTGACATGCTACCAGACCTTTACTAGCTCGCGATGACAGAGCAGGAGAAGGGTACGCTCCACGCTAACCAACGGCAACAAGCATCGCCTGCTTCCAACTGCCGTCTTGTGCATGCCCGCAGTTGTTGTTATATTCCGTGCAACAGGAGGCGCGCCTATCCTGCAGCAAAGCAAAGTCAAGGTACTCTTCAGCGGTTTGCAATTGCTGCATCGCCGTGTCCTAACCCAGACCTATGCTTGGTTTACAGGTCTCTCTGGATTCCAAATTTTCAAAGCTAGTCATCTTCTTAAGGAAACAACTCAAAAAAGATACAGTGGTATGTGCTGGGAGGGTTGCAGTCGGGGCTAGACGTTGGATCTCTAGTATGCTGCCCTCAGAGGCCCCACCACCGGGATGACACCCAGGTATCATGCCGTGTTACAGCGCCCCCGCCCCCTCTCTCGCCCCAGTTCGTGTACCTGCGCGAGGCCTTCATCCCCTGCCTGGATGACGAGGTGGCGGTGCTGGCACAGGTGGGGGCAGGGGGGCGTAGGGGGAGAGGGAGAGGAGCGACTGGGGAAGCGCCGATGCCAGACAGCCAACGAATGGCAGGGAGACGGGGTAAAGCCACACCTACCCGCACTGCTCGAAGTCCGCTGGGCCCCCACCCCCTCCCCCCTCCCTCCACCCCGCCAGGCGTACGGCATCGACGGCAAGCTGCATGTGAGCTACGCGCTTACCCCCGCCTGGGGCTGACACCGGCTGCATGGAGGGGGGGAGGGGAGAAAACTATAGATGAGTGCAACAACACAGGGGGAGGGCAGGATGTAGCGGCTGGAGGGCCGCTAGGCGGGTGGTCCTAGCAGCCCCGCGGCCACCTGGCTGGAAGTCCCCACACCCCTGCCACCTGCTTCCTGAGCCGGCTGGGCTGCCCCCTGGCGCCCCCTGGTGGGAGGTGAGGTGCGGTTGTGGGAGCCCCACCGCGTATGAGATGACCTTGCGTATTACCGGTAGACGGACTGGGGGTTGCAGCACGTCGGGGTAGGGGGCTGGGGCGGAGGAGTTGCGAAGGGGGCTGAAGGCTGTGCCCCATGCGTTGAGCCCGGGGAAGGCGGAAAGAGGTGGAGGTAAAAGGCACGCAGCTGCACCGCTGCTGACGTTGATGCTTGCTTGAGGGGGGCTGCGCAAGGGTGGTGAGGCCATGTAAGGCCATGTGAGGAGTAAGGGCGTAGAGGGTATCATGTTCTTCATCATACCATCATGAGTCGGCTTCACCGTGTGTTGCAGGGTTGGGGCAGGTGAGGTGCGCATGCAAGCCCCTTGGGGGCCTGCATGGCCGGGGTCTCACTGCCGGGGCTCTCAGGAGCAGTGCTCCAGTGTCGTACACTGTACGGAGGTGGCATCGGGTGCCGTAGCGCATCAGCAATGGGGGAGGAGAACGGTGTGGGGGTGTGTGATGGGCGTTGGGGCAGCGTGCCTGACCTCAGTAGCAGAGCTAGTTAGGGAGCAGACACAGTACTCGCCACCACACCGGGTAACACTACGGTAGCTGGCACACAGCTGCCGCGTACGACAGCTTTCCGCAGCCGCTGTACTGCATGGTGTTCTGCATACGTGGAGAGGCGCCCAGCTACACGGCAGCTGGCGGTAGTGTGGTGCTCACAAGGACGGCACATGTCGCTGGTTTTAACATCTGGGCTGAACGACTCAGCAGGGTGCCCGTCAGGGCCACCCAGCATGTCGCCCCCACTGCCTTCGTGAGGCCTTCAGGGCGCCGGGCAGCCGTAACGGTTGTTGGGAAACCTGCAATCCATTGCCGTTCTTTGACATGTGTAAGTGCGTTCCTCGGCTCTTCCGCCTACACGCACTGCAGCACATTGCACGCGTCGTCCACTAACCAACACGGCCCCCGGGTACAGTGACCTCCTCGGCCGCAGCAAGATCGTCCCGTCACCCGTCTGCAGCTCTGCACGCGACGGGCGCTGGGCCCCCTGCACACCACATGCGCACCCACGCACACCCGCATGCTACTGTCCTAGGCTATGCTGGCCTACAGAGTGGGGATCGCAGCAGCACAGCACTAACTAGCCTGCCCAACTAACTGCCTACTAGGCGTGCAGAGCTGCAAGGTTCACAGCCGGGGTGGAGCTCACATCTCCGGTTCACTGCTGCGACACCGGGTCAGCTGAACCGTCTCGTCCACCAGCAACGCATACACACTGGCCAGTTTCCTCGCGGACAGTCTTCTTAATACACTCGCTAGCCATCACCACCGGCCATCAGGTAAGTCGGTACCATTCCCCCACAGCACCATTCCCCCCCAGTTGGCATCCCTCCTCCCCCGCCCCCCCCCAGCCCGTGTCTTCATGCGCTCCCTCAGGCCCCAGCCATAGGTCAGAGCACCGCCTCCCCAGCAGCAACACCCATGAAGACCAGCCACACCGCCGCGGCCTCCACCGCTGCAGCAGTGTAGGACCGCCAGCCGCATGCAACGCAACCGGCACCGCAAACCCTAACCCAGCATTCCTCGAACGTTCATTCCACCTTGCCAACCTTCAGCAGCACAACGCATCGCACGCACTCCCGCTACAAAGCATGCGGCCTTCTCAGCCCCGCATGCTCGCCCCACCCTCCTCCCTCCACCCCCCAGTACCCTGCCACCTGCCTTGTGACGGTCCGCTTCTCCCAGTCCCACCGCCACCGCCCAACATGACCACACGCCCTGACTGGGACTTCTCATCGTATCCCCCCGCGGCTCAGCATATCTAATCCCCCCTCGCTTTAGCGCGCGTACTGCCCGCCCCCCCTCTCCCCTCACTTGAGCGCGGGGCACTCGTTGCGGAAGGTGCGGTAGCGGCCCAGCAGCTCCGGCTCGCCCAGCTTGTCCAGCTGCGTGAGGAAGGTGCGCTGCGCCAGGTAGAGCACCGGCTGGGCCGCCAGGGGGCCGGAGCGCAGCGCGGAGGCCACGGAGGCGGCCTTCAGGTAGGCGATACCCTGGGTGGGGGGGGGTGGGGGATAGCAGGGAGGCGAGGAGGTTTCAGGAGAGGGTTCAGACGCAACGCAGACGACAAGCAAGCGGAAAGACCAGCCCTCGCCCTCTAGACGAGAGCGAAAAATCCCACTGCTCCCACGTCCCTTTCCTGGAATCCCATCCCTCACCCCCCTCTCCGCCCCCCTCCCCCCCGCTCACCGGTGTCCTGGGCGGCTCGTCAAACATGACGGGCCGGTCCTCGCTGTCGTCCTCGTAGTCGTCATTGGTGGCCAGGTGCACGGTGTTGTGCGGCCCCGGGGCGCCCTCAGCCGCCGGCAGCAGCTGCAGCAGCCGCACGAACTCCCCGGGCAGCAGCCCGCGAGGCCCCTCCACACGCACGGTGTAGTCGGGACCCCCGCCGCCCTCCTCAACCTCCGTGTTGTTGCTGGCAGCAGCCGCCCCGCCACCGCCTCCTCCACCCGCCCCCTCGCCTCCCCCCTCGTTCCGCACCACCACGTGGCGCTCGTACAAGCACTTTTGGTGGAACACCACCGCCGGCGTGCACATGAGCCCCTCGCTGAACGACCCATGGGCCAGGAACTTCAGGTTCACGTTCAGCGGCAGCCCCCGCCGCGAGCCGGGGTTGGGCAGCGCCCAGGGGCTGCTGCAGGGCACGGAGGGCCACACCACCCGCCTGCCCGTCAGCAGCGCCACCTGCACCAGCCCCCGCACCGTGTTGCTCCAATGCGCCAGCCCCTGCACCGAGGTGTCAACCTGCGGCAGCAGCGCCAGCACACGCGGCGGCTCGGAGGCGTTGGGCGAGCCCAGGAAGGCGTAGGGCCCACCGGCGGACAGCGCCGCCAGGTCCCAGTCGTACTCGCCGTACTGCATGCGCACGGCGTCCTTGCCCACAGTGGTGGGGCCGGGGGCTCGGACCAGGTGGCCAAACACCTGCAGGAGGGGGTGGGGGGTAGGAGGCGGAGGGGAGTCAGGGGCGCGAGGAACACTGCATGCGGCTCCCGCAGGGCTCTAGGCACGAGGGATGCCGCCGCCATCGCATGCGACCGCCATGTCGTCAAGCGCCCCAACAATAAGGGGAGGAAGCCAGCTGGCTGCGGCTGCCCCCCGCCGCACCGCCGGATGCGCACCACAGCCCAGAAAGCGAGCTGCTCGCGCCCCCCCCACCCTCACACGTCCCCCCCTCACACGTCCCCCAACCCCCTCTCCCCCGCACCTGCTTGGCCCTGCCGTTGGTGAGCTCCGGGTCCCAGTACCCCAGCGCGCCCCGCTGCGGCCACCCGCCCACCAGCCAGTCGGCAGCGTAGGCCAGCCGCTCAACACCGCCACCCTCGCCACTGCTGCTGCTGCTCCCACTGGTGCCCCCACCGCTGATGCCTGTGCCGCTGGTGCTGCGCAGCCGCCTCCCCCTGCTGCTGCTGCTCCCAGCCCCTCCCGCCCCCCCGTCCTTCCCCTCCCCCGGGTACTCCGCCTCCGCCGCCAGCTGCGCCCGGAAGGCCTCCGCCAGCCCCCCCGGCCGGCGGGGCGGCAGGCGGTACCCCGGCTCCTCCGGCAGCAGCGGGGGCGGGTCGCCGCCCCCTGCTGCCGCTGCCCGCTGCTGCTGCCCGGCTGCTGTGGAAGAGGTTGTTGTGAGGTTGGCCCAGTGCGTCATGAAGGCCTTGGCGGCCACCAGGGAGGCCAGGGAGGGCTGGTCGGACACGGGGGTCACCTCGTGCTGGAAGGGGGAAGGGGAGGCGGAACAGGAGGGGAGGGGGGAGGTAGCGGAGTGAGGCATGGCTTGAGGAGAAGGTGAGAGTCGGTAGGGCAGGAGGAAGGGAGGTCATGCCTTCATTCCTAGCTGTCCAGTGCAACAAACCCTTAATCCATCCCTTCCCCGTCAAACGCCCTGTGCCCCCTCCCTACCACCCCCCCGCCCTCCCTCTGCCCCACCCCCTCACGTTCAGCAGCTCCATGGGACCCCGCCCCAGCGCCGCGCGGTGCACCGCACCCCACCGCCCCTCCTCCTCGCGCTCCCGCTCCCGCCGGCTGGCTCCGGCACGCAACATGCGCACCCCCGCCGCACCCCCTGCTGTCCCCCCTGCTGTCGCATTGGTTGCGGGCGGCTTCACGCAGTACCAAAGCACCAGGCGGCCCGTGAGGCTGCTCAGCAGCACGTCAGCCAACAGGAACTGGTCCCAGCAGCCCCGCGTGTCCGCCTGGTGCGGCGCCAGGTAGGGCGCTGCCCCTCCTGCTCCTGCCGCCCCTGCTGCACTGCTACTGCTACTGCTACTGCTGCTGTTGTTGTGCTCCAGCCAGCGGAGGTTGCGGTCCACCACCTCCCCCAGCAGCCAGGCCACCGGCCCCTCCCGCGCCGCCCCCTGCAGGTACATCACCCCCGTGTTCACCACGCCGCCGCCGCGCACGCTGCGACCCACAATCAGCTGCATCTTGCCGTACGGGGGCGCCTTGAGGTAGGGGTAGGGGTCGCGGAACACGATGACGTCGGTGTCCAGGGTGAGCACGTTGTAGCGCAGCCGGGCGGCGCGGGCGAGCAGCATGAGCCGCTTCGTCATCAGCTGCCGGTGGCCGGTGAAGCCGGGGGGGAAGGGCTGGCTGTACCAGGCGCAACCCATGGCGTCGTTAGGGCCCAGCTTCGCCGCCGTGCCGCGACCGGTGGTTCTGCTATTACTGGACTGCTGCTGCTGCTGGCGGGAGCTCTGGAGTTCGGCTCGGGCGGCCGCTAGCTGCTCCAACGCGGCGCAGGAGGCCTGCGATGACGTCAGCCACAGCACATGCACCAGGCCCAGCTGGGCTAGGTTGTCGTACAGTTGCAGCGCTGCACGGGGCCGCGTGTCGGTCACTAGGATGACCTCCCGCTTGTAGGCGCGGGCAGCCAGGGCCTGCGCTAGGGAGGAGGTGGGGTAGACGTCGCCCGTGAAGGGGCGCACCTTGCCGATGCTAACGTAAGCGGCGCCGGGCGTGGGCTGCCGCTTGAAGCTGGTGCGCTTGCGCGGCGGGGTAGCAGCAGCAGCAGCAGCCAGCAGGTGCCGGCGGGGCTGCGCATGTGGGTGATGAAGTGCGGTGCTGTTCCCATCGTCGGATGCCACCTCGTCGCTTCGGAAACTTTCCGAGTCCCGCAACCGCTGCGTCCCGCCAAAAGGAAGTAAGCTAGGAATTGCAGCTAGAGCGTGTCCAGCTACCACTCTATCGAAGTGAAGGAGTTGTAGAAGCGAGGTAAATAAGAGGAGTGCTAATAGGCGACTAGGGGCCGCACGCGATGGCGCGTGGCTTGCACGTCGCGCAGTAACCGGTCGCTCGCCAACGCCTTTCGATGACCATTTATGAAAGCAATGATTGTGATGATAACAAGACTTATTCGCTGTCATCGTTCTAAGCCGAGGACGTAGTCGCACTAGTCAGGCTTCAAGCCGGCTGTTACGTGGTCGAGTACGCCCACCAGCTGAGCTCCTCATTACCTAAACGAATTATACCTTTATTCATACTTCGTTGTGTAAAGGCCCCCCGGTTGCAGTCGCGCCTGGAGTTACACTCATCGAAATAAGCGAACGCCTAAAAATTAGTATAAGTGGCAATGAACACCGCAATTGACTTTCATTGTTCAAATAAAAAAAAGACTGGATGTGAAGATAAAACAAAAGCACGAGCGTTTAGTACACAGGCTTCAGTTAGGGTCGCGACCGCGTGAATGCGAATTCCTCTCCTTAAAACACCTTTGAAGCAAGTGGCCTCCTCCTTATTTTTCCTTAATTTTGATTCATTGCTCCACTTGCGCCGAGCTGCAGTCAGACTGGGCTTCGGCGCCACGATGTCCGATCTCCGATGCGCGTAGACATGCAGCAATTGTTAGCCAAAATATATTTATGAGTGCAGCATAGCGATGGGGCATGTTTTTCGTCAAAGCGAGGTAGATGCATCTGCGTCAGAGCAACAGCCTCTACCCCCAGTGTTGTACTCGTGTTCGGTCATGCGTTTGTGCTATGACATGCCGAGCATTAGCATTTACCAAGGGGGTTTCTTCGATCCCGCAGCCATGCAGCGGCGCCGACGGCAGGACTACAGAAAAAGGTTTCGACGCAAGGGCCTTCAGGGCCGCAAGAGGACTACGGGAGTGGCTTACATACAGTGTTGTCTCAAAGAATACATGAGGCGCAGGTGGCCATATCATATAACAACACTAACGGTAGCGCAGAGCGCCCGAGCTCAGCGCGATTGCAGGCCACCTTGCCTCAGGAACTAAATATGTCCAGCAAACAAGGCATAACACAGTACGAAGGACAGCTACCGTGCAACCTCCTACCGAAGCCGTCCTCAAACCATAGGCGCCGCGCTTGCACAGGCGTGCAATCGCCGCGCACAAACAATAAACATGTTCACATCCCTGCAACAGCCACTAAGCAAGTTAGTACCGGACAGCAATTGCTGCCCCACCTCACTCACACCACACCAAGGGAAATACACCTGCCACCCCTCAATCCCTCCGCGCAACGCCTGCCTACACGTCTCCCTCCGAAAGCCCAACACAGCTTCCACCATTCCTCCACCCGCCACCGGTTTCCGCCCCGCAGGACTGAATCACAGATTACACAAGGACATACACATCCAACCCTACCGGGCTGGCCTAGGCTGGCCGCCCCGCCACTAAAGCCGCCCCCAGCCACCGCTCCTCCTTAAAAGCCCCAGCCCTTCTTCTGCGGCGCAGGCGCGGGCGGCGGCGGCACGACCACCGGCGCCGGCGCGGGCCTGGGCGCCTCCTCCACCACTGCGGGTGCGGGTGCCGGGCGGCGGCCGCCCCGCAGGCGCTTTACCCGGTCCACGTTGGCGGAAAGGAAGCGGCGCACGTCCTCCACCCGCACACCCGCGCGACCCACCTGGGGGGGGGGAGAGGGCGGGGAGGGACCGTTCAGCTTCGTATGACAGGCATGTGGGGAGCCGCGGTGTTGATATGGGAATGCCGACCCGGTGCGTGTCTGGTGGCATGCACGTGCTTTCTCGCATGGCAGGTTCCAGTGCTGGCTGTACAGCACCAACATGGTCATTCCCTAAGCGGTGGCCACTACCAATCCAGGCAGCAGCCCGACCCCTCCCGCCTCACATGCAGGCACACCACGGCGGGTATGATGGTCCACATGAGCGCCGATGCGATGCGGCGGCCCAGCTTCAGCCCGCCCAGCGTGGAGCGCCGCCAGCTCTCGTAGCGCTGCCGCTTGGTCTTGCTGATCTCCTCCAGGGCCTCCTTCATCAGCAGAGCCCTGGATGAGGAAGGATGGGCGCAGGAGGAGTAAGGCCAGTGGTCAACACGTTGCAGAAGAAGGACCATGGTTGGTACAGCGTCCCCTACCAAACCAAACCAAACTCTCCCCCCTTTCCCTTTCCAAAGCATGTCGCAGTCCTCATCTTTGCTCGCCCCCACCTGACCGGTAACACGGTCAGTTAGTTGTTTCCGCTTCACCCACCTGACCGCCAGCAGGTCCGAGTGCTCCTTGTTGAAGGCCTCCGCGGTGCCCCAGGGGTAGCGCCGCTCCGGCCAGAACAGCGGCGGCTCCGAGGCCGCCAGCTCCTCCGAGATGTCGTTCGAGGCAATCACCAGGAAGGGCGGGTGCGGGGTGGCCTGGTCCTGCACGCCCGACCGCTCCAGCGTGTCGCGCTCAAACTTGAAGATGTTGATCTTGTCGTGGATGCCTGGGGGCGGGGGCGGGTGGGGGAGCGCAGAGGAGAGGCGAGAGGGGAAAGCAGGGAGGGTGGGGAAAGCTGTTATAAAGGTCCCAACACCGCACGATGGTGCTAGTACTTGTGTACTTCACTGTACACGTTCGTTACCCACCAGCGCACCCCCCTCACCCCCCACCCTCGCCTACCTGGCACCATGGGGTTGGCGATGCGGTTGGCCACCTCGGTGCGGTAGGTGTTGGCCTCGCGGATGGTCATGGTGTCGGCCTTGGTCACCACCGGCACCACCGGCACGAACTTGCCCAGCTCAAACATGTACTTCAGGTCGATGGGGCGCAGCCTGAGTAGCGGGGGGGGGGAGAAATTCCAGTGTGTGGTGTGATAATGGTAAACTAGATGACGCAAGGCACAACCCATTAGGTAGGCACTACCGGGCCCTGCCCATGCTTTGCAGCCCAACCTCCCCTCCCCTGCCCTCTCCTCCTGCCCTCCACCCCAACAACCCTCCCTCCCCCAAGCCCCGCCCCCCCACCCACCTGTGCGGCGGGATGCAGAAGATGCACAGGTCCACCCGCGGGTCCTCCAGCTCGGAGAGGTCCTCCTTGCGGTCGCGGGACTGCTCCATTTCAAGCCACCTGGGGGAGGAGGAGGTGAGGTGAGGAGGGGTGAAGCATTACCGAGTTGTTACTTAGGACAGCGGCAACCGAGGGAGGTGGGAGAAGGGGTGTGGCTCGGCTGTCCTAGCACGCATGGAGGGCCCAGGGCTGTGCAACAAGTGCGGTGTGGGGAGTGACGATTCTGACGCAAGCGCTTGAGATAGGGCCCAGCTGGGGGGTTGCATGTCCCTGCTGCGCTGCGGCTGCGATCGGGCCAGGAGACGGGGGCTGCTGCAGCCCCTCGCCGCCCCGCCCCGCCCGCTCCGACGCGCTGAGGAGCAGCAGGGGTGCCGTGCAGGCGGACTCGGTGTGGCAGGGGCGTATACCCGCGCACTGGTGGGCACTTGCATGTGCGCAGGTTAGATACCCTGCCAACAACTGCAGTGACGCTTCGGCACGTAATGTGTACATGCATGTGGGAACGATACTGTGATTGCCGGAAGATGCGTGATGTATGCGCGTGTGAATGTGCGCGGATCCACCCACTCAAGCCCCCCCGTCAACGCAAGGAACATGGGCAGCGATGGCAACGGTGGACGCACCGCATGACAATGTGGCAAGGGCGTATACTGAGCTGCCCACGGAAATCAAGGAGGGCAGACCAGTAAGTAATCCTTGCATTCGACCACAGCGGGCGGGAGCTCGCATGCACACCGACCCGGGTGGTAATGTGCTGGGTTCCAGCAAGCATTACCCTGCTTTCGGACCCATTCGGGTTGACAGCTAACGAGAAATGGAATGGAACAGGAGATCCACCAGCGTCGAGCTAACCGAAAAGGATGCAATAGTGCGTTGTGTACGACCAAGTGCATGCAGCTGTGCGGCCATAACAGAGCCGTGCAGCTTTATATCGCACATTAGGTCTCGATGAACATGCTGTGGCAAGGGCGTATACTGAGCTGCCCACTGTTCATAAGAGCAGACCAGTAAGTAATCCTTGCATGCGTAGAGACAGGAGGTGGAGGTGCAGCGCCCCGACACCGCGCTGGTAGCCCCTCAAGCAGGCAGCGGGAGCGACTCCTCGAAAGCACCCCGGGTGCTCGGTGCGAGTATGTGTGTAAAGAAAACTGAGTTTGTACAGGTCCACGCAACAGCCGCATTAGGACCCAACGCCCAATGCAGCTAAAGCTAGCGTGAACCCTGTCCATATGGCAAGGGCGTATACTGAGCTGCCCACGGGAATCAAGGAGGGCAGGCCAGTAAGTAATCCTTGCAGAGTGAATTGCACAGATAAAGCCTCCGTACCCCATGCAACCCGGTGCCTCCCGCCCTCCCTCCGCTGCCTCCCTCCCCTCTTGCTGCTCACTTCTTGTTTTGCAGCTCGATGAAGTCCTGAACCATCTTGAGGTTGCGGAACACGTCCAGCTCGTCACCGTAGCCGGGGGTGTCCTGCAGGGGGGAGGGGGGCAGCAGGGCAGCAGGGAGGGGACATGTAGGGGGAAAGGGCGACAGACGTATGGGGTATGCGGTGCATCTGGGGCATGCCATGCGCAGGGTTACAGGCACAGCAGCATGTCCTCAAGCAACCGGCGTGCATCGGCGCAGCGCTCCGCCCCCCTCCCTTCCCCTCAGAGGAGGGACGGGGTCGCTGTTTCCTGGCGGCTCCGTTTGCCCACTCGCCTCCCTCCCTCGCCCGCCCCTCCCTCCCTCTCCCCCCCTGGGCCCCCACCTGGATCTTGTACACCCAGATGACCCGGTCCTCCTCGTCCCGCCAGCTCACGGTGGAGCACAGCGACTCGGGGTCGCGGCGGAACTGCTCGGTGGGCGTGTAGCTGCCGTCGTGGACCTGGGGGGAAGTGGAAAAAAGAAATTGGAGGGGTCGAGGAGAGGGGCAGGGAGGAGGAAGGCAATTCAGGACAAGGGGAGCGGATGGCGGGGGGGCATGCAGGGCATGGGCGGTATGCGACCGCGCTGTGCGACCGCGGCAAGGCGGCCCCCGTGCTGTGGTACGTATCGCAGGGAGCCGCATCCTCCTCTCCCGTGCGGGAGGAGCAGGGTGCCTGGTGGGGTCGGGCCGGCACTGCACCCAGCTGCGGTTGGACAGCGCTGCACACATGCGCATGCAGCCCTGTCCCCTGGGCGCACCCGCAGCAGCCCATGCAAGTGCGGCGGCAGCTGCTGCTGTAGCAGGTCCTTACACCCGACATGCCACAGCAAGTAGCTGCTGTACAAGCACAAGACATGCGGGTTAGACGTCCTGCCGATGACGACCATGCAAAAGTGCGAGGCTAACACGCCGGCAGCACCTCCTGTCTGTTGCTGCAGGGTGACCGCAGCGTTGGCCTGATGTGTCCGCACCCCACACCCGTCTTCCTCGCCCTTTCACCGCCCTTGGGAACCTAGTTTCCTACTTTTGTACCCCCTCCAAGCCCAAGTTCCTTTGAGAGCTAGCCCCCTCCCCGCCGCTTGCCTCACCTGCAGCCTCTCCCCCGGAATGGAGATGAGCGACTTGATGAGGGTGGTCTTGCCCAGCCCCGAGTCGCCCACCACAATCAGCTTGATGTACTTCTTCTTCCAGATCTTGTGCGGCCGGGGGCGCCGCGGACCCAGCAGCGCGTCCTTGCCAAACACCATCTCACTGGCGCGGCTGTAGTTGGAGGAGATGCTGAGGCGGCGCTCTGAGGCGGGTGGTGGGGAGGAGGGTGAGGAAGCATAGGAGGGAATTTGTTTTGCGCAGGAAGGGGGGAAGTGGAGGTAAAAGGTGAGGGTGTCGGGAGGGCGCTACCGGAATGTCATACGCGGTGTCTCCGCAACAGGGCCAACAGGTTATACATGTGCGCTGGTTTCCACGAGCCAGGTTGCCTGCTCACCTGGCATGGTGCCAACGCGGCCCCCGGCGGCGAGCTTTGTCTCTTCGATGGTCGGCATTGGGAGGTCTACGGAGGGCACTGCATGCAAAAGGGTGGGAGTGCGGGGGGCCGGGTGCCACATCTTAACAACAAGGTGCAACAGGGTTGCAGTTGAGCGGCAGCTGATATGTAATTGGGCACTTCTGACTCGGGGAAAAACGTAGTTGACTGTGTGATAGGACGGGTAACGTCTAGGGAGAGAAGGGGTCCGTGTCACGGGCTACCACATAGCATGACCGCCACAGCGCAAACCAAAATCCCGCTACGAACTTACAAGGCGCGTTAACGTAGCGGTTTGTGGCGTTGGCAAACGGAGTTGGAGTGGCGCCAGTCGATGGCGTTGTGCCGTCCTCGCGCAGGCTGGCAGCGTACTTTGCAGGGGGAAAGTAGTTACTGGTCATCAGGCGCCCAATTGCGTGTTATCGGCTTGCGTCTGCATGGAGGCGGAGGGAACAAAAACATGCTTAAAGATGCAAGGCTTCACTTCAAGCAATTGCATGCCATGGTCACTCTGACACCGGTAAGCAAATGATCTATGTTCCAATTATCAGCAATAGCACTCCGGGGCGTTCCGCGCACAGGGCGTACAGATGTAGGCGAACCGCAGAGGCGGGAAGCATACCGCAGAACAAGGGCATAACCACAAAGCAAAGTCAACTCCTGTTGAATGCACTATCGCGATCTAGATAGAAGGCAGGGACCGCAAATTAATTTTGCTCACCAGTACGCGAAAGCCGCAATCAGATGTTGCAATACCGGCGCCCAGCTCAATTTGTATGACACAGTAACCCTAGCCTCCCAACCTAGTGCAGATCAGTGCACAGCCTATAAATGCATGGCGGTGGGCAGACAACTTAAATTTACGGTGCTCGATTCTCCTTTGTACGGCATGGGCAAACCAGTGTCTAAGCAACAGTTGCTTTGTTGGTATCATCCTCAATAGGTAGTTGGTATCGAACTTATAGCTGAAGTTTAATTTCGACCCGATCCAAAGAGGACCTACAGCTTTTGCGTTGCAGCGACCCAAACGCACGTTTAATGGCTACATTTGTTCCCGTTGCGCCCGTAAGTAGAGTTCTATAGAAGGGAGCATGCTTGACACCTAATCGAAACTTACTCGGGAACACTCCATGTGTCACTGCAGCCCCCTACGAGCGCTTTTAACGATGCATACGTCAAATCACAGCTCACAAAATGGCGAGTACGCGTGCGGCGGCAGCTGGGGGGCCATGCTTTGGGGTCCGCGCCCACGGGACGGGGCCGCGGGGTATGCAGCTGAGGCAATGACGGTCCACCGGCGTACATGGCGCGCCGTGACAGTCACCAATTCCGCAGCTCCCCCTTCCCTGGACGTGTGCGCAGGGACCTACTGCGCAACATGAGGTACCTTGTGGTGCGCTACACCAAGCACTACCACAAGATGCAGGGGCAGGAGCTGGTCACGGACCTGCTCAATGACCCCAAAGTCCAGGAGGTTTTCCAGGTGGGGGCAGCTGGGCCCACCTGCATCCACACTATCCCGAGGGGACAGCGGAATCCGCAGTTCACCCTGCTCACAGCACTACCAGCACTACCGAACACTAACTCCACTCCCTTCTTCGCTTCCCGAACCGTTCGCGTGTTCGGACTGGGTTAGGTATTGCACCCAATAACAGTACAGCATGACGAGCCGCCGCCACTGAAACCGCTGACGCGTTTCGCGCCCCCCAATGCATGTGTACACGCTCTGCTCTCCTCCCCTCCCCCTCCTTCTTCCCCTTCAACCCCCCACACGTGCTCAGGTGCTCCGCAAGGGCGGCAGCTGGGCGGGCCTGGGCGGCTCCGTCCTGCGGGCGGACGTGAGCCTGCTGCCCGCCTCGCTAACAAGGTGGGACCGGGGAGGAGGGCTTCAGGGCTGCGCTCGGGAGGAAGCGGGGGCCGGCGCAACAGCAGCACCACCGGCAGCAGCAGCAGCGATCCGCCCACGGCCCCAGCAGCAGCACCGGCGCAACCTGTGAAGCGTTAGGGTCTAGGGGTTGCGACATATGGGGCGGGCACACGACGGAGGAGTTTGTTCGGGCCATGGAACGACAGATACGCTGCCGGGACCCTCCCGCGACTCCCACATCAGAGGGTTTCCTACCTCTGTCGGGCCGAGAGCTCCTCACCGTTGTAGCGCGTCCGAAGTCACCCGAGGCTGCTATCCATGCGGCACCTCAGCTTCCCACCGCAGCCCAGCACCGGGTGTCGCGCCCCAGCCCGCTCCACCCCGCCCTACAACCCCCTTCCCCGCCTCAGCGCAGGCTAGACCTGTTTGACAAGCTGTCCGAGGCCTCCTCGCCGCAGATCGTGCGGGCCAACGGCGACATCTGCAAGTGCATGGAGGACGTGCGGGAGGGCTTCCAGGTGGGGCGGGGAGGTAGGGGATGAAGTGTGGGCGGGGCCTCGGGAGGTGGGGCAGGCTGCAGCTATAAAGGGTGGGCTACCTCCTCTCCTCGGGTTGGTTTCTAACCTCCGCTCGAACTTTCAAGCTTGTTTCTTACGCCCGTCTCGGGTCTCTTCGCCCCCCCCCAGATCTCCGACCTGCTTCGCGAGATGCTGCTGGTGGAGGAGTCGGAGAACGCGGGGCTGATGAGCGAGGCAGAGCGGGGCGAGCTGCTGTGGCGGCTGTTCGAGCACTGCGTGCTGGGGGGCGCATGCTGCCAGTTCGAGGTGGGTGGGAGATAAAGAGGAAACAACTAATTGACTGAGGAGGGGGGAGGACGGAAGGGCGGGGCGGGGTGCAAAAGGCGACGCGATGGAGTGCCAGTGGGCGTGCGGCGAGGACCGTGTGGGGATACGTGGAGGTCCCATGCATGCACGTCCTGGGGCGGCTGGAAGGCAAGGCGCTGGCAGCCCCTTCGACGCTGCGACTCGGTCTTCTTCCCCTTCTGGTTTCCGGTCACATGCGGCGTCCGGCACTTGACTACCTTGATCCGCTTAGAAACAACCTATTAAAAACATTGAAGACAAGGCAACCTGATGGCGCTTCGTTTACGCAGTGTTCGCATGCCGCGCCCCCTCTGCCTCCTCAACCCCATCCTCCTCCAGGACAAGCTGGAGCCCTATGTCGAGGTCAGCAAGCGGCTGTACAAGGAGCTCGTGAGGTGGGGTGGAGGTAGTGGTGCAGGATGATGAGGAAGTGGAAGTACAGTGCGCCGGTTACGGAGCAATACCAGAGTTTCTTGGCTGGTTTCTTGATCTGCATTTGTCCTAAGTCGAGCCAACTTCACCTCTTCAGTCCCAAACTTGAAGCTAACATCCCGCGTGTTCCTTGCCTCTGCGCCGTGCTTCGCATGACGTCGTACTCCAGCGCACAGAAGGACCCAGGATCCGGCAAGGTTGGCGTGTCGTCTGTCGTATACAAGATCAACGCCGTACATCAAGAAGCGGGTAAGCTCTCTGAAGTTATAACGGGAGTAGGTGATCGGGTTTTGCTGCTTGGCGATCCGTTCTTGCGGCCTCATTATGTCCAGGATTGGTTTCTTCTTTACGCGCATGCGCGCCCTGCAGGTCCCGTTGAGCTCTACCCGAGCACATCCAGACAGAACTTCTGCTACGCTGCAGTGGACCCTGCGCGACGTGTGGTGAAAATCTTGTACCACGCTTTCGTGCCGTACTGGTAGTGTCTGGTGTTACCACACCGACGCTGCGCACATGCTAGCATTACTGGGGCTAAGCAGGATAGCTAACGTAAGCGCTTACAGTACTTGCAATGCCGTATCGCGCACATAGTTTATATGACTGGTATGTACGTGCCCAGGAACACAATACAGGTTCCGCACACATATTTTCGTTGTCATGGTCAGCTGGGACGAAGCCTAATGGCGTAATGGGCAAAGAGGAACAAATGCAGCTATCCGGTTTGACGAGTACACTTCATGACACAATTTCGTTACCCTGTGATATACTTATGCGTACATACGGTTAGGCGCGGCCGGCAGTCTTGTTTCACGACGGCATGTGGCGTGCATTTCATCTGGGACATGACACGCTTCTCAGAAACTCGTACAGGTGCCAACGGCGAACTGAAGTCCTTATAAGGACGTACCATTTACCATGTAAAGGACCAAAAGAGTACGGCATGGCAAGGCAGTAGCCTTTGTCACGTTTGCCTCCACATCATGTCACACTCCTTACCCTGTTTGTTCCTGCATCCATTCGCGCAACCTTACTATACACCCTTACAAACCCCTTTAGGCGGCCAGCTGAGCCCTGAAAGCCCAATCCAAAAACTGTATCCGCGAGCCCCTGGGACATCCTTCATAACAGCCACAGCAGCGACCCATGGGTCGGAGCCCCTCTCCGGGTTGCGAAAAGGGCGACCTGCACGGCGTCACGATATCCAAATACCCCATGTTCCCTTCCCTTACAGTATCCCCGATAGCCCTCAATTCCGCACGACATATCTCCCCACAAGAGAGAATGTTGCTGGCAATTATACTCTTTCTGCGTTACAATGGAGCAGTCCTTATGCACCATGGCCATTGAACCATGCGATGTATAGGTGGAACACGGTCCCAATGACCGTCACATGATCGCGGACTGCGCGCCGCCAAGCTACGGCGCGCATTGTAACAGTGCCTTGGAGATGTGTGTTGTCTACGTTTGTCTTCCAAAGCTTAAATTTATATACCCTACGTACGATTAATTTTGGGTGGAAAGAATATCGCTATTAAGATAGCAGCAGGAAAAGGACAATGACCGGACACCTGGCCACAAACAGTTCTTTCGTGGGTAAATCCAGGATCACGCTCCGAAATGCAAAACCACGTGGGCCATGTCACTTCCCGTCGGTAACAAACAAGCTATACGTTTAGACGTGCAAGAACCCCACTCGGATGTCTACACACGACTCGAAGTATGTACTAGGGTATAGTCGCGTACATGCATGTAAGGAAGGAAGAAGGGTGCAGTCGCGCACATGCATTCAAGAGAGAAAGAATACCATAGCAATGAATAGATATTGCAACTCCGCAGGTCACATGCATTGCACTTAAGCACTCAGGTGCCCGTCACAGGCGCAATGTTGCACGAATGACGAGCGCTGGAAAGGGAAAGAACGTCCACTTTATGAATAGATATACTGCTTGGTATCCAGCAGCACTCGCAGCACCGTCATGTCCTGGCAGCGTGTGGTCATGGCGGTCATGTCAACCGTCTGCGCCCAGGCCGCTGTCCACGAGGGCAGCCACCAACGGGCAGCGGCCTCGGCACATGCGGCACGCTGCGGGCCGCGCAGGAAGTCCGTCAGCGTCTCGGTGTTGGCGACAATGGGGGCGCGCGCCGGCTCGGACGTGGTGGTAGGTGCCGAGGTTGGCGCGGGTGTGCTGCCGCTGCTGCTGCTGGGCTTTTGGGTGGTGACCGGCGCAGAGGTGGGCGTTGGTGTCGGTTTGGGCTTGGTGACAGGACCGTCCAAGTACACATTGTACCTACGGTGGCAACGAAGGGAAGGGTAAGGGTTCATCAAAGATATCCGAAAGGGAAAGAGGACGTCCCGCAGCAACCCGCGCATGCAAACTCACCCATCGTCCCACACGTTGCCAATTGCGGCGTTCCAGAACATAGCGCCAACCATGGGGCCGCCGGTCTGCTTCATCCATTGCATGTTGTCCGCTACCAGACGGAAGAGGAGCACCCGCTGCTCAACGGTGTACTGACTGCGGGCGGGAAGGGGAAGGGACACGACATGCAAGACTGTTCAGGATCCTAAATAGGAAACTCGTGTCCACACTCAACGTACGGTAGGTGGTAAGGTATGGGACCCTGCGACAGCATGGTTGCGAGCAGACTACACCGCTTAATCCCATGCCTGGCACACGGAACCAGTAAACCACAGCCAACTTCCTCCCCAAGTAACTCACGGCAGAATGAGACCAAACTCCTCCAGGATAAGTGGCTTGCCGAAGTCGGAGGACAAGCGTTGATGGGTGCCGAGGTACTGGACCAGGTAGTTGCAGAAGCAGTTGAAGTCGCACTTGGTCCACTTGGGAGGAACTGACTCGAGCTGCGGGATTGGGTACCAGTAGCAGCGGATGGAGTTAGCATACAAGCAAGCACAGTAGCTGTGGTGTACGCAACGTCCAAGGTACTCTGCGTACCGGCACCTTGATACCGCACCTGGCGCTCATAAGCGTGAACCACGGTGACGTCGATGGTGTCCATCTTGCCCAACGCCGCCCAGTCCTCGCCCTCGCAGCGGGCACCAGCGCCTGAACCGGCATGGCAGGAATGCGGAAATATAGAAAGCATTGGTGGCTACCACAACTCAACATACTGCGAAGGCGCCCATCTTTGCCCCGCATGCTTAAATACCGGTAGTACGCGGTATAAATACGAGGAGCAGAAAGAGCCTAGAGAGACCCTGCCGGGCCCCTGTATTGCGTACTCACCGGGATTGGAGCTTTCGTACGAGTTGAGGAAGTAGCCCTCAGTGCCCAGAGCGACCAGCTGGTTGGGTGCGTTGGCGCGCAGGTGCGCGGACATCTCCTGCAGGAAGGAATGTACAACGCCCTGCGAGGCGGCGTCCACACAGCCGGGGCACCTGGGCTCGTTCATGGCGTCGAACATCATGATGGCGTCGTCGTCACGGTAGCGGCGGCCGTTTAAGGTGTTGGTGCGCCACACGATAGCGGAAATGTGGTCACGGTAGAAATGGCGCACGTCAGCAGAGCGGTAGAAGTCCAGCAGGTCCTTGCCAGCTGCGGTCAGAAGCAGCGTGGCCCGTAGGTTTATAAGTGCCGACATGTGGGTTAATAAGTAGCCATTAATAAGTAGCCATAGCGGGAACACGATAAAGACGCGTGTCAGGAGCGCTAGACGAAGGCAAGCATTGTCCATAGGCGCAGGAAAAACATGAGTAGAGCGCTTTCTAGTAGAATGCACGAAAGCTACGCCACTGTTGTACGACTACCGACCTGGGTTGACGCCGGCCATGCTCATGAAGTCTTGCGGCGAGCGGTAGGCAGCCCAGGTGTTTCCCAACGCCAGGATAAGCTTGATGTTGTGCCTGCAGCGCGTTGGTAGGGCTTACTAGTCGATATGCGTGTGGCAGGTAGGGCTGTCCTCCAACCACTGACCTGCCGGCCGAATCAACAATGTAGTCAAGCCCTTGGAATTGGGTCTCGTCGTACTTGCCCCATGCATAGGGCATGCGGTGGTTGAAGGCCCAAAGACGGATGACCTTCAGTCCAAATTGCTGCACAGGTGCAAGCAAGATAGGTAAGCATACTTTTGCGCGAAAGCAGTTTCAGGAAGGAAGAGCTTAAGGTAGATTACTTACGTTGCAGTAGTCGAAGAACTTGTCCACAGTACCCTTGTCCCTTTGGACAAAGTCGATCAACCTGCAAACAGGAGACCCGGTTTCGGTAATCCCCAAGGTGCGGAATACCGGCAAGCAGTTAATACTTGCCAGTAAGCGTTTGCTCCCATGAAGTAAAACGGCTTGCCGTCGACGCATAGCTGATGGCCGCAGCGCTTGACAAACGAAGCGTTCACGGAGGAAGGGAGGAGCCCGCAGATGCCAAGCAGAATTACCAGTCCTAGCAAGGCCCCAGGCGAGCCTTTCGCCGATGTCATCTTGGACATATACCGATAGGCTAGAATTTGTGACGTAAGCTGGGGCCTGCGGGAAAGGCACCGGTTAATCAATGCCGGCATGCCAAGTGCCATGTGACAGAGTGGGGTCTCTTACAACGACCATGGAACCTAAAAGCATAACTTCTGTAAGACACGTCATCGTGGACCTCACCGTAGGTGTTGAGATGAGCTCTTGCAGTTGTTGCTGGCACTTCGCCGCAACCAATGTCCTTGGCAACGGACCCCGGGAGGTTTTCAGGAAATCTCAAGTTCAGGATAAGACGACATGGATTGGCTTTACGTTTTATACTCATGCTGCTGGGATCCAGTGAAACCCGTTAGAGTCCGTTACATTTCTAAGACAGACGACGGTTCCTTTTAAAAGCGTGGATCCATCTTCCGTACTGTTACTCCTTGGACTTATCACCTGTTACTTTGCGCAATGAAAGAATTGCGTACTTGGAATTGAGTACCTATTTTGAAGGCCGATGGTTTGCAGCGCCGCTTAGCATAAATCCCTCCTGCCAGGTTTGTTCAGTCGTGAAGTTCTCATTTCGGTCGTAGCTAGGTGTCTCAGCCTGTTTACCTGTATGTTACTGCCAACTCCTCAGGCCATGTTAGATGGTGTTCCTCATGCCTCGGTGTCAAAATTGTCAGGTTACAACGGAAAGCTTACAATAGTAGCAAACTACAACTTAATATACCGCACGAAGACCGCCAGTAAATTGGAACCACTGGAAGGCAGAGTTACAAGTATTCACCCCTCCTCGCCACACGCATCCCAACTGCTCACCATCATCGGTAGTGGCCTATTTGCGAATAGCCTCCTCCTATTCCTCCTCCGGTGATAACTCATGTTATTGTTGCAATTGGGTGAAATAAGCCATCAACTAGGCCGACACGGCATGTTAAAATTGCCACAGCAGGAGCTATGTCCAGCATCCTTTCTCAACAGCACCTAATAGCCAACCCAGTCTTGCACAATGTAAGACAACACGAACTTTGGCCTTCCTTTGAATGGCGACGCCACACAGCCAATACCAGGATACGGAGCAGCACTGCTCCTTTACACCGGCACTACCCACCTTAAATCTGCTCATTTCGCCCGGGCCCTACCCTCCTCTCCATTCCGGCCCTAGACTCCCGCTCCCAGCGCCAGGCCTCCCTGCACCTGCGCCACGGTGCGCTGCACGTACGAGTCGAACAGCTGTCGCAGCTCCGCCAGCTCGCGCTCCGTGCGGCCGCGCAGCTCCGCCTCCACGCCCAGCTGCTGTTGCAGACCCGAGATGTGCGCCGCAGCCTCGCCCAGCAGCCGCTGAGAGGAAGACAGCGCGGACGACGCGGCCAGCTCCGCACCTGGGCCGCCATGGCTTGCAACAACCGGAGCAGCCTCCGTGTCGGGGCCCGTCTCAGAGGAGCTGGCACCGGCAGTCTCTGCAGCAGCTCCCTTGGTTGGCACCGCAGCCGCACTCGCCACCTCCCCAAGTGCCCGCTCCGTGCCGGCCAGGCGCGCCAGCAGCGCCGGCGCCTGGTTGCGCAGCCTGAGCGCGTTGAGCTGCGCACGCAGGCGGGACACCAGCGTGCCGTGGCTGTCTAGCGCCCCGCTCATGCCCTCCAGCTGCGGAGGAGCGGGTGGGTTTGAGGGAATGAGCATATTGACGAGGTGCAAGTGCAGGTGCAGGTGACGAACGCTCCGACTGAGGAGGCAGGGGGGACGCGGCAACAGAGAACGTTTTACTGCCTTTTATGACCCGGTTTTTCCCTCTTTTCGTTAGGATGTTAGCCTTCCCTTCCTGCCCCACCTGCGCCTCCCGTTGCGCCTGTGTCTCCGCCTCTGCCGCAGCCAGCCGGTTGCGCAGGGCCCACACCTCCCGGCTCGCCGACTCCAGCAGCAGACGCAGACGCAGCGCCTCCGCAGCCGCCGGGTCCAACAACCCCGCCGCGGCAGCCACCGCAGAGGCTCGTGCTGCCTCCGCAGCCCCGCTCACCTCCATGTCACTGCCCGGGCTACTGCCGCTGTCGCCCCGGAGCATCCCCGTCGCAGCGAAGCCGGCCTCCCCGCCACCCGCAGTCGCTAATGCGTCGTACAAGCGCCGCCTTCCAATTCCGGCGCCGCCCGGCAGGAAAGAGGCACCGGAAGCGTACGGAGAGTACGACTGGTTGGCTCCGCCGCCGCCGGAAGCGCCGCCTGATGCCTGCATTGGGACAGCCGCGCTGGGTGAGCGGCTGAGTACCAGCGGAGAGTTGCTGGGGCTGCCGGGAGGGGTGGCGGGCATGCCGCTGCCGGTGCGGTGATGCCCCAGACTGATGCCGCCGCCGCCACCCGCAACGCCGGCCCCGCCAAACATGCTTCCACCGGTGGCGCCGCCCGCCGCTGCCGCCGCCCGCCGCTGCTGGCCGTACGGCGGCGGCGGCAGCGGTGATGGTGTGGGCGCCACCGCGGGGCTGTCGCGCAGGCCGGGAGTAGCCACCTCGCTGGCGGAGGCGCGGCGGGGCCGGCCGCTGCCTGCCACAGAGGTGCCGTACTGCTGCTGGCTTGCAGTGGCGGCGAACAGCTCCTGGTCGGGGGCGCCGCTGCCGCTGCCGCTGCAGCTGCCCAGTTGCAGGGTCGCCCGGCCTAGGGCCTGCGTGAGCGAGTGCACCTGCAGCCACAGGCGGGATGAGTGGGTGTGGGGGGACAGCAGGGACGCTGATAGCGGACCAGGACAACAGATGGGAAAAACGGTTGCACCTCAACACGATAAACTCCGCGCTTTATCCTTAACTCCACTCCGCAAAGCCAGACCCCGCCCCTCCCGCCCTCCCCCATCCACCACCATTCCTGCCCAGCCCCCTCCCCCGCCTGCCCCACCTGCGCCTCCTTGAACGCCAGCTCCGCCGCCAGCCCCGCCGCCTCCGCCTCCCGCGCCGCCGCCGCCGCCAGCGCCGCCCGCATCTGCCCCAGCTGCGCGTCTCGCTGCGCCAGCTGCTCCTGCAGCAGCTCCCGCTCCTCCACCTGCAGCGAGGGAAACACCACGCGGACACCCGCCTGCGGCCGTGAGGGGGGGAGAGGGAGGGCAGTAAAGCGGGTGCGAGTGGCTCGGCCCCGGTCCTCACAATCTCGTCCACAATTTCACCTTCCAGTACCCCCCCACCGGCCCGCACCGCCGCCCACCTGCACCTCCTCCGCGCTGCGCGCCCCGCCGCCCTCCTCCGCCATCACCGCCGCCAGCCGCGCCTCTGCCTCCGCCCGGGCTCGCAGCGCTGCCCGCTCCCGCGCCAGGTGCTCCGACACCTGCCAGCACACACACACACCCACACACGCATGCATGCGTCAGCACCACAGCCACCCTCTGCATGGCGCACGTGGCAGCAGGCTATGCGTCTTGGCTGAGACGCGCCTGCTCCATGTGCTCCCGCCCTCCCCGCCCGCCCCACCTGCTCCGTCAGCGTGTTGACCTGCCCCAGTGCGTCCGCCAGGGAGCCCTGCAGCGCGGCGCTGCGGGCGGCGCTCTCCAGGCTGAGCGCCCGCAGCGAGGCGCGGCTGTCCCGCAGCGCCGCCTCGCGCGAGTCCAGGGCGGAGCGGGCCGCCGCCAGCTCCGCCTCCGCCTCCGTCAGCTGGGCCTGGTGGATGGGAGGGAGGACAGGAAGGAGGAGGAGGGGTTGATTGCAAGTGCAGGCGAGCGCGGGATGCCCATAGGGTCCTGGCTAGGGTTGGAGTGCGGGTGTAGAGCAGGAGGTGCCTGGACGCATGCCATACCAGGCTAACTGTGGGATGTGTGTCTGGCAATATCCTGTGCTTATACGACCCTAGTAGGAGGCCCCACCCACCCAACCACCCACCACCAGCTCTGCAATGGCCATGTTGTGCAGCCGCAGCGAGTCAGGCGG